TTACTAGTTCAATTTCCAACTTATTTTTTTAAGCGTCTGTTAGAAATTTGAAGTATTTTATTTGCCCTTTTTTTAATTTCCTATTTTTATTAACATTGCTTTGACTCCTTTTTTTTAAACCTTTTATCAAAGTTCGCCACAGATTTAATCATGTTTGAAATAACCACAGAAGAAACTTTTTAATTCCTCACCACTAACGAGGAAAAATTTTGGTGAATATAAAATTTATTTTAAATATTCCAAAGCTTATTTCCCCCTTGAGATTTCCAAGTTTTGCTTTGCTCTACTGAAGGCCTTGTTTAAATAAACTCATTAAGCTCGTTCTCCTTGGAAGTCCTTATTTCAATGATTATATAAAACTATTGTCAAACAAAAGTGATAAAGTACCAGCATAATTCTCTATTTAAACTAAATCTATCAGACCGAGCAGTTTACAGCCTTCGCCCTCATTGGCCACTGCAAAAAGTTTCAGCACAGTCTCTATTGAAATCGAGCAAGCTGATTGATTACTGCACATAAAAGACGGCGACCAACTTAGCTCAAGTTTCGCACTTTCTTATACAACGGTCCACACGAAAAAACGCGCAGCTTGCAAGAAGTGCGCTGATATATATTTTGAGTAGTCCTTCTGCGCGTGACACCATCGAGACCCTCTCCTAAAAGGAATTTATTAGCCGTTGCCAGTGACAAATATATGCACAAAAGGAGGCGAAATATCGATCTGGAAAAAAACGTGAAACAAAGCTCGTCACAAAACCTCATAGGGGCTGTTTGCCTTTTCAGTCGTTGGGGCGAAGGGTGCGCGACGAGTCATTTGGAAATTTAATTGCCCTCGCACACCTCTCCATTGGATTGCCTAATGGAGAGAGAGAGAGAGACTCAATCGGCCGGCGACAGTCGGAGAACGGTCGGTTCGTTCTGCGGTGTCGGATTTGCCTTTTGTGTCGCAGGCAATGTGCAAATCCGATCTCTGTACTAACTTGTAGTGCTCGTGCGTGTCGGGCCGCGCAATAAATCAAGCTAGCAAATCCGCCTGCTGGGTGTCGCAGAGAAAGCCGCCCGAATTTAATCCACGAGGGTGAAATTGTGTTCGTTCCATCCCTCGTAGCGCAGCTGCATTTCTGCTTTTAATTAAAATTGTTGTGTTCGCTCAGTGAGTGTCGAGAATTCGAATACACGCACCGAAATATTTTTATCTAGTTTTATTTTCGACGGCGAGCTCAAGGGGGTAACTTTTTTTGTGCCGAGCAAAAAAAAACAATTCATTATGTGACCGCACGTGCTTGCGTGCGTTTGTTGTTACGCGAACAACAATTCTACTGCCTTTTCTTTTTGTCACCGGAGTTCACCGACGTTGAATTTGGTAACAATGTGTCTGTTTTCAGTCACATAAATATGAATTGCCCACGTGTGACGTACTCGCGCCAAATTAGCATAGTCTCGTTGAGTGAAAATTGCATGAGTGGGAAGCGTTGAAGCGTTTGATATGAAGTTTTTTTTTTTGTTAATTAGACAAACTGAATGTTTGTTTGATTTTACATTTGGCCGCGTGTTGTTTGTTGCGGCTGTAAAAAGTGTAACTTTTGAGTGATGTATCAGGAGAAAATTTTTCCCGTTGGCCGGTTCTATTAAATTAATTGTGGAAAAATGGGCCATTTTAGTTACTCGCTTGGAATGACGCAGGAAAGCTAAAAAATTTACATATCAAAGAAAGAAAATTTGCAATGCTCTCGTTAATTGGCATTTATTTACTGTTATTTGATCAAGAGTTTTCCTTTTAAAAGTTTTCTACCTATTTTGCGCAGTCTTTTTAATGTGAGGAAAATTTATAAATTTTATGCTTGATGGAAACAACGTTCTGAATAATTTATCTCTTTGGCTTCTAGAGCTTTGAATATGAAATTATACAGCGTAATAATAATTTTAATGTAAATAGTTACTTTTTTATTTTAAAGTTTGATTTTTTTATTATAAAAAAATTGGGCTTTATTGGTTTTCTGTTGTTTAATCATTATCATATAGCTCCGTTTAATCAATAACAATTAATGAATTAGAGTTCTGCACAATCTCATTTTCGGAGAATTTCTCTTGATTTTTTTATCAACTGCTTTAATCGAAATCGTTGAAAACGTCTCTCCATATAGGTCACTGATATAATACTGCAAAGTAATTACGACTCGGCTCTTTTCGCTTGAGGCTGTGCATAAGCCGTGATGAACATCGGCACATCTCTTGTTCAGAAATCTATGACTAAAACCTGCTTTTCCCCGATTCATCATTTGCACGCGATAAACGCGGACGTGTTTGAATTGAACGGACCTGGATAAATGCACCGGCAGCATATTCGCAAAACTCGACTTGGGCTATCAAGATGGGAGATTATGTGCGCTCTTAATTACTCTCCGCCTCCCAATAAATCGACTGGCGCGGTTGCGTTTCATTAGCCGCGCCGCATATAAAAGGCTGGAAATAATTGCTTTTCGCCCTCGTCGTGGAGCGACAAACGCATTGTGTTTTGAGAAAAGAGCACTTTGAGCCTGGAAATAATTTCACGGAGCTTTCTAAAATGAAATAAAGTGGTAAAAAAGAAGAAGCTCTCTCGCCATCAGGCAAGTCACTCGGCAGCCCGGAAACAATCAGAGGCGCTGCTACTTTTGCATTCCGATTGAATCGCAGGAAGTCGAATTGCGCGCCTGCCGTAATAATAAAAATGCTCCTTCCAAAATTCGACTTACTGTGCGGGTGTGCCTTATGTACCGGCCAGACCTACGCTTCAATCGACCTTCGGACGAACGATGACTCCGAAAATTATACACATTTGACAGCGGAGCAAACAAACAAACAAATCGCAGATCATTATACATCATTTACTCCTTGGGAGTTTCACTGCCCGCGCGAATTGTTGATAATAGAAATAATGTGTTTCCAAATCGTTTTACGGCCGAAAATTCAATAAAATTAAAAGTGAGTGCTTGTTTGTATTTGATTGATGGACCAACGTCAAGGATAAACGCGTAACGCCGCACCCGCTCGCATAACCAACGCATATCAAGTCGAACTGACTGAATGAAATTTATACATATGATATGCGCCAGGCTAAAGAACCTGTTTGCGTCGCAGCTTCAGTTCCCAGTGACATTTGACACAACCGCACGTGCTTGTCGAAATGAAATTAAACTGCTACACCTTTGACTGTCGTATTTGGCAACCATTGTTGTTTTTATCGAGTGTATCTATGATGCGAAACTGGCAAAAAAGATACTTCGTAAATCGTAAACTGAAAAATATCAATAATAAAATCAAAGGAAGAAATTATTGCTAAATTCTAGTAGCTTTAAATTTAAAATGAATATTTTAAATTAAAATTAAAAAACATTATTATTCTATAAATTTTTAATGTTACCTTGAATGATAAATTTATTTTAATTTTTTTTTACCTTTAATTTGAGAATTTCATTTGCCTTTCAAATATCTATTATTTTTCAAATTTAATGAAATTATTGTTTTTTCGTTCTTCAAATTTTAATTTTTTAATAACGATCGAAGTTTGAATTTCCTCATTTTCACTTATGATCGATCGCTCCCTCCCTAAATCCTTTTGAACCTCGCCTGACCCTTTTCGAAATCTCACGTCCGAGCCCCTTATGTGAAGCTCTTTTTCGTCTCAGCCTGCAATTTATCAGACGAGAATCCCGGTCAGCATTTTTGTGATATTCTTTCCGTTATTCAAAGTCGAAACACGCAAAAGAAATGGTCAGCTCGATATAGTGTTGATTGGACGAAACTTTTCTCGACCTCTGCCTCGGCATTTGATATGTCAACACGCTCCAACTCCTTCTGAAGGCACGGGTAAATAGAGAAAGAGAGATCAAGTAAGGGAGGCAAATCAATAAACATCGTCGAAACCCTTATCACGGATGCAAACGTACGTGAGGGCCCCGCAGCAAAAAAGCTGAATAAGTTGCTCTTTACTATAAAAATAGCAGCTGATTCTCGGCAGTTTGGATTAACAATTTTATTTTAAATTTATTTGCCTACAACGTGCTCCCGTTTCATTTGCAGCTGCTAATAAATGGAAAGGGCGGCCGGTTCATTAACCTTCTGAATTGTTACGTGAGCCGAAATGGACTCTTGGCATGAAATTGGTCAGTTATGCATATGGCGCGCTCAACGGGCCAGGTGGGAAGTGTCAAGTCAATCACTCCGTCGGGTTGAAATAAAATTAACTTTTTATGCCGCACAAGAATCAAGGTGGACACGTTCGGATAATTTTTTCTTATAAATTTATATCATTTTGACATTGTCTTTTTTTAAATAAGTATTCCATTGTCTGGTTTTACTTTTTTAGCATTTTGAGTGGCAAAAAAGTTTTCAATAATATATATGTAGGTTGTCTAAAAAGTAACAGGCGTCATTTAGAAAAAATATCTCTGACGTTGCTAAACGAAAAAAACTAAACAAAACTTTAAATATTTTATTCAAATATCTTTTGATTTACGACACAACCTGAGTGAAGGACAAATTATTATTTTTATTTCCGACTGCTTTATAAAAAAAAACTTTATAAAAAATCATACAAAACAAAGTGTCGATTCACCAAAAAAATTAAATTATTCACCTTACACACTACTACAATATGAGAAAAAAAATCGTGTTTTTTCTGCGATTTAAAAGTAATTTTTGTTGTCTCTTGTTTCTGAGTGTTTTGAAAAAAAAATGTAAAAAAAATCGTACGACACAATGTGTCAAAATGACACATTGTTTCGCATGATTTTTTTTACACTGTCAATGCACCGAAAAATTTAAATTATTCACTACCGCGTTATCTGTAAAAAAAAAATGTTTTTTTTCCGCGATTCAAAAACAATTTTTGGTGTCAAATTTTTAGCGCGATTTGACAAAGTATGCAAGATTAAATTTTTGGCTTATTTACACAAGTGCAAAAAAACTGGTGCAGGTGTTATTTATTAATTATTGATATATTTGAAATTTGAAAATACCTGTCAGGGCAATGCAGATGCCGATTTTCTTGAGTCCAGCTCCGTTCATCTTGATGTCTGTTGTTGCGAATCGACAGCGAAAAATCAGAGCTATTGATTCATATTTAATTACGCCGGCATGTCTTGCTAGTGGCCGTCGTTGGGCCTTGTGGAACACTCGGGCTCTAAGGCACTGTCTATACTGAAGGAAAGCAGCAAGGAGAGGAGCGGCGACTCTCGCTGTTTAGCTGTCTACGAAAAGCAGCGGAGCACGAGGAGTTGACTCCTCCTCCGAAACATGCGGCGGGAAAAAGAGTCGCGGTCGCGACTACATGCTTTTGCTATATTCTATTTTCAGAATTCAGATTCATTTTAGAAATAACTGAAAATTTATTTCACTCTGTAGCAAGTGTCATGAAAAATTAATTGGCAACTTAATTTTATTAAGAGATGGATTATTTTTCCTACATCATTTACAGCAAAATAAGTTTGGCCGTATAATAATTAACTTAAATTTTTGTAAAAATTCTTATTTCCTATTTCCTTGCTTTTATTTTTTTAATTTTCCGTACGCCTCTAGTGCTTTTAAATGCACTCTTTCTTTCTTAATTTTAATTATGTATAAAATTTCCAAAATTTCTTTATTTTTATATGATTAAAATTATTTATATATGAGTTTTATTTGCATCACTTTTAAAAATTACAGAAGCCCAGAATTATTTATATGAACTTACCTTTTTTATCAATTTTAAGCATTAATTAAATAAAAATATTTGCGAGGATAGTAAAAAGAAAAAAAAATTTAGTCCAAAATTCATTATTTTTATATAATGACATTTAGCGGGTAAAAACATTTTGTCATTGTATTATTAAGAATTTTATTAATCAAAATTTTGTCTTCGATAAATTATTAGAAATTATTCTAAAATATTTGTTGATTTGCAACGAAAATTCCTGCTAATAAGGACGTTGGCAAAATTGCAAGGCGATGACTACGATGAGTGACGTAGCATATAAATTAAAAAAATTACCAAAAAAAAAAAAAAAAATACTTATAATGTACTTTAACTTTATAATTATCTTCCTCTATAGACTGTAGACTTAATATTTCTGACCTTTTGCCCTACTTGGCATATTTTCTCGCTCAATACAGTTAAAACTCAAAAAGAATTGACAGGTCAAAAAGTTTTTACCAAAACGCACACGACGCCTCTTTTAGTTGCGGAAAAACACCCGGTATTTTGATTTAATTCAAGAAAATTTGGATTTGAAAGCTTTGAGATATCGCTGGATTATCCAGAAGTGCGCTAGGCAAAAACAAAACCAGACAAAATAATAATAAAGGTTATTTTAATTATTATTTTGGAACCTTCTTGCACCCACAGCTGATGGGAAAAATGTAAACAAACGTACTCTCTCGCTGACGTCACCACTGCCCAAATCTGATTGGCTATGGCGGAGCTCGTCCATGAAATATGATTGGCTTGATAAGTCACGTGACGGCGGCCATTTGTCCATAATATTATGGACAGAGCCAGCGCCACAGTCACAACAGTGGCGAGAGTCGCCGCTCCTCTCCTTGGAAAGCAGGCTGCGTTGGTCCCGTTTGTTGGCTCCCTTCTCTCTCAGCGGCGGCGGCGCGCTTCGACTCGTACGCGCTCTGAAGTCGCGGCCTCGAACTCGGCCCTTGTTTTTGAACTTGAATCCTCCACGCAATGTCACGTGCTTGCCTCATTTGCGTCTGCTAATTAATCTGGCAAATCCTTACGTGCCCTTTGTACTAATTGCAACTCGCGTTTGGAAAGTTGTTGATTATCAAAAGGGGAGGTTTTATAGGTGCGACGAAATATAAATTAATGAATAAAAATGCATCTTTTTTCGAGCAGTAGAGAAAGTGCTGATTTGGCTGGACCGATCGTAAAGATGAGACACGGTGATCAATTTATTCTACTTTTGCTTGCGTGTTTATGAGTGAACAAATTTGAGCGACCTCAATTTGGCCGGCCAGAATTTGAATATAAGCGGATTTCCCATGATGATGTAAAATTAAACTGAATGATAAGTAATTTAATTTTTTTTACGTCGTTATTTATTTGACCTGCGTCATATACATTTAATTCCTGTGCACGGGTTTTTCTAATTTGTCTGACAACAACACGTCATTGCGCTGTATATTTCATCAATATCTACTTTCTGTTTTGAAATGCATTTATTTTCTAATATATTTTTTGTGTTATTAGCATAAAATCCCGCTATTCGCTTATTTGGAGCGTTAAAAATGTTGCGATAAAATAGCACTTTTCACGATTATCACGATTCATGTTGAAAGAGTCAACGAATTTGAAAACACTACATGTTGCAATCAACTCATTACTCTGACTAAACAGTCCCATTTGCATTTTAATGGATGTTAAAATTGTTAATTGTTTTGTTTCAGCTTGCGCGCTTGCTGAACGAGCCAGACAAAAAAGGCGACCTGCCGCTGCTACTCGCGCTGAATTCCAAGCAGAAAACTCTGGCGTCCTCCCTGGTTGAGCACGGGGCGAGTGTGGATGCCCGAGATCCGCGAGGACTAACCCTCCTTTTAAATGCCATTGAGAGAGGTTTGTTTATTCAATAAAACATTTTCATTTTTAGAAGATTTGAAGCATTTATTTATTAAAATTAATTAATCAATTAATTTAAAATGATAAATAAAATACATACAGTTATTTACAATATTTTTAACATAAAAGTGACCTTGATTAAAATATTTTAAAATTTAAGTATTAAATTATTTTTATTCTATTTTAGAGGACAAATACTCGGCACTCTTTTTATTGGAACAAGGTGCATCCCCCTCAGCTACCACCCCTGATTTAGGGGACACAGGGTTGCATATGATCGCAAATCAGAGTAGTACGAGCAATCCATTCCAGGATGAAGAAGAGGAAGACTCGCATCACTCCAAAGACATCATTAAAGTTGCTCAGAAACTGCTCAGCTGCGGTCTTAACCCCAACATGCAGAACAACAAAGGATAGTGCGTTTGGAAAACTCGTGATACATTTACAAGCCTGTCAACTGGCGTTTTATTTTTCCAGTTCCGCCCTTCACCTAAGTGTTTTGAATGATAACACAGCCCTGTTCAACATGCTGCTCGACTTCCCCGGTCTGGCTCTCGACGTGCCCACTCAAGAGGGCCACACCGCTTTAAGATACGCTCTGCTACGAAATAGCCTCGGGGAGGATGGACTGGCTTCAAGACTGCTTGCTAAAAAGGCAAATCCCAACCCTATGTACCCGGCCACCGGAGACACTCTGCTCCACTTGTTGGCCAGAGAGAGGAAAGAAGACGCCGCCGTCTTCCTATGCTCCAAAGGTAAACTAAAAATTCATAAAAGGAATTATATATAAAAAACTTTTGCTTCAAGGTGGAGATGCCCTGCGCACCAACAAGAGGGGCGAAACTGCCCTCCACGTGGCATGCGAAAATGACTTGGCGGAACTTGCGAAAACTCTTCTCTACTCCGGCGCGCTTCCCAATTTGCAGACTTTGCCCTCTGCAGACGATCCCTCAGATCATCGACAGACTCCACTACACTTGGCAATTAAAAATGGCTGTGATGCAGTGGTTGACATCATTCTAGCTCATAAAAGTTAGTAGAATTCAATTTCCACAGATATAAGAATAATTTAGATTTTTTTCAGATGATGTTAAAGAGAGCAGCAAAACTGCCGACCTCAATTTGAAAAACTCGAGTGGTTTGACACCTTTGGCTTTAGCGATTAGAACTGGAATGAAACACAAGGTGGCTGATCTGATCAATGCGGGGGCTGACGTCAATGTTACCAATTCTGAAGGGCTCACATTGCTGCATTCAGCAATCGAACAGGGTGATTCTGATGCTGCCGTTTTCTTACTCGAACATGGAGCTAATATGTCATGCAGGTAACTTTTTCCAATGAAAAGTTCCCACATTATTAATAAAAAATTATCATTCAAAGAACGCCCGATAGACGAACCCCTCTTCAGCTGTCTATCACCAATTCTTTGCCAGTTGTGGTTGAGGCACTTTGCAAAAGAGGAGTGGACATGTCTATCATAGATAATCAGGGTCGGTGTGCCCTGTGGGCAGCCTTGGAAGATGGCCAAGAAGATGTAGCGTCAATTCTTGTTCGGTATGTTTTTCTCAACTTAAATATATTGGATAATAATTTTTTTATTTTAGATTTGGTGTCGATACTGATTGTTGGGGTCCTGGTCCTGAAGGTTGCCTTCAAACGCTGCTGCATAAATCGATTGATGAAAATTTGACCAATATTGCTTGCTTTTTAATAAGGAGGTTGGAATTTATTGATAAACCTTTTTAAATTTATTGATTGTTGCTTGTTTTTAGTGGATGTGAAATGAATGCACCAAGAAGACCTGGGCCAAATGGGGAAGGAGGCGACGAAGCGCGCGATGGGCAATTTCCTTTGCACATGGCCTGCACTTGGGGACAAGAGCAAGTTGTGCAGACCCTTATTGAGCACAAAGCCCATGTAAATAAAATTTTGTATTTTTTATTTCAATTTTGTAATATTTTTATTCACAATTAGGTGAACGCTAAAGATGCTGATGGAAGAACACCATTGCATCTGGCTGTTTCGAATCAAAATGCAAAAATTACCTCTCTGTTATTGTGCCATCCAGAGCTTGATCTTTCTGTCAGGGATAAGTCTGGTCTAACTCCATTTGCTGCTGCTCTTACGTGCAGAAATAACAAAGCTGCCCAAGCAATTTTAGACCGACTTCCGTCTGCCGCAGAACAGGTTTACTAATTCTTCTTTGTACATTTCAAGTTACGCAAATAATTTTTGCAGTATGACAACAAGGGGCTCAATTTTCTGCATGTTGCCATTCAACGAAATGACTTGGAAAGCGTTCTCTTTTTGCTCTCAATCAACGTCGACCCCAACTCCAAAGTGCGAGATAGCACCATGAGCACACCCCTGCACCTTGCCTGCGCCTCTGTACCAAATCCAAGTAGGATGATTATTAATTTGAAAAAAAAGATTATTTTATTTTGTTCATTTCAGCCGCTACTGGTACGACTGAAGATACGGCCCTTTTGGTGCGGAACTTGCTTTTGGCGGGTGCTCGTCCAAACGAAAGAAACTCGTCTCGCCAAACCCCTCTGCACATAGCTGCAGTTTCTGGTCACTCTGCTGCTGCTTCTGCCCTTTTGCAAAATAATGCAGACCCCGACGCAACTGACGTTGACAACAACAACCCCTTGCATCTTGCTGTCAAAGCCTCTAACCTTCCCGTCGTTCGGGCTCTGCTGACTGAGTCCACTTTAGACGCAGAAGCCAAAAACCTGAGAGGCCAAAATCCACTGCATATGCTAGCTATTTATGGAAAGGATCAAATTGCCTCGGCTATTTGTGAGCTTTTCTTGGAGTGCATGCCACAGTATCCACTGGACGAGCCTGATTTAGAAGGAAATACAGGTAGAATATAATATTTGAATAATGTAATGTACTAATCGATTGAAAAATTAGCTCTCCTGTGGGCATATGTAAAGGGAAAGGCAAACTTGTGTCGAACGTTGGTTAAGTCTGGCTGTTGCGTTGGCACCATGAACAAAGAGGGCATCACAATTTTCAACTATCAAACTCCTACAAAGCAGCTCTTGAGCAAGTAAGTTAATTATATTTTTGAGGATGATAAATGCATACGGTGAATTCTAGATTGCTGGACCTTCTGGGCAAGGAGCCTCCATGGGCTGAAGGGGATATGTGCCTTGAGTGTGGAAGCAAGTTTGGCATCACCATGAGAAAGCATCATTGGTGAGTACCAGTTTTTCTTTTGTAGAAAAATTTCCTTCGTAGTCCTTTTACTTTGTAGTTTAGTTATAAACGTTGAATTATTTATCTTTATTATTTTTGAGCCCTCCCTGATTACAATGCGTTTTGATACAAGTACTCATGCGAATTCTCAATTTGGCAGCCGCCACTGTGGACGCCTTCTGTGCTCCAAATGCTCCAGCTGTGACGTTCCAATTCTCAAATTCGGTCTCAACAAACCGGTCCGCGTGTGCACAACTTGCTTCCAAGTTCTCCAAAGTGGAGTCACGACTTAATTAATCGCGAATATTCATATCAAAATATCAACATGCAGGGTGGCGAATTTCAAAATTGAAGATCTGCGAGACTAAGGAAGATATTTTTGGGTACATGAAAACACATTATTCAGTGGTTTAAATATTATGTCTTCAAGTCTTCATAACCAACACTGTGATTGTTACACTGCTTTTTAGCAAACATTTCGGTTAGTTGAAATGCTAATTCCGATGGTTTTTGGGTCACATGAAAGTATAATTTAAGCAAGCGAAAGTTGCCAAAGTAAAATTTAAATATTGTTACTGTTCCTGCAAAGGACAACAGATTTATTTTTATTCAATTATTTTGCGATAATTTTATGCCATGTGCTAGATTCATTTATATAAAGCATGTTGCAATATTAAGATGTTGATTTAAAAGTGAAAGTTAATAAAACACTTTCGATTGAATGAATAATAAGATAAAAAGATGTCCTCTCATTTGCTTTAGTGTCCTTTGTAAGGGAAATCAAGATTAAACTGTTGGGCCCACTTTTGCAGAAGAGTTAGGGAAACCCCTGATCCGCCACAAACTATGACCACTATTGGCCCTTTAATTCCTTTTGGAATGAGTTCCTTCAGCAGGTCGAAATAAATTACCGAAAGCGCAGCTCCACAAGAAGGCTCCACCAAAATTCTATGGTCATCTGTTGGTTTTTTTTTATCAGAAAAGACCTTTATTCAAAATTACCAAACCTACCTGCAAATCTGACACAACTTTGAACTGCTTGTTTGTCGGTGACAACATGCGGAATGAAATTAAATTTTGGAAGTTCGTCAAACAATTCGGTCAAAATCATTTTCGCTCCAAGAGTAACTGCAATACTGGATTTAAAAAAAAAAATAATAATAATTGCAGGGATTTCAATAAACTATTTTTTAAACCTTGTAATTTCTGCGAGCTCAACGGGCTTTCCTGCCTCCAACGCTTTTCTCAAACAATCGGCCCCCTCGGTTTCAACCCCAATTACAGGGACGTCGGCCCATCCATGGCGCTCAATTCCAGTTAGCACACCCTTAGCAAGGCCTCCACCGCCAACGGAAACAATGAAACAACCTGGTCGCACTCCTTGTCCCAACTGCTTTGCAATTTCGTCCACCATAGTCGAATGACCCTGCCTGAAACAAACATGTTAATTTATGAAATTTATCCGGTTGCATAAGCTACTTTTTTTCTTTTTTGACCTACCAAGTTTCTGGGTGAATGTAGGGGTGGATGTACGAGCATCCCGGTTTTTTTGCTTCCTCCAAGGCCCGATCATTTGCCATGCCAAAGTTGTCTCCATGCACGGTGACCTCGGCCCCTTGCTCCCTCAAAACGTCGATCACCATCTGCGGGGTGCTCTTGGGGATGAAAACGGTGACTGGGACGCCCAAAACTTGACCTGCCCTGGTCACCGCCATCCCTGTATTGCCTCCGGAGGCGGTGATGAGCCTTTTGCATCCTCTTTCCACCTCCTTTTATTATTCACACTTTACAAATTTTCCGTAATTTCTTTCATTTAAAAAATTTTTACCTTCTGACTGTGGTACCCATTGCCGCGAAGTTTGAACGCCCCAGACGGCTGGTCATTTTCGAGCTTCAAGTAAATGTCGCCGCCGACCAACTTGCTCAATTTGTTGCTATAAATCAGCGGAGTTTCTATAAAGATGGGGCACTTGATCTCCGACATGGTGTTTGTTTTTGGAGGCCAATGCGCACACTAAACAGCCGCCAAGGTCGACTACCACTTGGCATGTTGTATAATCTTATCTTCCTGCCGATTGGTCCTCTGCTCATTCAAATTCGGTTTTGTAATCTGTTATATCAGACTTTACTTTTTAGCACCGTCATATCCAGACTTGAGGGAAATTTATTCTCGTTCAAATTTATCTCGGGTGCAAAAAGGAACTTACCATAATTATTATAATAAAACCTGTGATTAAAGAATCAAGAATATAATTATGCTAAATGCATAAACCTTTTAGATCTTATTTTCTACCAAGCTAAACCAAGCTGGACTTACAATCCCTCATAATATTAGTTCAATAACCCCAAGAAAGCGGCAGGCTCAGCTCTAATTGTAAACATAAATTTATACAAGGAATAATTTTGAAGGATTTTCAACTTCAAAGTATGTTGAACTCGGCCTAAAATCAAATCTGAAATTTTTCCTATAAATATACAAGGGTGACATGTTAATGAAAACCCTAGACGCTTCCAAACTCAAGTTTTTAATACTAAAAAACTTCTTCTGTATATCTTCTTGTATTTTTATTTATTTTCCTAAAAATTCATAAAGCTAGAAATTAGGTGTAACTTTTGCCTGAATCGGCTCTAAACGTAAATGCATTTCTCTGGCGTCGTTTTTGTTTTAGTAAAGTTAAACGTTTTTCTTTTTTTTTTAGTTACAAAACAAACACATTTTAGGGGAAGTATTAAACTACTTTCTACCGAATCTAATTAAATTTTTAAATTGCAACACATCAATCTGATTGTGGAAGTCGCGATGATGCATCTCTCTAAATCAATTAGTTTGGCAGTGAACTGTTTGATTGTGATGTGCCTGCTCGCGGCACAATTAATTTTCGGCGGATACAGCGAGAGTCCTTTGATCGATCACTAGGCGAAGCAAACAGCGCCGATTTCGATCCAAAAACTCGAGTCGTCGCCGCCTAGGTCCCTGGACGCTAAGTCGACAATTGGCAGCCGCGCCGATTTGTCCGTTTTGTACGAAATGACCGTCTTCTTCCAAGTTCCGTCTTTGACCTGAAATTCAAATTGCGAAAGTAACAAATGCAATTTCGATAAGCGCCGAGATTAGCAAATTTTTGAGGCCATCCATGCGGGAAACGTGCAACGCGGAACGTGACCCATATTGAAATGAGCACCGAATCGTGTGCAAAATAGTATGAAAAATGATCCCCCCATGGCATATTTCTAGTCTGTAGTGATCTCCTGTAGTTTATGCAACCCGCACAAATTTACGCGCACTTCGAGTAAAAAAAGAGAATTTATAAGTGGATCAAGACTACATTTGTTGCGCTTGATGAAATTTTTTAACGTTAATGAAGAATTCAAATATGAGAACAATTTCGTTTATAAGAGAAACAACTTTTATATGAATAATGAAAATTATGAAAACCAAATCTCATGTTCCATGAAATAGATTTAAGTATTTGGATCTGATGAAGTATTTCCATGTAAACAACTTTACATTTATTAATTATAAAAAGAAAATTATTTATTCTAACATTTAACAACTATTTTTTAAGATTTAAAAAATAGAAAAAATGTGTATAATATTAAAGTTGAATCTAATTGATTAATCAAAACGTTCAGTTGCGTGAGGATTTTAAAAATTAATCATAAGAAACAAAAAGTTACTGAAGTTCATAGCTCAAATTTATGTAATGAAATAATTATTAATTGAAAAAAAAATCCTTACAAATCAGATTTGGTTTTCAAATTTTTTCGAAAACGCTTTTTCCGCTTTTTTTGTTCAAAATCTTTGCAAAAATCTTTATCCTTTATCTTGGTGTGAATTGGTTCACACAATTTCAAATTACTCTTATAATTTTTGAGCAAGTGGAGTGTTTTAAGATTTGAAACATGCTGCCCGGCGCACCTTGCACTCGTCCTCGAGGACGTCGTATCGGAGCCTCTGGTTGCCCCTAGGCAAAATCTCGCCGTCGTTCCATCCCATCAACTTGACACCTTTTCTGTGCGTTTTTTTGTCTGCGTCGTAGTAGGCCACCGAGTTCTTGCAATGGTACGTTAGATTTTGGGATGCAGATGAGCTGAGCAGTTGCAAGAAGCCGATCTGATTGCTGTCCGCTTTGTAAGTCATCTGAAAGTGATTTCGGAATTCAAGGCTCCGCACGTCAGTGCTAGAATTATCAATGCATGTATGTGTTCGCAACATGTGCGGGAATAATTTTGAAATTGTATTGGGTAGTAGAAAGTGAGACAGAAACGTGACTGAAATCTGCCAATAATAAATCGACCTTCATTCCCTGCGGCATGTCGCCCAGCCACATCTCCGTTTCTCTGCCTTTGTACGAGATTTCGGCCGACTTTGACGGGCTCGGGTAGATGCAGGTGGCACGCTCGGTCATGTCGCAGTACACGAGGATCGCGTCCCGCGGGTCACCTTCGTTCGGATCGACCCAGTAGTCACCTTCAAACAAGTCAAAGAGGTCACATTTAGTTAATGCGAGTTGCATTATACAAAATCAAAGAGTAGTGAAGCGAAAATCGTCAAAGTCAAGGCGATATTCAAATATAAAAATGATATAATAAGAGAGTTTGCAATTTGCATTAAATAACACGCAGTACTTTTTCGACTTTGTCGGTAATTTTTTGTGTTTGAATAACGTCAATGAGTGCGACTTATGGAAATGATTCTTGTCACGGACACATTCTTTACGCAACCACAAGTAGCACAAAAACTTTTTGGCATAATATTCCGATTTGTCACTAAATTTGCACCTGAAGCGTTTGATAATCTGTTTTTGTTTTTTAACATCACTAAATATTTAAATGTTTCATTCAGTAAAAAATAATTCATTTTCGTGCATTCAATTTAAATAATTATCCAAAAATTATTGGATTTTTTTTTATAATTCTCACCGCTTTCTTTTGTGGGATAAGCAATCGCCAAATCGCGGCAAGTCCTCGCCGGTGCAGTTTTGTCGCCGTCGGGGTTCTTGAAACGTTCAAAAGACTTTTTGAGCTGTTCGAAAGCCTTTTCCACCAATTTTTTCCTCTCGTCTTCAGAGATTTCCTTGCCAAATATTCTGACCGGCTGGTCTCCACTTGCAGAGTCAGGACCCTGCACCAAAAAGTCAATTATTTTTATTTAAATCGGTTGCAACTTAAAATAAAAATTCGCACTTTGCTGCCGAAGTTAACTTGGCTTTGCGATGACAAAAGAGCAGCTACGGTGGCTGGGTCGTATCCAAGGGATTCTCCCGGTGGACCTGGCGGACCTGCAGGTCCCACTTCACCCCTAGGACCCTGTCGCCCTTCTTCACCTTGAGTACCCCTAGGACCAGGTGGTCCGATCAAACCTTGAGGCCCTGGTGATCCGTCTCTACCCGGTGGGCCCCTAGCACCAGATTCGCCATCCTTTCCAGGTGGACCTTTTTCAAATTTTCAATCAAATTTGATTTATTAAAAAAACAACAATATTATTATTATTTTTATTAATAAAGTATTTTCTTTGAAATCCTTTATTTACTTGTATTTAAAGGAGCCAATTATTCAATTAATTAGCGCATTAAAAAAATATTGTATATATCTTCTTTTTCATAAAAATAGGTCAATACCATTCATTTGAGAAGTTGTTTTGGAATTAAAAATAGATTTCTAATATTTTTATTTTATATTACCGGTATTAATTTGTTTGAATTAATTTTTATATTATCACAAATTTAATATATATGTTATTTCAAATATTTTTTGATATTTTTTTTTTCAAATTTTTATGCTTACCGATTGGTCCGATCATGCCTTTTTCCCCAGGCGGGCCCTGAAATATTTGAAGTGGCCGTTCATTTCAGCTCGTATCAATCTTGCTCGCATGCATCGAGCATCTTTATTTTTGGCATGCTTCATGCGACGTACTGCGGCACCGGATGGGCCCTGAAGTCCCAAAAGGCCCCTGTGGCCCTTTGCACCCTTTGGTCCTGCCTCCCCGGATTCGCCCTTAGCACCCTCTGCTCCCGGAGCACCGGGTTTTCCTCTCGGCCCAATTTGACCCTCCACGCCCTGAGGACCAGTTTCTCCCTTCACGCCTCTCTCACCGGAAGGTCCCGGCGAGCCCGGCTGGCCAGCTGCACCCTAAAAATTTTATAAAATGCTCAGAATGATTTTAACTTATTAAAGTTTTACTTACCGGAAGTCCTACTGGACCCTGAGGACCTGCTTGACCAGGGCTGCCGATCGGACCTTTGTCGCCGTTTCGTCCTGCAATTCCGGGTGGACCTGGTTTGCCGGCAGGTCCTTCAGCACCAGGCTCACCATTAAGACCTAAAAATTTAAATTTTGTTAATTAAATTTATTAGCAATTAATTTTCGTTACCTGGTGGTCCCTGTGGACCGTTTAGACCTGGTGGCCCTGGCTGACCTTCCTTGCCCTGCTTTCCTGGTGCTCCATTCTCACCCTTTAAATTTTTTCAGGAATTAATATTTTTTTATTAAAATGAAAGAAGTAATTTTACTGGAGACCCTCTCGCCCCCTTGGGACCAACACCACCGCTGGGGCCCGGAAGCCCAGGCAGCCCCCTTTCGCCGGATGGGCCCTGTGGCCCTCTAGCACCAGGTGGCCCTTTCGAACCAGCAGAACCTAGTACAAAAAATTAAGAAATTATACCCCTTGCAAAACAAAACTATTTATTCATCGCGGTTGACGCGCGAGAGAGATGCACAAAGTCAAACGTTGAAGTGAAAACAAATCGTATGCTAAGTTATTTTTTTAACTGACGTCATTCGGCCAGACAATGTCGAGATGGACTTAATTATTTTATATAAAAAGCAGTACAAATAAGTCACCTGCTTCTCCTTTTTGGCCTTCTGCGCCCGGTGCACCTGTGAGACCCTGTGGGCCGGGGTTTCCTATTCGGCCGACCTCACCAGCGGTGCCTTTGATTCCTAAAAGACGTCACGCGACGTTGAGTGATTCGCATTACCATCAGCCGGTCTTTTACACTCATTCAAAAATTAGCATTGTTCGAACCGGCCGTATATATTTTGCATAATTAAAATAAGAAATTATACATACCTGGTGCACCCGGTGGCCCAGCCGGACCTGCAGATCCAGGGTTGCCCTTTAATTCACATGTCATGTTTAGGAATTTTGATTCGCCAAATATGTTAAAATTACCTGAAGACCCTGTTCACCTGGTCGACCCGGTGGACCCATCAATCCCGCGTCACCCCGAAGACCTTTAAAAAAATTTGCATGATTCAATATCATGTATCACTTTCTAGACGCTGATATTTTTACAACAATATATTTCCACAATATTGTTTTGTATATTTTAGAATTGTAAATTTTAGACAAATGAAATTAAAATATTTAAATTCCTCTGCATACCTGGTTCACCTCGAGCACCCTTGGCTCCGGTCAACCCAGTCAAACCCTGTGGACCGGCTTCTCCGGGGCTCCCTAATATTTACCGCGTTTATGAAATTTGCATTTAGAGATTTTTTTATTTTTTGCTTCACCAGCTGTCCCAGGATTTCCTTGGTCTCCTTTCAATCCGTAAGCACCTCTTTCTCCTTTTAAGCCGGGCAAACCGATCAGACCTTGTGGCCCGGGGAATCCCTAAAAGTCGAAAATTAAATTTCAGACACATGAATAATACATAATAATTGAGCTAGTTAAAATTGTCATTATAATTGTTCAAAAGCACCTGTAAACCAGGTGGACCCTGGGAGCCTCGTTCTCCGGGTGACCCATTTGCACCGTTTTCTCCTATAATAAAGTTTTAATTTTTATTAATTTAATATTTTTCAATTTCCAACCTCTAGTTCCTGGTGGACCCGGTTCTCCTCTTTCAGCAGGTTCTCCCGGTGGGCCCATTGGTCCGATCTGTTTTTAAATTTCGTTTTATTTTGTACTAACCATATTTCATAATTTACCATGCCTGGAGCACCCCTTTCTCCCTGTCGTCCCTGTGGACCTTCTACTCCAGGACTTCCACCGTTTCCTTTTTCACCCTTTTCACCTGCTGCACCAGGCAGGCCTCGTAATCCCGGCAACCCCTAGTAAAATTATGCCAGTAATGGGCATGGAGGAAACATAATTTTTACTTACAACAATGCCCGAAGGTCCAGAATGCCCCTTGTCACCCTTTTCACCGGATGGCCCCTAAAATTTATATTTGTATATTGAATCAGGCTCAAATTTTTTGAAATTTTCCTTACGGGCGGTCCGTCTGCTCCCTGAGCTCCGGATTCTCCTCTTGGGCCGGTACTCCCGGGTGCCCCAACAGGTCCTCTCTCGCCAGGGTATCCTCTTTCACCTCTGGAGCCAGCAGGACCAGTTAGACCCGGCGGCCCGGAAACTCCCGGTTCGCCGTCTTTTCCGGCAGCTCCCTGCAGCCCCATAGCTCCTGGCAACCCCTAAAGAATAAAATATTACTTGAAGCTCAAATATACCCTGAAATACTTATCAAATATTAAAACTAAACACCAATCATTGTTAGAAACGAAGACCCAAAAGCTTTACATTGTTATTATATCAAGAATTAATTACTTATAATTAATTATAAAATATCGCAGTCATATTTTTTCTAAGCGTTGTGGTGTCATTATTTTTTTTTTTCTTTGTAAAACGTATTGGTTGCCCTTGTCATACAGTCAAAGTTTATTTGCTTCAGATCTTGAAATTTTATTGATGAATCAAGAAATAGCACATATAATTAATGCCAGCAAAAATTTGTGAATACGCTAATAAGAAAAGATAACCATCAAATTCATGATTCTCGCCAACCTTAAAAACAGCGGTCGTTTAAAAAAATTGAATTAATAACAGAAAACAAAAAAAATCCATTAAAAACAAATACTATGCAATGATTTCTCTCTTATCAAAATCGCGTATAAACACGAATTACACCACTTTATTGTCCGCTAAAAAAGTATAATAATTATTAATATCTTATTCTGATAAATAGTAGTACTACAAAGAACGAAGTTGATTGTTGAGCCAGGCTGTGATATAAATGAACAGTAAAGGAAATTTGAAAACTCGTCTACACAAAATAATAAAATGGTTACGTTTTTTATAAGTAATAATAAATAGTGAAATTAATTTTGTCAACAATGAAATCGGTATTATTTGAAAAACAAATTAATAAAAGTTGGTAATTTATAGTAAGTCGGAAAAAAATAAGAAATTTCTATATTTTAAGCTATGGCCTTTAAAAGCATTCAGATGCACTCGCAAAATAACTTGCTTTCATATTACGCACACAAAAACTAGATCCAAAATGATCAAAATTGTGCAAATATTCAGTGTTTCTCCTCAATTTAATTCACCACGTGAGCAAAAAGAGATAATCAAACGTTAGTTTAGTACGCATATTGAACTAAACGATTGGAATATCAAAATACAAAATCTGTAGGACCAATTTATATCTGCTTAATTGTACATAAATGTCACTTACCTGGAATCCTCTCGCGCCGGGTGGACCAGGTGGGCCTCTATCACCGTCAGCACCTCTAGGGCCAGGAAGGCCCTGAATTCCAGGTGCTCCCTCCTTTCCAGCGTCTCCTCTCGGCCCCGAAGGCCCCGGTGCCCCGACATCGCCGTCTTTTCCCGCCTCACCCTACAAACGGTGCATGTTTTGTGAAGATCATAAAAATTATATAATTACTCACCGGGATCCCCTTATCTCCGGGGAGCCCGACAGGACCTATAGGGCCCTGGATCCCTTGCAAGCCCTGTTCACCAGGTTTTCCGTCCGCGCCAGGAAGCCCTCTTTCTCCACTATTACCTACAATCATCAAAAGTTAATCTTTGTTTTTAATTAATTATATTTTTTTACCTGGTTTTCCTGCAGGCCCTGATTTCCCTGGTGGGCCTCGCAATCCCTAGATTTAATTTCAACGAGTGAAAATTTTAACTAATTTAATTTGATTCAAACCTGCTGGCCCGGGGGTCCAGGCCGCCCTGCATCTCCGTTTGTGCCTTTTTGACCTTGCGGACCAATCGGGCCCTTATCGCCAGCGTGACCTTTTCATTTTTAAATTAGAACGTGATTTCAATTTATTTTTTAGTCACCTTTTGGTCCCGGGGGGCCGTCAATACCAGGCAATCCTCTTCCGCCACTTGGTCCCCGCTCACCTGCAGGTCCGGGTGGTCCGGGCGGCCCATCAGTTCCTACAAAGTAAATTTAGAGCTTATTTAATCCAATAATATTTTTACTTAAAATTATTCAACTGTGTGTTATAAAAACAAGATAGGTCGTTTGTATTGAAAAAATGACAATGAACAAAAAATGAAAAGCACCACATAATATTCCGAAGGGCAAAAAGTTAATTGATTTCATATTATACTATTGGTTGTGTGCCGCAGCCGAGTCAATGTCAGGCGTTGTAGCAGACGTCTGTTAGTTATGTGTTCTTAATAATATTTCATTTTTTCTTACTTGAGGTGAATAATAAAAATGACAACTAAGGAATAACTTTAATGGAACTTTTTCTGATAATTTACCTCTTTTGCCACGTTTTCCCTCTGAGCCTTGTGGACCAGGTGTGCCCCTCGGACCAGGAGCTCCAGCTGAAAAATTTATAAAAAAAAAAAAAAATATTTACATGCGAGTTCAAAGTAAATTTTTAAATAATCCGATTGTATTTAAAACCTAAAAACATTGACAATGTTAGATTATTTACCTTCGCCCTTCATGCCTGCGTCACCTTTGAATCCCCTCTCACCAGATATTCCCTTGAAATAAGATTTAGATTTATAACATTTATTATTTATAAAATGTAATAACGAATAAAATATGAACGCATATTATAATAATACCGGTGCCCCCTTTGCTCCAGCAGGGCCAGGGCTGCCGGCATTTCCAGGCTGCCCCCTCGCACCAGGAAACCCTAAAAATTTTAAATTAATTTTTTTTTCTTTTTAATTTGAACTTTTTACCTGGTGGACCGGGTGGACCTGCAGACCCTTGGCTTCCTTTTTCTCCAGGGTTACCGTCTTTACCGGCAGGGCCTTGCTGCCCCGCCTCACCGTGCAGTCCAGGTCGACCAGATTCTCCTCGCGGGCCCTGCAGACCGGCGCTGCCTTTAGGCCCAGAAGCTCCCTGGTCGCCTTTCATCCCTGGTGACCCCGGAAACCCTGGTGCGCCAGGTTTGCCTATTTCACCCTGTAGAAATCAGTTTTAGCCAAAAATAAGTCAGGTTCAACGATCCGCAATATTGGAGTTTATTTTTACTTTTTAGGTTAGAGACATAAAATTAACTTTAAATTTATGATTGAGTTACTACTAAATTAACTCACAGGCGCTCCAGGTGGACCCGCAATTCCGTCAATGCCGCGTAGACCAGGTGGCCCTGTAACATTAATTTTAAGTAAATTATTTAAATTATTAGGAAGATTACCTGGTGGACCTTCGCGTCCTCGTTCTCCTCTTGTTCCTGCAGGACCCATCGGTCCCATGGGGCCGACCTGCCCAGGTGCACCTTAAAATTTGCATTTTAAATCAATTTTGTGGACATTTAGTTATTCAAAGATATGCTGAAATTTTTAATTTTAACGTTGTGTTTTTGTTAAGCACAGATAATTATACAACAATTCAAAGAACGTGGCACACAATAGGAGAGTAATTGATGTTTTACAGCTTGATTAGTTTGAAGATACTCATTCAGTGAGAGGGAGAGAAAAAATAGACAAAATAAAATTACTTTCAATATTAATAATAATATTGTAAACATTTTTCGTTACTTTTGAATAATGTGTTTTTAAAAAATAAGGCGGAAGTTAATAGGAAAAACTTTTTAATATTACTCTATTACATTTTCATTGAAAAAGTCAATGCCGATTATTGAAATATTAAGAAAGAAGAGAATAATTTAAAAATTCCAGACTGATTTAATATATTTATCTGTAATAGCTGGTTGTTTATTTTGATATAAAATAGTTACATACTTTGTTTAGGTTTAATATTTAAAGTATCTTTTCTTACCTTATTTTCAATTAAATTTCAAATTTATAAAAACAATAGTGGAAGTTTCTGTTATTCACATTAACAGTAAGAGCTAACAAAACCCGTTCATTGTTTTTGTATTTCCATTGCTAGTTATCGGTATATCATAAGGTCGATAAAAATACACGTCATGTGGACATTATTTGTTTGAAATAATTACCTGGTGATCCTTTTTCTCCATCTTTTCCTTGCTCCCCTTTAGCACCATCAATTCCAGGGAATCCCCGATGACCTTTTAGTGTTAAAATATGAATAAATTATTGCCCCTTGCCCAATGTAGAGTACAAATTCCAAGTAAAATTTACCTTTCACTCCTGGGAGACCAGGCATCCCCGGCATCCCTCTCTGACCGACGGGTCCTGGTGCACCGATGCTGCCTGCCTCACCGTCCTCACCCGACTCGCCCTTCAAAGTAAAATTTTCAGGAGCGATTCTGATTGAAAATGCGCGGTGATCAAAAAGAATAAAAAAAAAAACCCAACTTGGACTGATGCATAGCTCTTAAATTTTCAGCGCGAAAAAATTCAGTACCTCCAAAGTAGAAAATTTGTGTTTAGAGTATTCTTAAAATAAAATTAAAGCTTCTTGTCGTTTCAAACAGCTTCTGACATAAAATTTTATGCTGAAAAACCGCTGCAGACACCAAAGGTCAAAGTTAGAGGTCAACTGGAAAGGTGATCCTTGAGCAAAAAAGTCAATGTTATGAAATTTTGCACTTCTAATATTTTTGTATTTCATTTTCAAAATGAATTTATTTATGCATTAGTCATTTAAAATTTTGGAGGGGTGCATTTTATTTTTGAGAAATTAAGCCCCTAACTGATGTTGCAAGTAAAATTTTATCCCCTATTGCCAACAACAAGTTAAATGAGCAGGTTTAAAGATTTCTCAAAAAGAAAAAACCTTTTAAATTTACTTGTTTACTTATTTTCTGCTGATGTTTCAACAAACAAATCTGGATGTAGTTATTTTGATTTTTTATCCCAGCGAAATATGACCTAGTCATTTTCTTTCAAGGCTTCAAAATTCAAAATTTGTTTAGCGTTAAAAGTTAAACCAGTAACTAATAAGCAATCCGAAAAATATTTGCCGGTTCTAGATTGTTGTGATCTGAATAATGGTCATGTAACTCGTCCCTGGACTTGTTCTTGAACATTATTAGAAAATCGAAAAATCTGCTTTTGTTTCGTCTTAATTCGTCCCATCGTCCCTCACATTCAGTTTCATTTTGTTACTCTCTCATTTGCAGAGCGAAAAAAATAGAATTTTTTTCGTGTTTATTGTATTCAGCCTTCATCACCGTCAGCAGTTTGATTTTAAATTGAACATTTTAATACGCGCAAATTCTGTCGCATTTTCTGTCCTTGGCCGTGTTTGTTACTCACGTTTGCTCATTGCTGCAGAAAAAATTAGCATATGCAACCGGCAGCTCTGCTGTGTCTAACGTGATGCATAATTCCATAATAATGTGGCTCTCGTGCGTACGCGGTTTGTTTAATCGCACAATTTGTTATTGTCAATATCAAATTAATTGAATATGTGTTTAAATTGCATAAAGCTATTTATATAGGTATAAGGCTGATTCTAGAGTGACCGCAACTAATTGCAAGAAGAGATTGAAAGTATTGTGATAAAAACTTACATCCTTACCGGGGAGCCCCGGGAGCCCCCGAGGACCCGCCTGACCAGCTGGACCAGTAGGCCCTGGCTCACCGATTTCACCCCTAGACCCTGAATAGCCCTGTGGCCCTGGTGGACCAGGTGAACCTTGAATAATAGATTAAAATATAAATAAAATATAAAGAAGTATAAATAACAATCGAAAGAAAAAGTTACAAAACCAATTTACCTGGTGGTCCTCTCGGTCCAACTGGCCCGACTTGTGCTTGCAAGTATTGAAATGGTTCTGGAAAACTGGGGCCTTTATCTGCACTTGTTTGCTGCTGCATTGAAAGTTGCTGGAGGTAGCTTGAAACCTAAATTCATCAACTTGATTAAAAAAGAAAAATTATTTGCTTTAAATGAATTACATCTGGTGTAGGACCTGGTGGGCCTGGTGAGCCGGGAGTTCCTAAAACCAACCATACATCAGTTTATTTTGGCTTTAATTTTTTAATATTTGATTTCCTACCGGGGATTCCAGGTGCACCGGGGTGGCCGGAATCTCCAGGTCGACCCTGTTCTCCCTGTGGACCGGTATCGCCCTAAAGTTTTTAGTTTTGTAAAATCACATAAATTTTCAAGTTAATTTTGCTCTACTCTTTGTCCCGGAAAACCAGATACGTCCGTTCTCGGCCCTTCATTGCTCTCCCCAGGCTAATAAAAATTTACATTGATTAGATTATTTTACTCGAAAATCGAGATCCTACCGTTCCATCTGGACGATCATCATCTGGCTCTAGATTTAAATTCAGCGATTAAAAATGTTTAAAATTGTTTTTGTTTGATTACCAGCACAAACGGAGCAGCACCCGCCTAGTGGAATGTACTGATCTCCAGGGCAGTCGATTTCAGGACATACAATCCCCTCACAGTCGTTTTCTGTTATTAAAATTTGATAATTTTCCTCGTAATTAATCAAAACGGCAAACCTTTTGAGCATCCCTCGCGTTGGCTGCACTCGACTGTGCCTTCTTCGCACATGCAAGTGGTGCACTTGTCCGGCTGCCAAGTTTCACCATCTTTATGCGGCTGCCCCTCGAATATGCAACCTGGTGGCTCGGCTGAATTTGGAATATAATTTTAAGACTTTATTTAATTTAGATAAAGAACAGAATTACGAGTGATTCCTGGCTCGGTCTCAACGGTGGTTGTCCCCTGAGTTGTTGTTGATGTTGTTGTTGTCGTGGAGGGTGTTGTCACCACTGCAGGTCGAGCCGTCGGTCTTGGTGGTTGCGGAGATGATCTACCTGGATGGGCAGATAAAATGAAAATGAGATTTAAAAAAAATTATAGAAATGAAATATGTACCTGGTTGAGTAGGAGGAGGACCTCTTGAAGGTGACTGAGGGCCCTCGCGAGCTTTAAATAAATTATTTTCAATAATTTATCTATTCTTTCATTTGCTCTCAAACAAATGTTTTTGTAAAAAATGTAAAATATAACTTTCGTTACTCTTACAATTAGCATTAGAATTTTGAATTGATCTACATTAATTTCAATGTGCTTTATGAGTGAAAAATTGAATTCATTGAGTGTTGACGTAATAGAGGAGTCAGAAAATTAGAAATTATGGTAGTCGAGCCGGCGAGAGGAGAGCGTTTTTCTTTTCTGTTTGTAATCAAGGGGGTCACTCCTCAAGATTGATCTCTGCTCTCGGCGCCTGACTGCACCGAAAAAAACAAACACGCTCTCCTTTTGCTCATTCTTTATTCTCAGTGGCTAATTCGATGACTAACAATAAAAGGCACACACAACTGACTCGTGTGCAGCCATTTCCATCAACGCCAATTGAGAGATTATGTAAAATTAGCGGACCTGTCCGTTGAAATTCAATTGCGCCCTGGGAATCTGCATTTTAATTATGCAACGCGGCACACAGTGCATTCACATCGCGTCTCGCAGCCTTTATTTAATGATGGCGCATCGTGGTAAATTAATCATTTACTTATTAAATTAAAAAAGCGAACCCATACCAGAATAATATTTTATTAATATTTAGCTTCAATTTTTTCACACCTCTTTGGTAACATTGTTAAATTTTCTTCACTTTTAAATATTTTATATAAGAGAATAATTTTATCTCTGGTTTGACGCAGACAGAAATTATGTTAAACCCGTTCCAAAATTATTAGCGATGTAAATTTAAAATTCAGCAAAAAAACGGTCAGTAAAAGGGCACAAAATTTGAATATTTCGTGAAGACGTACGCGGCTTAATTTTATGTTTTATTCAAAGTCATCTCAACAAAATCCCCGTCACTGAAATGTAGGTTATACGCAGTGTCGGTCTGGCAGAAAAAAAATTATAAACGCGCTTTCTTCCTGCGAGGCCGCTTTTAGCGGGCGACTCGTGCATTTCAAGTATGAAAACGTTGAATATCAATGGGGTGAATTTGCACCGCGCGGTAAACGTGATTGCCATGTGCAGCATCACGTGGGTATAACTGTGAGAGATGGTCAGAAATGTCACTTTTCAGGAACAAAACAATTGACGCAATTCCCTAGTTGAAAAAAATTGGCGATTAAAATAAATAAAAAAAATTTACAATGCTTTAATAGAATTTGACATTTAGAATCACGATCTGATTGGGCTGCAGGATCATATTATTTTTCGGTCTCAATTTGGTTGTGGAGCGGCGTGCTGGTGTCAAAGCTGTTAACACCAGCACGGTTCCTAGCAACCGAGATGCATGTGTGGAGGGCATTGAAAAAATAAACGTTCCAGAACTCTTTTTTGTTTCTATTCTCTCGACGCTTACAAAACTACACACGAGAGATATGCGCGTTTCCAAAACGGAAGCACGGGCCTGATGGATGAAGAAAATCTGGTCCAACTCAGAAGATATCAAAAGCGTTTCCAATAAATTTAAGGCGTAATATTGAAATTGCAAAATACTTTTGATATATTAAGGTGAACTAAATCCTCCAATAGAAATAAAATAAATAAAAATTATTGTTTATTCTACTACAAAGAAAATTGAACAAATTTAATTTAAAAATGCTCTTATTTAAAAATATTTTTCACAAATTACGTCATTACATTCAGATTTTATTTATACACTTTGTTTCATGAAATTTTAAATTTTTGCCTTAAAGTAACAGATTTTAATTTATAATTTAATTATTTGTTTAAATTTTAAATGATCTTAAATTATTAACCTAGACGCGTACTTCTTACCTCCTCCACCAACTGGCGGCGGTTGTCCGTTGTTGTCTTCGTACTCGTCGTAATACTCGCTGTACTCGTACTCGTAATTCTCGCCATTGTTATTTCCGTTGGCCCCCTGTCGCTTTTTGGCCTGGGCGACGGCCACACAGGCCAGCAGCAGCAGCGGCAGCAGGAGCCACGGAGGACTCCTCATGGTGCCAGCGACTGCGGCCCGTCTGGCAGCAGCCACTTGGCGGCCCAAGTGCATCCTCACGGCAGGGTGGGGAACATGCTGTACATCACACGAACAGCCCTTTTTTGCATACGTGACACTCTTTTTAACTGAAAAAGTATATGACGTGTGTCCGTCTCTCATTGTTTATTTTATTATGTTAGCCAACTTTTAAAAGTCAAACGGAGAGTCGCAATGGAAAAAAGAATGTATTATAAATTTATCATAAAACGGAGACAAATCTGTCCTCGGGGGCTGTGATATAATTTTGATGTGTTCCACATTTTTTTACTTTTCGACCTTCAAATTTTTCTTGATTTTTACTGACTACATCACTGAAAAAACTGTCAGGATTTTTTTTTTAAATTTATATATTTATAATCATAATAAAATCGCTTATCTTTCTTTACAGTGAAAAACGTCCTACAACGTACTTTTTGCCCTTTAATTGTTTTAAGGTCACGTTTTATAAATAAAAAAAGTAATTTATTCACTTGACTCTATTTTACAAAAGGAAACTTTTTGCGTCGTTAACAAATAATCTTAATTTGATTTTTATAATTTCTTCTTATTATTGGAGATGTAGAGAAAGAAAAATAACAGGCGGAAATTTTTTGAAAGACGACCTGTTTGACATCTGTGTAGGTTAGGTTGCATAAAAACGATTCGAGTACATTTTTTTACAATATATTATAACTCAACTGACGTACAACTTGCGACCTTTGAAATTGAAAAAAAGTAAGATATATTGTATCACACAATTTAAATAATTATCGTAACTTTGCCAAAGAGAAAATATTTCAGCGAAAATTTTGAATTTTTCCTAAAATAATTACATGAGGGTTTTATTTATTTTATTGTTATGGAAATCATGAGTGGTTGTTAAGTTATTTTTTCTATTTACTTGTTGACTGATGTGTTATAAACAATTCAGGGCACTTCAATAAATGGCGTTTTTGCAGCCACCCGCGCATCGGTCGCTTTGATACTTTTAACACATCACTCTCATTGTTCGTTCGCCTTTCAAAGAATTCCGCTCGCCCCGTATCTCAATCATCAGCGACGCGAAAATTTGCGCTCGTAAAATTCTCAAGAAGTGCATGCAGTGGCGTGGCAACCTCTCTGTCTGCTGCTGGTCCAACGCAAAAAGTCTGATTCAAACACACAGCGGATCCTATGTGTATAATAAAGGAGCAATTAAAGCTCTCACAGACACGCTGCTCTGTTCCCTGAAGAGTCAAATCAAACAGGAAGAGCTGGTTTTCAAGAATAAATGCTACATTTATTTGCTTATTGGACGATCAATTAATTTTGAATAAATTTTGTTCAAAATCAGTCATTTGAGTAAATGACTTCCAATCATATTTGATTATGTATAAAATAAAAAATCTGCAGTTCTAGAAATAAGCGTGGATCTTTTGAAAAGATTGAAAACCAATTGTTAGAAAAAAATACTTAAAGCTGAATTGAATTGAAAGCTTATCTTAAACTAAATTTCATTTGATTTATATGTGCGAGAAAATAATAAAATCCTTAAAATTTTTTAAAACAATATAACTTTTTGTGAACTTGAATCGCAGCTTCCAAAAATAATAAATCATGAAGCTAAATTTTTCTAACAGAACTAAAGATCTTTTTATTAATGTGTAATTTTCATTCAGAGACAAAATAATATCACCCTAATTTTGACAGAAAACTTTTTATTAAACATTATGCACAAAGATTCTTCACATGAACAGTTTCCAGAATTTCAAATTATCTTCTTTAATTCTGAACAAGTCTAAAGAATATTAAACGTCAATTTCAATAACTATACGTTCGTTTTCAAAAATTACCAATAAAATTTTATAACAATTAGGAACTTAGCGTTTTGACATTTTTGACCAAAGTTTAGTCACTGTCAATGAACTGAAAAATGCTCTGAGATCGAGCAGCAACTGATTTCGGCTAGAGGCTTGATTAATGCTCGATTACGTCATTTCATCGCCAGCATGATGAAGAAAACAGGCAGCGGCGCTGATACAAGAAGCTTCCATGCGTGGCTGGAAAAAAAACAACGAAATTCGGTGCGAGATTACAAATGGGCCGCGAAAGCTCTCTCGGATGGAAGAACCATCTGCGAATTGACCTTGGCAGGCACAAGTGTGCAAAAACACATTCAAAGAGCGTCTCGGAAGGAGCGTTAAATTTTGAAAAATGCATTCGATTGGCCCTCTTTTAATTAGGGCTGCTGGCTGCCCACGACAAAGAGGTGCGGGCTTTTCTCCGAGTCGACGTTGCGGACGTTTGGTGCCGCCTTGGCAGGCGCCGCGTTGATTACAGCCACCGTGTTTGATTTAGCGCGCGCTGCCGCCTCCAAATTTTCCGCCGCGCCCCCCGAGTTGGGGTGCGTGTTGCGAATGTGCCTTTCCAGGTTGTCTTTTCGCCGCACGGAAATTTCACACACAGGGCACTTGAACTGCTTCTTTTCTGAAAAAAAAATCATTAAAATTAAACAAATTAAATTAAAAAGAAAAATAATTGCAATTTTTTATGGGGATAATGTATTTTTGCTCTTTATTATTAATTGAAAAAAATCAAATTACTTGGTAATTTTTTTAAATCCCGGCTTCTGTCTGCTTAAGTCTATAATTGGTTTATTTTTTACTTTTTTTATAATTTTATTTATTCATTGTGCAATAATAACAGGTGGACAACTACAAAATTGTAAATATTTGGTTTTGGAGATATTTTATATATCCTCCATTATTTTAAATTTTAACTGTTATAAATCATTCCAAAGTGCCTTTGATTGAAGTAAATGAAAGTGACGTTGTTAGAAACTTAATCTATTAAATACTTAAATTAACGTCCGTATTTTGCCGATTTGTGCGCGAAGTAAGCGCCATTCGTTCAGTGTGGTAAAGAAGCACGCTGTCGCCGATCGAAGCGCGCTGTGTGGTTGTGTGCCTAAAGTGGCTGCTTGGCACTCGAATGCCGCGTCGAACTTTGCCGCAACAAGCGTGTGTAGTATCAGGATCGCATAAATGCTCAGTGGGTTGCGCGTTGAAAATTCCTCAAAATTTTCCCTAATTTTGTGGCAAATCGATACAAGAAGTTTACGATTTGGAATTAATAATAATTGTTTATAATTTTGGCTCATCGCATCTTAATTCGCAATTTAGTCTGCCATGATATTTTAAAAAATATTTTTACTTGTCAATTTTTATCGAATGTGTAACTTTTTGTTCGGTTTGTAAGAGGACCAGGCATTTCTGAACAGGATTTAGTTAATTTCGTCGGAAATGAATATTCCTAATGCATTAGAAACTGAGAAAAAGTAAAAAATCTAATTCTTTAAGTAATATGTGAAAGTTTGATTCTAATTTTGGTGCTTTGGTCAGTTTGTATTGATAAAAAGTTCTCATTTCTGCTGTGGCCAGCAGTTGAACGGTTGGTATGGTTACAGTCAAGGCAGCTCAATGTCCTCAGCATGACAATGTTGCCCACCGGCGTGCCAGGCCAACATGAATCTGTAGAGCGCTCGAACGACGGTCGCCCTCGGGGAGGAGCGCCGAGTGCCCAGAGTGCCTGCGTCCGCGTCTCTTTGGTACCCAAAGTGACCGGCGTGATGGCGCAGTGAGATCCGCACTGCACAGCCAGCATGAATCGGTAGAGGGTCTCACCGGGGAGAAATAATTATTGTCACTCCGGCCTCAACATTTCAATAATAATCAGAGCAAAATTCGCCTTAAAATTTCTGACCATGTAAAAATTTAAAATAACTTAACAAATATCTGCTCTAATCATAAAATATTTCAATTTGCAAAATTTATTTGATTGTGAAGATATTTTGAGGATTTGATATATTTCGTTATCTCTTAGGGAGACTTTTGATGAAATCTCAATAGTTTGATTGGAAAATGAGGAGTTTCTATACCACACAGTGTAACTGATTGTTATATTTTGGGGTAAAATTCATTACTAAAAAAAATATAGCACCTAGTTTTCCACACCGATTGCGAGTCTAAAAAACGCCAACAAGGCCTTGTCATGACCTGACACCTGTCCAAAATAATCAATTCTTTCTAATAAAAAGTTTATATATTTTGAGAAGCTATTGCATTGAAATAATTTTTTTTTTCAATATCATAAGTACCTGAATGCACAGCCATGTGCCTGCCCAGGTCTCTCTTCAGACGAAAAGCCTTATCACACAATCTACAAACATGGTCCCTGCGTCTTGTGTGGATCAATTTGTGATGGGCCAATGTATTGACAAAGCCGAAGCTTTTGCCACAAATGTCACACATGTACGGTCTGTCCTCTGCAATCAGTTTTAGCATTTGCAATTTTTGTCGCTCAAAATTATTCTTTTTCCTACTTGTGTGCACAACCATGTGCTTCTTCAGGTTGCTGATTTCTTTGAACTTCTTCTCGCATTTGGTGCAAGAGAAGGCACGCTCGTCAGTGTGAACTGAGCTGTGCTTGGTCAAAGCATTGTGGTCTCGGAAACCTTTGCCGCACAATTCGCAGCAATACGGTCTTTCGCCTGGTTAATTTCAGGAAATTTTTTCAATTTTTTTTTACCAGTAAAATATAATTTGATTAGAAATTCACCTGTGTGAAGCATCATGTGGCGTCGCAGTTTTCCTTTTTGAGCAAAATCTTTTCTGCAATAAACACACACAAATGGTCGTTTTCCTGCAAAATTAAAATAAAAATGCAAATAACCAAGAGAAGCTTAATACATTTTATGTTTTACTAACCAGAATGAGATCGAATGTGAATTTTGTAATGTGTTATGGAAATGAACCCTTTCCCGCACTGCATGCACTCGAACGGCTTCTCTGTACTACCACAAGATATGTGATAATGGACATTGGCTCTGCTCGAAAAACTCCTTTTGCAGACATCACAGCTGTATGACTTTTTCACACCTGCATATGGAAAAAAAATTAACAGGTTAAAATATCCCAAAAAAACATCTCGAGAATAAAATTACCTTCTTGGACTTTTATGTGACCAGGCAGAGGCTCAGCCTTTTTTCCTCTTTTCTTTTTGTCAGTTGGCTCTGTAGATTTTTCTATAACTTCGGGAGAAACTTGAACGGCCGCCTCTTTTACATTCCCAATACGCAAAGCACTGGCTTGTGTTTGCTGGGATGAATCAACTTCCGGTCCCGGTTGCTTAGATTGCTCCTCTTTAGCTTCTGGAGGTGCACTAGCAAATCTTCTTTCCAGGACCTGCTTTTGTCCGTTTAAATCGATTTTTGGAAAACGAAGACTTTTCTTGAAGGGTAACGAAGCAGTCTTCTCGCTCGGCAGTCTCTCGAACATCACCTCAGGACTCTTGTCTCGAATCAAAGGTGGAACGGGGCTCTCTCCACTTTTCAGGTCCAACGGTTGTTGCTGCTGTCCAATCGGAATTTCATTTCTCATTTCAACAACTGACGACCTCGACCATGTGTCAGGTCCCCTGCTATGGTGGACATCGGTCGGCTCAGGGCTGATTATTCTCTGATCGACGAAGTTTTGTTCAAAGTAGTTTTCAATGACTGGAGGTCGAAGTTCGCTGAATCCTGACGAATTATAATAATTAATGCCATAAAAATAAATTTCCAACGAAATTTTTAAAATACTTTTTTGTTCTTCATTTTGTCTGCATTCAAAACATCCAGACTCCTCGTTCAGCAGGCACATCCTGCACTTTGTGTGACCACAGGCATCCTGGACAAGACGGTTTTGTTTGTTGTTGATGGGCAGTTTGCATTTAGGACAAGATTCCCCGCCAGCAATAGGTTCTCCGCCTAAATAATTTTTATTTGTATTTTTTGTCAAAAGCCGAGTGCAAAAAAAATTACCAGTATTCGCAGAGGTGTGTTCTGCGATTCGGTGAAAGGTCAGGTCGTGCGCCTGGGGCTGCTGCCTCTGCGACCCTTGAAAGCCCTCCGGAGAAATTATTACCGACATGTCACAGGGCGTTCATGCATTTATTTCAGATAATATCTGCTTCTTCAGCAAAGGAGTTTTTGTCACTTCAAAAAATAAACAAAACATCGCTCCAGCCCAGACGTCTGCGACTGCCGCGACGCGACGACGGCAGTTTTGAGAAATAAGAAATTGTGCATTAAATTTTTTTTCGCACTCGGCGGCGCGCGGCAAATAAATGAATATTGAAAATAATTTAAATTCAAATTATTAATGAAACTAAGCAAAATAATCAAAACATTCCCATATAAATAAAAATTTGGGTAGGATAATTTTTTTAAATACAGCTTAAAAAATGTTTATTGAATATTATTTTATTTTTCCTGTTCACATCAAAATAAAGATTGTTAAATTAATGGTTCATCCTAAAACTTTACTACATCGTAAATTTATGTTTAAAATGATTTTTTGCTATTTAAATATTTTTTTTACTATTATGCAATAATTTTATTAGATAAAAATAATGAGTGATATATTTTTGGCAAATTGTTTGCTACTACTTACTTGCACAGTCTTCCAATAAGGAGTTAAAGAGAATAAAATATTATTAGAAAGCTATATATATACTTTTCTAAATTTCATTCACTGCCAATTACAAAGGCCAATTATTGTGCTTCTTTTCAATTTCATGTTAAAATAAAGTGCTTTCATAAAAATACATAATAATATATATACATATTATGTATACATCAACAAAGATCACCCAGAGCACAATTTTACTATCAACCTTCCAATGGAATGCATCGTTATAGAAAAATGATTTCACTTTATCAAAATAAAAACAAAACAAAGCTTTCAGCTCCTACAAAAATTCCTTTCAAGATTTAAGTTTCAGATCTCATATACTGACTAAGTATTTAATCTCTAGAAAATAAGGCTGTGGTTATCAATGAAAGATTCTATCACTGCGATTTCAGTGTCCATGCCTGGAATGCCTCCTTGACTGTTGAGCGACGGCAGCTCCAAAGCAGGCATCAGCGTTGGTGCAAAGACGGTGGCTATATTGTGTGCAGACATTTTGTTCGACTCAGCAAATGAAGCAACTCTAAAATGGAGAGAAAGTTTTACAAAATTAAAATAATTTTAAATTTATCAGAAATACCTTGAAAAGTGCTCTACTAAATACTTGAGTGTGTGAAAATGAGCAACAGGAAGGCAGTTTACTCCAAGTTTCAAAGCAGAAATTCTTTCAGGTATGGTGCGTATTTCTGGAATTATATAATTAGTACTATTTTTTTTTCAATTTAATTAAACACGTTACCTGCCGCCGCACTAAGCATTGGATGCACTTCGAATGTGATGACAGGGATGGGCAAGAGTCTTAAGAAAAGTTTCAAAGTCCCAGCAATGACGTTGATATTGTCATATACATCAGGGCCTAGTTCAGTCTTTTCCCCATCTGAAAAAAGGATTAAGTCGTCAAGGGACTTTGGGAAAATAAATTCAGACCTTTGTCGAATGCCATTTTCAAACTCTCAACGTGGTCCGAGAAACCAGGCACTCGGTAGAGTCCCTCAGCTTGTGCAAGTCCTCTCCTCTCAATCTCCTCAACACATTTGTCCACCACAAAAGGTCTTGACATCTTCAGGGCTTTGGTCAGGGTGGTGAGATCAGTGCCAAAAATACCCCGCAGGTTGTTGAGATCAGGGCAGCAATCGCTTGGCACTTTTTCGCTGCACTTGTGATGCGCACTAAAACCGCAATCTTCACACAAATAATTACAACAATAAAATGAATACACAATTTTGATTAAATTACCATCGCATCTAACGCCCTGGCCACTGAATCCCCAAAGGAAGTTCCCACAAAACTCACACCAATTGAGACCCTTAAAGTTGTAAGTTTTAAACGAGTGGGCTTTGTCGTAGGAGTCTCGCTTCCTTTCTTCGCCAAAATTGTTGTTTTCTGATTTGAGTTTCTATAAAACAAAAATTAACAGTGGATATTATATAAATTAGAAATTTGGAACATCATTATAAATAGACGAAAATTGCTCCTTTATTAGTATTTTTAATTGAATTCAGTTAAATGTGCATAATTTTCTGCCAATTTTTAATACTTTTTATTTCTCCAAATATGTTTCAAAATTCTATAAAAAAAGTAGACCTTTGTTTTCTCCAACGTCTTCATTTTCAGTCTGTTGAGTGTCATGTAAGGGCTCTGCTCGTAATTGTTGTACGAGTACATCTTCTCAAGGTACGACCCTGCCTTGCTCTCGATGTAAATGGTGACCAGTCCATCAGCAACCAGATCAGCAATTGAAGGAAACCGCTTGTTCTTAACATAGTAACTTTTATCCTCTTTGTCAAAGAAAATTTTATAGTTCTTGACGACCCCTCCGATCCTGCAATTACAATATTGTATTCAAAATTTAGGACATTATTTTAAATTATATCAGACGAGACCTGATGGAAAGTGTCTGCTGTCCATCTCTGCTGGTGCGGACAAGGTACATCCCATCCTGTGTCAACAATTTGACAGCCTGTGAATGAGACAATAGGCCGTGGTGTTCAGCGCCGAAAGTGTCGGTGTTTTTGTTCTGATGTTTTGCAAAGACCGCTTGTGGTCTCGGAGCTTCCTGCTGCAGCTGGTAGACTGAGGAAAAAGAAGGTCCTCTCATTGTTACGACCACGTCATATTACACTCCTTAGGGAAAACAATAATCGCTACCAAAAGCTTATCACACAAAAGTGTGGTCTTAGATAATGAAAAATATTGGCAGGAAGTTGCAATCCAAGAGATAAGATGAGGGAATTTGAACGGTTTTGGAGGGAATTAAAACTTAATTTGTGCAATATGTAATCTTTGATGCGAAATCAGAGAAAAGGAACGAATAATGCAAAAATTATGATAATTTTGTGAACTATTATTCAATAAAATTTTGAAACAAAATCTCACGGTCTGATTTCCACACTCGCTCTCTGCTGCTACTTTTAGCGCAGGTGGCCTCCTCGACTCCTACGGAAAAATATTAAATTTGTCAGATCAAAATCGCTCTCAACAAACAACATCAAAATAAAATTTCTTGTCAGCAAAATATTAAACATTTTTTTTATTGTCCCTTACCAGTCTGCATCTCGGGCAGGGTAAAATGAAAATTTGCAGCGAATTCACTCCATCAACGCGAATTCCGCCGCAGCAGACCATAGAAATCGGTCGAGGAAAACAAGAGCACCAAACACCAAACAGGCAGTCCACAAACCAATCACCACCTGTGACCAAAGTGAGAACACCATTTCAGTGGTGCCAGCATTGGGTATTTTAAAATTCCTACTTATTTTTATTACAATTTAACTAAATTTAACATGATTAGATATATTTCAACTATTTATTATTTAAATTTGTTATTAGTTTATTGAAAATAGCACTCGCCACTCATTAATTACGAGAGTTTTGTTTCAATATTTTGTTAAAACATTTTGTTGTTGGTGTGCCTGCCGTTCTAGTGGGTTGCTAGTGGGAAGTGGGAGGATCCCCAAAGACGAAAGTTGGACGACGTCGTGTTGTTTTTTTCCCAGCTGCATGTTTTTCACTCACAAATATTAAGAAAACTTTGAATATTTGTACAGAAACCAAGTATTTTCAATAAATGTCGTCCGATTATTACAAAGACATCAAGCACAGTGACAGAAAAAGGTAAAGTATTTACTATACCTCTGTAATTTTCTAATTTTATAATCAATGTTTTGGTTTCAAAAGATGGATTTGCATCTATCCCGCGTATCTAAACAGCAAAAAAACGAGGGCTGAGGGTCGGAAAGTGCCTTTGGCTAAGGTACTTTTTGATTTAATCATTAACTAGCTCTTTACTTATGTCCCAAAAATTTCTATTTTAGGCTGTTGACACGCCAACTGTCCAAGAGATGCGAGACGTTTTGCAAGCTTCAAATGTGACGATTGGCATTGAGAGGAGCTTCTACAGCAGGGAACGTAGCAAGGAGCCTCAGTATTTTGGTCGTGTCAGGGTGCATCTAAAAAATGACGATGGAACTCCTCTCAACCCAGAATTCCCCACAAGTACGTAAATTTATAATTCTATTTTATTTCGATAACAGGAATAAATCATTTTCTTTATTTTGCAGGAGACTCAGTTCTGCTCCACCTGGGCGAAATGATTCCAAAACTGAAGACAAGAACGCAGCAAAAGCAGAACACTGAGCAGCAGGCATCCCAATCAGCGGCCGCCTCGTCATCGAAGAAAAAGGGCAAAGGTCGTCGCTAAATCTCAAAAGCGCTCTATTCCGTGTTAAGTTTTCCTTTTTATTTTCTGGTAAGCCCAATACATTTCTCACAAGAAAAATTTAAAACACTTGTGTTTTTATATTAGATAATTTATGCATTTTCCCAAAACCCTGCCCAGTTACCTTCGTTGAAAATAATAAATTAATTTTCCCTTGTTGTGGGTTACTTGGAATAAATGTCGCCACTGGGGTAGAAAAACACATCTTGGAAAACCGTTTCAACTGCGCTGGCCCATTTTCCTATGCTGTGGGGTACACGTCTTGAAGCCATGCACCTGTAGACGCCTGCGTCACTCGGGGATATGTCTCTCAAGTAAAGGGAAGCTCCCTCAGGTCTTTGAAGGACAGTCGACCTTGCATAGTAATTGGGACTAGCGGCTGGAAAATGAAAAATGTTTACTTTTTATTATTCAATTTTTAAAAGATTTTAGCCTACCTGTGCCGTCGTAGTAAAATTCTCTTTGGGATAGATCCCCGAAGTACAGAGGGTGGTAGGTGTAACTTCGTCCAGTTGGGTCGGTAACTCTCTCCCAAACAATATTCTTTAAAGAAAAATCATATTTAAATGGAACATAAGAAGCAAGCATCTCCATTTCTAGAAATTTAGGGAGTTCAATTGTTAAAATTTTCTATTTTATTTTTGACTCATAATTTTTGTGCTGAAAAAGGCATTATTGTTTCAATTACTTCAAATCTTTAATTCCAACACTTGGTCATTGCTATTGATTGTATTTTAAAATTTTCATTCTCATAAATTTTAATTTTAAATTTTTTTTAAATATACTACAAACCTGCTGCAAACAAGACTCTATTTTCAATTTTTAATGCCGTAAAAGGATTTCATTTATATTTTTATATTTAAATTGAAGATATATTATTCTTTTAAATACGGTAAAAAGAAGATTTAAATAATTAAGCTGTTTAACGACTTAATTCATAAACTAATTTTTCTTCTGAACTGAGAATTATTAAAAAAAGCCTTCAAAATTACAACCTTAAGAAATACAAAAGAAATCCACTTGATATTCTTCATTATGGAGTTTTCTATTATAATTTTTTAAACAATTTAATTCCAGCCAAAAAAAATCTAATTAAATTAAATAAGTTTAGTAATCCTATAAAAAAATTGACAAATATTAACTCACAGAAATCAAGTCGTTGGTGGGAAAGTCACATCTCAGTTCGGCATCTCTTCCTCCTGAAAGCACCCTGAAAAATCCTTGGCCAACCCTGGTTCGGCCCATGTGCACTGAAAGGTCAAGATCATTTCGTCTGTAATAGGGCAGGTAGCCAGCTGCGGGGCTGCCCGCCCTTTCCCACTCGTAGAAATAATCCTCATCGGAGACCGGCAGGTAGTCGGAGGCGCCGACGGACGCTGCGACCACCAACACCAAGAATACGAGTCGACGCATCTTTGTGAGCTCGGATGCTGACCGGCGTCGGCCTTATATTGGGCCAGCCGCATCCTGTCCTGTCCTTTTCTTGCTCAAATAACAATTACGCGAGCGACGACAACTCCCCATTTTTGCACAATTAACGATTCGCGCCGCCCGCTGTTAATTATTCACGGCGCGCCACAACAATGACAAAGTGCCAAAGTCAAGTTTGCCACTTTTGCGCCGTCCGTCATTTCTTCCGTGCGTTGAACTTTTCCCTAAAAAACGCGTCTTTAAATTTTTAACACGTTCTGGTTTGAAGGTGATAAAAATTTTAAATGGAGCATTTGGACATTTAACTGTAATTTTTACAAATGAATTTGAGAAAAGGGATTTGCTAGCGAGCAACCTTGGAATTTTTACATCTCAGTGGTTCTGAGAAGAGCAGAAGCTTCGCGGTAGTTCCGATTTGCTATGCGCTTCAGATCGTTTTTATGTTTTAAATTGTGTTTGGGTGGAGATCCCTTGGATGCGACTTTGAACCGAGGAAGGCTTTATCTAAAGGCATTGACTTTTGTTATTCACATTTTCAGTAAAGCTTTTTCCTTATTCTAAGCAAAATTTGAAGGTTTCAAAAGTTAGCTGAACTTTTAATTCTTTAAAATGTTTTACCAATTATAATCTTCAGCACTAGTTAAATAATGCTTTCATAGCGTTGGAAAACTAAATCACATGCATGTTTAATTTTAATAATTATGTTACAGTTGCCTTTATTATTTACAAATTTTAATTTGGTATTAGTGGAATGTCATTTTTTTATGTTAAAGCAGCTCTTCCTCTAAGTCGACAACGACAGGTGCATCTTCGTCATCATCGTCTTCTGCATCTCTTCCGAAGCCCCAACCAAATTTTGATTCCAACTGCTGCTTCAGTCTTTCCGCTTGTGATTTGAGTCTTGTGTCAACCGTTTCTCCTGACTCTTTCAGATTTTGGAATAGCTGTTTCATTGCCTGGTAAACTGCGTTTTGTCCAGCAACCACATCAACCTAAAAATTATAAAGAATAAAATATTATAATATTCAACTCTCTAGTTAATTTTAGAAATTTAAGATATTATAATGAGGTACCATAAAATCTTCAGGTATCTGGTCCAGATGTGTGCTCATTACAGTAAGAAACCTGGAAAACACTGCTCGTTGCCTCGAGAGGGCATCTTCACTGGAACAAAGCAAAAGCAGCAGTGCTTTCCACTGCTCAAACGCCTCCAGACTGTGGCCCACCAAAAAGCAGATGTAGCAAATTTGCATTTCTCCCACATAATCAAGCGGACTGTAAAAAAAATTAGTTTCATAGTGAGTTGTAAGAAACACAAATAAAGTTTATTTACTTTTTATGGGACGAGATTATTTTTTCCAGAGCAAAACTACTATCAAGGCTGTGTTTGGTGATTTCAGCGGCCGAAGCTCCTTCTGGCCATTTGAATTCTGGAACTTCCGTCACCCTCAAAGCAGTTCCAGCTTTAGGGGTCAACTGAGGCAAAAGGGCTTCTTCTTTGTCCAGCGTCCTTCTCCTCTTTTGAGACGACTCGGGTATTGATTCAAGCTCCAGTGCTGATCGAACAAGACCTTTTTCCGGTGATAGTCTTGCCAATACTTCATCTGAATTTTAAAACAAATTTATAAAACTATGTACTGCAAGATCCTTAATTGTTTTAAATAAACCTGATATGCCGTCGGAGAGCTTTATCCAATCTCTGTAAGTTTCGAAAGGGTATGGCGCCAAGTATTTGTCCAGATGAAGGAGGTTACTCCGAATTCGACTAATATCTTCTTCAGTTGCATCTAAAAACAATGTAAATTTAATCAGTAATCAAACTGCCAGAGAATGAGCAATTCATTACTCTCAAGACTGATGTCCTCTTCTTTTGTGTCCCATTTCCTGACTAGAATTTCTGATTTCTTGAAATTATGGAAAAATCCGACTCGTGGGGATACATCTCCATGTTTATTACGCGCACTAAATGAAGGGAAAAAATTAATACATTTTTTTGTTCGCAAAGATTAAAAAACAAATGACAGATAATTTTTTATATACAATTGTCAGAATCTGTTTTCAAAAGTTTTTAAAATTATACATTATTATATTTCAAATAAAGTTAATAATGTTTGAAGTTTACAGATTATATTTATTAAAATTAATTTAAATTAGTTCTATAATAAAATAATAATTTAATTATATTATTAACGTTAATATATTTAATTTAATTTAATTAATAAAAAAAACCTGTATGAAATGTAGTGCACTCCAGGAGGGATCATTTTCATTCCTTTAAAATTGTAGTCAACGACCCAGGTCTTCATGTCCATCCCAAATTCCGTTCCTTCCGGGACGTCCAAAAACGCGAGAGTCCCACCTTCAATCAACATCCGCTTCGCCAATTCCTGGTCCATTTCCATGTTAATTCGGGTTTACTTCAGAAGTTTTAGGAAATAAAAGTATTGTTTTCGATTCTGTTCAGTGCTGTCGATAGGGAAAAATCTTTGACCTGCAAAACGGAAAAAATCAATTTAATAATTATTAACAGCATTATGAATTAAACCATAAAATTATCCAAGAAAAATAATTTCTGTTTACTTTTTTCCCTGTTTTAGTCTTTCAGCCTGGCCGACGTTTTTTGTGGGTGGCGGCGCAGCAGCGGCGGTTTTGGCTTTTATGTATTTTGCGGCGATTCTTCGACCTGCGTGTTGCGTGTTTATAAACAAAAACACACGGCGCATCGACGACGGCGCCGCCGGTGGCTAGCGTTGCAAATCACGCGAGTCCTTCCCACTGACTGGCGTCGGCCATTGTCCTGAAACAGCGGGGACGAAGGAAATTTTCAATTTTCCGCGAAAATCATGACCGCCTAGCGCGCAAACCGTGTAAATAGTATGTCATCGGCCCGATTTTGACCGAAATTCCGACCAATTAAGGTAAGGTGCCCTTCTTCTTGGGCCGATTCGCTTCATTTTCGGCTGCTCGCGGTGTCCAGCGGCCGAGGACCCACCGATGCCCAAACAACTCTCGCGAAGCCAACACCTGACGTCGGCGGAAAACTTTACTTCCGTCAACAAACGCGTCCTTTTTAATCATTAAATCCGGTTCACTTTTCATTTTGCAAATTCTTCCAATTCAGAAATAAAATTTCTGCAAAATAATCTTTCGTTAAACTGCAAAAAATTGACTCCCGAGGGCCGCCTCTGGTTCTCCAATGGCGGTGAGACGCGAATATCGCCCTGTTGTGCAAAATCCCCCGAGACTCAAATTTGGTTTTCGTCAGACTTTTTATTTTAATAAGCTTTACCTATTAGAATGGAATCTGAAAGCCAGAAAGGCGACGAAGATGACGAATTGATGGAAATGGGAAGCGGCGACGAGGCCTCCGAAGCCTCAGAAGCCTCTGACATTGAGAATGAGTTGGATGAAGAACTCGAGGACGAGGAGGATGAAGAAGACATCGACGAAGAGCAGGACTTGCTTGAGGAGGAAGCAATCCACGGCCTCACCCATCGCAGGAGTGACGAGACGCCTTTGACCAAAGAGACGCAGCTCATGCAGGCGCCTTCCTCCAGCCAAGGTTGACATTTCATTTTTTACGTGTTATGGTTATTTTTAAATGATTATTATTCCAGATTCGGTTGTAGTTAGAAGTGAGTCTCAGAGTCTGACTCTTTTTCGAGGGGCCCACCCTGGAATTACAATTCGAAGAGGACCAGGACGACCAAGAAAGGGCCAACTTACCATATCTTTGCTGCAGAAGAGTGCGATGCAAAAGTGGACTGTGTATGTACAAAATTTGCAATCAGTGGAAATTTTTTAAACTTATAAAAGTTATTTGATTTTTTTGTTTGAACGTTTATTGCAAATGTTTATATTTTCTACTTCTAAACTGTATTAATTAACGTCTTTTTATATATTTTAGTGGCAGTCTACATGCCTCAAAATCGAATGGTGGCAAAAGTCCCTACGGCCCAAAAAAGAAACGGGATTACCTCGAAGGCCTGTCTGCAGTTCATGAACTGGCAGGCGTGTCACCATCTCCACCCCATGAGCTTCTCAGTCAATCTAATTATGGCTCAATGGAGGATATGGATTCCGAGCAGTCTGGCCAAATCGTTGAAAAATGCACCACTCCTGAAGATCTCTTTCCTGTGATTCCGGACAAATGGTAAATTATGTTTACCAAAATATGTTATGCATATTTATTTAGGTTGTAATATGAGTCTGTGGTATTTAAACTGAGTGTTTTTTCCTAACTTTAGGCCGGGAAAAGTATGTGCATTGTGTGCACTCGGGGAGAAGAGTACCCTCGGGCAGGGTGAGCTGCTTCAAGTCACGACCTCTCCCACATTTGACGTGGAAAACGCCAAGATAAAGTCTCCACAACCTGAGGAAAGCGACCAACTGGCCAACGGTGAAAAGAGTCCTGCCTTGGTTTCGCCAGCAACAACCCCGACCACCACCTCGCCTGCCATTTCGCAGCGGCGTCAAATGAAATTTAACCGAAACTCGTCCACGTCCGGGACAAGTGAAATGCTGGACGAACTGTCGATGGTCGGCTATGGAGAAGAGCCACTTGTGTCCTCCATTTTCGAGCAGTCCGGCCACTTCTTCATCCACGAGGCGTGTGCCAAGTGGTGTCCCAAAGTCACTGTTGACAATAATGGCAGAGTGCATGGGGCCGAGAACGCCATCCTTGAGGCGCTGAGCAGAAAATGCGCCCACTGCATGCATCTTGGTGCCGCCCTGGCCTGCAAGGCTGACGGATGCTCGAAGTATTTCCATCTGCCCTGTGCTGCTGCTTCAGGATGCTTCCAGGTAATGGAAACATTTAATTTGGATGAAATATACGCATGTTGCTTGGGAAAAGGAGATGTGAAATATTTTGTGAAGAAGTGATTAATTAATTTATTTATTTTAACTATATAAACTACAACAGTGAACTTTGAATACAAACAAAAATAATTTTAAATAAATATAATGACATTTATTGTGAATGCCAATCTACTTACTGATATATTCAATCATAAATTTCAATAAATTTAAATGTTTTAAAGTTCAATTATTGCATAAAATTTTTTTAAACTGCATATAGCTCAACTTTTAGTCCATTCTTATATCGCAATTTTTACAAATCTATTTTATTACAAAAGCTAGAAAAAAAACAATACACTTTTGTAGTATAAACAAACTGACAATCTTTTGATTTTAGGTGTATTTTTTTTTTGTTTTAAATATTTTAATTTGAAATCATTCATCAATCTAATTGAACAATTTTTAGATGATCATTAAATTGAAAAAATCCAAACGGCAGCGAGTAAGAAATTGATGAAATTTTAATTTTCCCGATTTCAATAAATTTTCTTATTCGATTTTCACATTTCAGGACTGCTCAAAGACTGTGACGGTGTGTTCGATGCATTTGCACTTGGTGCCGCTCAATTTTGCCGGCGACGTGACTTGCGGTATGTGCTGCAACCTGGGAAACATCCACAACCTGATAATGTGCTCTCGGTGCGGCAAGCACTTCCACGGCTCATGCTACGGGATGGCATCGTCACCAAACGTGCGCGCCGGCTGGCAGTGCACCAGTTGCCGGCACTGCCAGACCTGCCGGGTTCCTTCGGAGCGCAGCAAGTTCTTGATATGCGACCACTGCGACAAGGCGTACCACCCGCAGTGCCTGCGGCCACTCGTCGGCCAAATCCCAAAACTTGGATGGAAGTGCAAGAGCTGCAGAATCTGCACCGACTGCGGCTCGCGGACGCCCGGTGCCGGACAGTCTTCTCGTTGGCATAACCACTTCACAGTTTGCGACTCTTGCTATCAACAGCGCAACAAGGGCCAAGCGTGTCCTGTGTGCCGTCGCGCCTACCGCCACACTGCCCACAAGGAAATGGTCCAATGCACCAGTTGCAGAAAGTATGTTCATGGCGCGTGCGACCCTGACGCCGAGCTGGCCACCTACCAGGCTAAAAAGGCCGTCACTCCGGAGTATGTTTATGTCTGCATTGTGTGCAAACAGTACTCCAGCAACAGGCCTGGCTCTGTTTTCAAAAGAGGCAGCATTGACGAGATGGACTTTTCGCAGGAGTCGTACCTTTTTGGGGACGACTCACTCTCTGGCATGGATCTTGACAGCTTTGAAAAGGTGAGTTTTTTTTCTTTTATCTGGTCTTGGGTCTTGGTATGAGCTAAACTGGTCATGGAACAAATCAACAACAAATGTTGTAGCCAATTAAAATTGGAGTTAGATTATTTTTTATCTGAAAACTATTTAACCAAAATTTAAATTGGTGAATAATTTAATTAATAAAGAGGCGCCATTGATAAATTTCTATCTTGTTTAAACGTTCTGAAGGACGCTTCATAGGTCCTTAAATTTTATTAATCTAAGCAAAAAAGTATACTGCTAGCAGTTAGTCTGATGTTAATTCTTTCTTCTCTTCAAAATTTTTAATTTTCTTGCTGTGATGGACTTTTTGATGTGGTTGCTATGGCAAGCCTGCGCACAACGTTGTTGGTAGATGCAGTTGTGGAGGGTGGTAGATAAAGGGAAAGGGGGGCGGTAAGCAAAACAACCTGATGTTTACAAGACAAGAGCACGTTTTTCCGCAGACAACCATGCTTATTTTTTTATCAAATTCGATTTATTAATTTCTCAGCGGTAATTTCAAATGTAGTCATTTATTTCCAAAACTTTAATTTGCAATGGCGTTTTGTAATCCCACGATTCATCCAAAAAACGAAATAGAACTTCTCAATCCAAACAACTGTTGTTTAGTAAGTACTAAAAGCGCTTTTGTTATTTTTTATTTTCTAAAAAGATGCTAAGAACTTTTGGAAATTGTACACTTAAAAAAGCAAAAACAATTATTTTTAGATTAAATCGAAGCTATATTAATTGTAAATTTATTCCTATTATCTTTTCTTTCCATTGCTGTTTAATTTCTTGTTATAAATTTAATCTAATCCAGCATTCAAAACAATTTGTATGTGTGTTTTTTTATTTTTTTTATTTTTAAATCTCAATTTTTATTTTGTACAAGGTTTATTATCTGCAGGAAATGGAACATAAACAAAGTTGAGATTAAATTATTTTAGATCTGTTTCCTCATTATCGGTGACCTTAAATTTCTCGAAAAATTATTCTCAGCTTAAGCTAAGAAAACACAAGTAAAAATTTATAATATGAAGTGTTAATTGGTGTTCATGTTACTAATAATAAGTATTTTCAAATTAATTTAATGTCATTATTTTGACCTAACTTTGCGTGAATTTGTATTATATTTGACCAAGTGATTTTTCCTGTTGTTTTAGGAGGGCGATGAAGGCCCGAGGAACATACCCGGTTTTGGTCTTGGCAGGGGAAAGCCGTTGGCTGCTGTTAAGATGATGAAACGCCGCATGCCCTTTGGCAACACAGGCTTTGGCAACCGGCCCAAGGGCAAACTGGGCCTGAAAAAGGTCAAGGGCATGACTGAATTTCCTAGAAAGCGGGGGCCCAAAGGCAAGATGCAGGGCGTTTTCGGCGTTCCCGGCGTTGGTCTATCAAAGCCGACTGGTGACTCTGGCCGCGATTCAAAAAACTCGGACGACGAACCTGGCAGCGAGAACCGGCTTGTACTTTGCTCGGCCAAAGACAAGTTTGTGTTAAACCAGGACGTGTGTGTCATGTGCGGCGCCCTGGGCTCCGACCAAGAGGGCTGCCTGATTGCCTGTGCCCAATGCGGCCAGTGCTACCATCCCTATTGTGTGACCACCAAGGTCAACAAGGTTATTCTACAGAAGGGCTGGCGCTGCTTGGACTGCATTGTGTGTGAGGGTTGTGGACAGCGGAACGATGAGCCCAGGCTCATCCTCTGTGACGACTGCGACATATCCTACCACATATACTGCATGAACCCGCCTTTGGACTTTGTCCCCAAGGGCAATTGGAAGTGCAAATGGTAATGTTTTTAACTTCTATTTAATAAAAAAAATTATCTTCAAAATTCAAAGCAGATTGTTAAAATTTTTCTGCTGCTAATTCGTATTGCTTAAAACTTGCAATTTATGGAGCAAAAATGTAGATCGAATTAAACATTAATTTAAAACTATATATATATAGCCAAGATTCAAAAATTTCTTTTAAGTTGATGCTTAATCAGTACTGGCAATACTCTGTATTAGGAGTTTATGAAGTTATCTGTATTTCTTATCACTTTGTCAAAATTAAAATTTAAAACTAAAATTGATATTTTATAGGTGCGCTCAGTGCCAAACATGCGGGACAAGCGATCCAGGCTTCAACTGCACTTGGATGAACAGTTTTAGTGAGTGTGGACCATGTGCGTCCCTCCAAGTGTGCCCTGCTTGCAACGAAGAGTACTCTGAAGGCCAGATGATCATCCAGTGCTTCCAGTGTGAAAGGTTTGTAGCCTTCTGTCTTATTACGAATGGCGCTATTTTTTCAGCAAGAAGAAGTTTTGAGATTGAACTAATGGATGAAATTTTGTTTTAATTTGTTATTCTCAGATGGTTGCATGGGACCTGTGATCAAATCAGAACTGAAGAAGAGGCCGAGAAGTGTTCTGCCGACGGGTACAACTGTGTGATGTGCAGACCTAGGGATGTTCCTCCTCCACATCTCATTCCAGTGCCAGTAGCACCAAAGCCACCCACACCGTGCAAAAGCCCAGGTAACACAATCAAACGAACAATAAATTCTCATACCATTACCCCTTTGCATTTTATTATTTTATTTTGGTTTTAATCTCAGTTCTTGAAATAGTTCATGCGGGGTTCAAGAAACTAGACGCTTCCCGACAGGGGAGAGCAAATAGTAGTAAAAGTAAGTCGGCGTGACAAGCAGTGGTTTTCTCTTTTGATTACCTAATTAATCTGATCACCCATCTGTTTTGCTTTGAATAATCAATTAATAACAACCTCTACTTGCGCAGATCGTTGCAGTGTAATTTGATCATTGGTTCTGAATTCAACATTTTTTCTTGTAGAAGTTCCAAAGATCAGCTCCAACGCCAACTACTTTGTGGATGGCATATGCTTGTCTGAGTTTGGCCATCAGCAAATAAGATCCCTCACTTTAGAACAGCCGAAGAAAAAGAGAGCAAACGCTAAGGGTGGTGTTGGCAAGGGGCTTGATGCCGAGGCAGGCATACTTGCCACAATAGAGTCTGTTGTTTCTGGAGGTGAGTCTTTTTTTCCCCATGTTAAATCTATATATACATTCTCTAATATCTATTTTATCAGGGAAAATGGAAGGTATGATGCCTGGTAACCAGGTCGCACCCCGAGATGGAGCACTCGTACAACTTTTGCCGGATGGACGCCCTCCAGAGCCACCTGAGGGTTTCCAGATTTGCACTAATGAAAGTGGAGCCATGGTTTGGAGGCGCAAGAGAACAAGAAATTTAAATAAACTTGGTAATTTGAAATTAAATTTCTGAAATTCTCTTTTGAATATAGTTACTTTTTTTAGGCATTGGAGGTTTTTCTGTGCGGACAAGAATTTTGAAACCAAAGGACGATGAAAGCTTTGCTGACAACTTGCCTGGAAGTGGATTTGGTCCTTCACTGGAATTAAATCTTTCAATAACTCCTCAAGTCTCCATGGTTGCATCGGCACTTCTAACCCCTACCACTCCTACTGGTGAAGAGAAACCAAAACGAAAGCCAAATAGGAAGCGGCCAAAGAATAAGCTCATGGAAAACTATCCTATTTACTTACAAGTAATATATTTGTACGTGATCAAATTGAAAATTTTAATTTTCATCTTGTAGGATGCGTTTTTCGGCCGATTTTTGTTAGAGGGTAAAGAGCAAAGCCTTAAAGGTATTGGAGACTCTGACGAAGAGAAAGTTACTCCTGCCCCTGCTACAGCTGGTATCCAGCTTTCTCAGGTAAATAAAAAAGATTCAAATGTTTTTTTTTTCATGTTAAAATTTAAACTTGCAGGAGGAGCTCAAAGTGATGGAAGCCATTAAGGCCAAAAAACTCAGGGAAATGGCCTTGGCTGCTCAAGCAAAGCAACAAAGTGAACAGACGCAAGTTGCCGCTAACACATCCGCTGCTGCTAATAGCAAAGCCCACAAAGCTGCGGAGGAAGAGGCTGATGCCGATGATGAAGAAGAAGCTCTTAAAGACATTCTTCCAATGAATCTGCTCGAGGGAGAAGACTTGGTCGATATGGATAACCTCATGGCTGACGATGTTGACATTACTAAAACAAACCTTGATGAAATGGGTGGTAAGTTTGTTTTTCATATTTAATTTTGTGAAATTCTTGAACATCTTTGCATGTATTTAATCTCTTACTATGCTGATACCACTATCTCCCTCGACTCTATAACTCTGGTGCTTGGCTTCCTATTAGGAGACTCAAACCTAGCTGATGAATCGGAACTGAATGATTCACTGTCATTGACAGAAACAAATGGCGCAGGCTCGGAGACCGCAGAAAACAAAGATGAGCTTACTGACATTTTGAGTCCTCACTTCAACCTTGAGTCTATGGTCAGAGATTCAGGTAAATTTTAATCTAATGACAAAAGTGCATTACAATATGTAACTCATGATTTCTCCAAAGGTCTACCGAACATGGACAGCAAAGACGTAGAAGAAATTTTCAAAGGGGTGCTCACAGACGAAAGTCAAGAGTCACAGGAGTCATCAGCCTTCCCTATCAACACGATGCCTATGGGACCAGCTCCGAACCAGCGTGGCTTGGTTTCCCCATCACAACCTGCACCACCAACACCAAGTACTTTTGAATTTATGTAATGATATTAAATTTTAATCCTTTTATACACAGCATTGCCTACTGCTGGTCCGATGCCAAGAGCCCAGCCTGTTGCTATGGGTCAGCAGCAAAATCTTGCTTCACCCATGGGCTTCCCTCCTGCGTCACCGTACCACTCGGAATACAGCAAGTAAGAAAACTTATTTTAATTTAGTGGGTGGTTAATTAATTCCACAACATATTCATATTTACAGCAGCCCTCAATTCAGCCCTGCCTTTTCGGAGCCACCTTCGCCTTGGTGCCAAGCGCCCACTCCAGACCAAAGTGGCCAAGAAGGATCCACTTCATCTCAAGAGGCACCAACCTCTTACAACCAGAGGGCCTCCATTAAGATGGAGCAGGATGAGCTGTTGGGAAGTGGTGCAACCATGGCAGCTGTTTTGTATGCCAACATGAACCATCCTGAATGGAAAATGGAATTCCCAAGTACGTAGATAAAAAAAAAAGAAATTTTTGGGGAAATTAAAAAAAAATAATAATTTGTAGCTTGGACTGAGCGCTGCAAGCAGATAATTAAAAAGTGGAGGACGCTGCAGGCAGACACAAAGGCCCCATATTTGCAGAATGCTAGAGAGAACAGGGCAACACAAAGGATGAAGAAATCGCAACAGGTAAGTTGCTTGTTCCCAGACTTGCCAAAAACGCACCTGATGACGCCAAAGATTTCAATTTTACTGTCTCTGTGAGATTCGGTCCACGCTCCTCATTCGTGTTTTGTTTGTGACTAACCACGTGTTTGTGTCTTTTTTAACAGATTATTCTCTGTCACATACACATACACCCTGAGTTTTCATTTTGTGTTTGGGCAAAACCCTCTTTATTTTTTTATATTCATAGTATATTAAATAAATTGCTCCCCAAAACTGAATCTGAAAAATTTCACACTGAGAATTTGGCAAGGAGACATTTTTTAAGAAAAAGAAAAAAAATATAAAAATAGTCGTTGCTAGCATTTTATTTTTACTGTTGATGTTGCTGACGAGACTTTTGAGGCTAGATAGTCATTACCCTGGTGTGTTTTTTGTGTAATTCGCCACAGATGCCGAGCGCCAGTTCGCCCGTTGTGAAGCAAGAGGCTGGCGTGGCGGCGGCGGGTCGCGGCCCGGGCGTCGCCGCCTCCGGTGCGGCCGCAGCTGCCGCCTCAGTGGCCTCCTCCACGGTAGTACCCTCTGTGACACCCCCATTACTGAAGAAACCCAGTATGACCAGTACCAACACCACCACCACCAGTTTGACCACCGCTAGCACTGCTCTGATGAAATCGGCCACTATTCTCACACCTCCACCGCAAACCACCACTCCTACTAGTAGCACCACCGCCGACTTAGAGGTGTGTTCTTCATCGGCAGCTTCACCCGTAACTCCGCTGCCATCTTCACCCTTCCCTAACACGCAGTCGTCCAACTCTTCCACTAACACTCCCTCGCCGTCCTCCTCCCCCCTGAGTAACGCGAGCGTCGACCAGCAACAACAGCAGCAGCAGCAGCGTGCTGTTGTTAGCAACACCGTGGTCGACCAGCACATCCGCGTCTTGACTCCCTCCGAAATAATGCGCACCCTTCCCTCCTTGGGACAAGAGTCTTACGACCCCCCTCTGACACCTCAACCACCACCACCACCACCAACAATACAGTCGCAGTCGCAACCCAATAATCTGGTGAGCCCGTCTGGCAATTTCGATGTGCTCCGTCCGCGTGTCTCTGCTCTCTCAATGATTTCATTTTTTGCAAACATTTGCCGGAGACAGCACGGGCAACGTTTTTTTGTCAACGTGCATGGATTTTTAATTTTGGAATCTTGCATAAATTAGGTCGTTTTCATTTCTTAATTTTTTGAATAGTTAAATTATTTCATTGAAATTTAAATTTTTTAATTTCAACGTTGTAGAATATTTATTCTTAGATTTTTTCTGAACATCTTTTTTTTATCAAAATGAAGAATATTGTTTATCATATAATTTTGATGGCTGTATCTGTATTTTACATTCCGCCCCAAACCCAACCTCGCTGCCCCCAAATCGGCCCTGTTTTATTTTTAAGTTATCACTAACTTTTTTTGTTTGGTGTCGGCCTGTTTGGTGTTCCAGGATCCTGGTAGATGTTGCTTTCATTGTCGTTTCTTGTTGTTAGAATCATCGTAACTCTGGCATGTTTTCATTGGTTATGTAACTCCTCTATACAATCTAATTAGACTTTTACTTATATTTTACTCATTGTCAATTTCCAGTTCACATCATTTTTATTTTTAGCACGGCATCCTGTACTGTTAGATAACAAAGAAATTTAATTTGCTCTCTGGATTTAATATTTCTTTTGTAGTTAACCAACCAAGCAAATAACACGCCAACTTGAAAAATTATTTTATTTTAATACGTACGATGTCTTCAATCAGGATCAGGATAAGATCATTGCTCAGCAAAAGAATACAAGGGAGGCGCTTGAGGAGCGTAAATGGAAACAGCAGCAGGCGCTCCGCCAGCAACAACAGCAAATGCAGCAACTCATCCATGAGCAGAGAGCGCAAGGTATTAAAAATTATGCGCTTTTATCATTTAAAATCTTTGTATTTCATAAGAAAATTAATTTTTTTTATAGCATTTTTTTATTATGCTAAAAATTTTAACACTTCCTTACTAAATTTAAAAAATCATAGGTATGGGCATGCCAAGAATGCACCGCCCGATGGATGCTCAGGGAATGCTGAACTTGCCGCCGCCACCACCGCCAGTTTTCCTCCCTGATGGTACTCAAGCAGCTGCTCCTGTCACCTCCCAGCTCCATGTTGCTACTGGACAAGTATATTTCATTAAATTTGCTTAAAATATGTTCTAAATTTATTATATAAGGACCCTTCAACCTCCCCAATGGCATCACCGTCTCCTGGAGCAAGACCTCAGTTTACGCAGCCCATGAAGATTGGCATGCCTCGTGCGATGGCTCCTCCAAGTCCTGGTGGGCCTTTTGCTCCCCCACCTTCGCCCAGGCCTATGCAGGTGTCCCCTAGAGCTGACCAGTTCAACAGGATATCCTTCCCTCAGGGCCAAGATGTGTTCTCTCCTCCTCCAACTCCAAATCAGGTAAACAATAATTAGATTTTATTATTCAATCTATATGTATATTTAGCAATCACAGGAGGATTTCGGCAACCAGGAGTTCCAGCAGCAAAGTGCTGATCCCTATGCTCAGCCACCTTTGACTCCAAGACCACAGCCCCCGAAGCAACCGACAACTCCTACTCAGGGCAAGCCCACCTTTCAATCACCAAGACCTGTTGATCCATATGCTCAACCACCAGGTAAGAAATTCTAAACATAAAATCTTTGGTAAAAATGTCTTGTTTTTGATATTTTAGTATTATTGATTTTCAGTTAAATTAACGATTGTTTGTCAAACTGAGAATAATTTGTTGTCTCTTTTAGGTACACCAAGGCCACAGCCGCAACAAACGTTCATTCCGCCAGCTGCTCCTCCTCCGCAGCAGAGACAAACTTTTGCCACTCCTCGTCCAGTTGACCCATATTCACAGCCTCCAGGCACTCCTCGGCCTGTTGATCCATACGCTCAACCTCCAGGTACTCCACGTCCAGGCCCTGATGAGTCAAGTGGATTCCAAATGAACCAGCCAAGTCCTGACATCAATCGCCAACTGCGAGATCTCCTCCAGAGGCAGCAGTTTAAGAAACTCGAGGACGAGCAACTTGTACCAGGCCAAAGCAACAGAATTTGGCCGCAAGAACAGAGAAATGACATTCAGCAAACTCAATCTCAGCAGCAGCAGCAGCAATTTGACAATCAAGGACAGCAGCAGGTTCAGGAGCAAGAAATGGCCAACAGGGTCCAAGGTGACAACACATTCCGACACCCTCTACCTCCGGGCATGCGACCAAGATTGCAAGGGCCGCAACAGATGCTCATTAGAGGACCCCAAGGGGTAAGAGAAATACTAATTATTAATTTTTGGCCCTATCAAATCATTTAAATTTGTTATAATTTAATAGCAAAATTTATTTTTCACTTAATAAATATTATTTCAGCAAATTATTCGTCAGTCAATTCCTAACATGGACCCTCGAATGCGTCTGCTTATTCAGCAGCAACAGCAGCAGCAGAGAGTCATGGTGCAAAACCAGGGTGGAAATATGCAGCAGCAACAGCAAATGTTCAACCAGGGAGCAAATGTTCAGCAGCAACCGCAACAACAGTTTGTGCAGAACATGCCTCAGCAGCGAATGCAAGGGCCCAGAATGGAGTCGTATGAGCACATGGTCCAACAGAGGCCTCAGTTGCCATTCCAACAGCAAGGTAAAAATAGTCTTCTTTGGCCTTACTATCAACTCTGAATTATTCATAATTTAAAAATAATAATATTAACTTGTACTAGAAGCAAGCGGACAGATGATGCAGCAACAGCCACGTCAAATTTTGAGGCAAATGTCCAATATTGAAACAGTTGCACCTAATTCAGTTGCACCTGGTATGGTTCCTGGGCCTAGATTGATCAGAACCATGAGTGGTCCTCCTGTGATGGGAGAGCAACAGGCTATGAACCAACAACAAAGAATGCCAGCTCCTGGTAAAATTATTTAACTAAACTTTTGACCTTCAGCTTAATTTAATTTTTTTTCGACAGTTATGCCAATGGAACAACAGCAGCAGCAGCAACAACATCAACAGCAGCAGCAACAACAACAGTTACCTAGCATGACGGCTTCCACTGCTCCTTCGGCTCCAACACCTTCCACTCCTGCTGCAAACACTGAAGTATCCACTCAGGAAATACCAGAGAGTGTTGCTGAAGAACTTGAAAAACTTGAGCAAGAAACAGGAATTGAGGTAAATTTCTATTTCTATTTCCATTTTTTTTTTTTTTTTTTTTTTTTTTGCAAATAAATATGCAAATTTAAAACATTTTATTGCAGAGCGTCAGTAATTTGCTGGAACTGGGAGATGATGACGATGAATTGCTTGGGCTTGGTGCCGACTTCAACATATTGCTTTACGCAGACCCTGATCTGGACGCAGCACCTGGTGGGGCAAAGACTAACATATTGGACTTTGTCCATGAAGAGCAAAATGAGGAAAAGAAAGAGGGTGCTCCTAGAAATCAGTAAAATTTTAAAATTTGTTTTAAAGCTGATCCTCATGTATTACTATTTTTAAATCAGGAACCAAAACCAAGAAAGGCCTACGGAAGGCGCAGGAACGTCCTTGCAACCACAGTCTAGTGTTGCTGCTCCTCCAGTGGCTCCTCAGCCTCCCATGCAGCAGCAGCAGGTGCCTCCTAATGTTACCATGAGACCTCAAATGCAAGGAAAACCGTTCCAACAAGCATTCCAAGGTCAGCAGCCACAGCAGGGAATGATGAGACCCCAAGTGCAAGGTAATTGGAACAAACTAAATTTAATTCTAACAGCTTCTCTTCTGTGCTTTTTATTGCAATTAATAATTTTGTACTTCTTAGTATATCCTTTTAACTTATTAGCCAATTTAATTTTAGGTGTCCAGCAAAGAATGATCCATCCGCAACAAGCAATGGCTGGAAAGCCTCGTTTAATGCAGCCAATGGGTCCTGCTTCCCAAATGCTGCAAAATGTGGGTCAGTCTCGAATAATTGCTGGTCAGCCAGGCTCGGCACCGCCAAATACCACCCTCGCCCCTCCTCCTCCATACCCTGGACCTCCACCACCATATCCGGGCGCAGCTCAGGTAAGAACTCTGCCTTCCAGTTTGGGAGCTGTTTTTTATATAATTACGAATAAATGTTTATTACTGAAAATTTATCAGTGGAGCATGCTTGCCTCTCTAATACAGGCCAAACTTGAATATCAATGCAGCCTGATTAACTATACTTTTTTTTTAATTTTGGTGTATTGATTATAACTAAAAACATATTCAACAAACGCTCTGTCTACTTTTGTGACTGTTTGGTTAATGGCTTTTTGTTCTTGTTTTCTCCTTTCTCTGTTGTGCCATTAGCTGGCGGTTGGTGGGCCCCAACTTGCCACTAACCATCTTCATCAGCAACACATGGCTGCTGGTCTTCATCCATTAGGGCCCCACATTCGAAATCCTCTTGCTCCCACTAACCTCAGCCATATCCCTCTGCAGCAGCAGCCACAGCCTCAGCAGCAGAATATGCACAGTATGCAACAGCAACAGCGCAGGCCTCTGCTCTTGCAGGTGAGAAAAATCCCGCATCTCTCGTCTGGGTTTTGTTGAGCACCTATAGGAAGAGAATTTCTATTTACTTTCTCACAAAAATTATTCTATCAATTTGACCAACAAAATCCAGATGTCTTGCATCTTTCTGTTTATTTATGAAAAAAACTCATAAAATTTTGGCTTGGATTTTTCCTCAGTTGCACAAAAGCATGGATTATTCATTCTCTTTGAAACAAAAGCATGCTTAATTTGAAAAAGCTAATCACTTTGACTGTTGCTAATCATGCGTAGTCTACATTGCAGGAACAGCCTTTGCTGCTGGAAGACTTGCTGGAGCAGGAAAAACGAGAGCAGGAGCGGCAGCAGGCGGCTCAAGCCCTGCAAGATCCAAATGCCGCCCCTGCACCTGCCCAGCCTGAAACCAATCCTCAAGCTCTTTTGAGCGACATGGACTTTGAACGGCTCAGAGCTGACGTCCTCCGCTCACCCACATCTGGTGGTTCTCCTGGTCTATCTCCCCCTACAATTCCAGGTCAGTAAATTATTATTATTCTTGTTACTAGAAAATTCACAGTTAGATTGATAATAATTGGGCAGATTCAATAGACTTGGCTCTCCTATTATAAAAGATATCCTGGGATTTATCCAGCTGTTGGCGCTGTCCCAGGATAAATATTTTTTTTATTCCACCTACATTTTTTTGTCTCGAATTCTTTAGGGGTAACTTCTTCTTAACCCTCGTAACGGGATAAAAATTTAACCCATGCTATAATCAAATCAGCTGGTTATTAAAAGATCATCAACATGCTCGCAAACTTTTTAAATTTTGGTCATTTTTGCAAGGATCATAAAACTTTTTCAGATCACAATTTTGCGACGGTCATGTAAATGAGGCTAAAATTAAAATAAAAAACCTAAGGGGCTTACGCTCGGGCATAAAAGCTTACACCCCAGGCATACAGGCGTACGCCCGTGCCTAATTGTAAGAGCTTACTCCCTGAGCATTTTCATGATCCTCGCAAAATTAATTTTTATATTTAATTGCAAATGGCCAAAATTTAAATAGTTTGCGAGCATGTCGACGATCTTTTTATAACCAGCTGATTTTATTGTAGCGTGAGTTTAATGCTAATCCCGTTACGCAGGTTAAGAAAAAATTATTCAGAATGAATTGGGGACAAAAAAATTGAATCCTGTTTAAAAAAATATTTGTCACCAGCGTTTACCCCTTTTGATTTATACCGGGAGAGCTAAGTCTATTGATTCTCCCCCAATATTTAATACATTTTATTTACCATTTTATGCATTCTAAAATGTTTATATTTGAAAAAAAAATACTGTTACAGTTCAAGGTATTGGAAGTATGCAGCCTGGTCAAGTGCCTTTGCGCCAACCTTTTAACCCTGGGCTTAGACAGCCCACACAACAGTGGAATCCGGCCATGCAACAGCAGCAGCAACAAATGCAGCAGCAGATGGTCAACATTCAAAGACCAGGTGTCCCCATGAACCAACCACCACAACCAGTAGCTCTTCCGCAGCCTCAGCTTGAGCAAGGTATATACTATTTTATTGTTTGGTCAAAAATCCTCTTTCCTATTCTGCACTGGTAAATTTAAACAATTTGCTTTTTTCGTGCTTTCAAAGTTTTCCAAGGAAAATTAACCGGAGGTTGTATAATTTTTGTAGGTTGTTTCCAATACTAATTAATTTCCCTCTGTAGTTCCCCGAGTACCACAAATTCCTCCTCCGCCAACACCGCCTGATAACATTGTGACGGATCAGGACAGACAAGCGGCTGCTGCCTATGAGCAATGGTTGACTGGTCAACACCAAGCACTGTCCAACCAGCTGCAGAATTTGGAGATGCAAGTCAGCAAGTTTAGAAAGGCTAAAAAGGTAAGAATTTATACTTTACGGTGATACCTCTGAATTAATTACCATTTTAAATCCTCAGAGTTTAAGCAGTAAGCAAAGACAACTGCGAAAGCAAAATTTAGAGCTGCCACCAAATGATGCGATAGAGCTGGATAGAATAACAAAGGAGCAAGCTGGAATTCAAAAGCAGCTGGAGCAGAGCAGGAAGCTCAACAAACAGCATGGAATGCTTCTACAAGTAAAATTATATTAAATTATAAATGTTCTTAATTAATTTTTTATGTTTTGCTCACAGGACTATAAAACCAAAGTGCAGAAGAGGCAACAAGCCACAATGATGACCAATTCGCCATCACCATCATCCATGGGAGTGCATCACTCCCCTCTTGGTCCACCAACACACAGCATGCCTTCTTCTGCGTCTCCTGCCCTCTCAACCTCACCAGCAATATCAGCTATGCAGCAGCAGTCGCCTCTTCACTCTCCCATACCGCATTCACCGGGACCAAATATCGTCGCTCAGAGTCCAGGAAATGTAGCTCAAATGTCCCCTCGGAGTTTGCAGCCGTCACCTCGTCTAGGCACTCCACACTCGCAGGTATGATATAAATTCAAGGCTATTTAGAAAGTGGAAATGCAATCTTTTTTATTTTAATTTAAGGGTGAGGAGAATCAATTCATTTCAAGCCCAGGTGGTCCCATGCAAAGTCCCCAAACTCCTGTACAAAGACTGACTTCGCCGCAAGGTCAAATGGGTCAAATGAGGATGGCCAGTCCTCAGCAAGCAATGCCACAGGCGATGGGCCGGCCAATGGTTCAAGGCCAGTTTCCAGTACAAAATCAACAGTACAACGAACACATGAGGTTTGTTTCTTTAAAAAATAATAAATAATTAAATCAAAAAATTACTTTCAAGGTATCTATTTCATCTGATTATAATTTTTTTAAATATATTTGCAGAGCCATGATGAATCAAAGATTCGTGAGACCTGATATGCAGCAACAAGTCAATCAAGGTGGAGTTCAAATGCAAATGGGACAAGCGCCACGGCCTCGAATGGTTGCAATGCAAAACATGAACCAAATGTACATGCAGCAGCAGCAACAACAACAACATCAGCAGCAGCAGCAACAACAACAACAACAGCAGCAGCCACAACAGATGCAAAATCAAAACTTCCAGCAAATGCCAATGCAACAGGCGCAGCAGCAGCAGCGAATTGCTGCATACCAGCAGTCACCTATTGGCAGTCCCCAACAACAAAGAAACATGCAGTACCCTGTCTCACCAATGGGTAGTCCACAGACCCAGGGTCAGCAGACGCAGCAGATGCGTGTCCAAAGCAACATGCCCTATCCTGCTTCGCCACTGGGCAGTCCGCAGCCAATGAGGGTAAATCCAAACATGCCTTATCCTCAGTCGCCACTGGGCAGTCCACAGCAAGCAATGCGAGTGATGCAGTCACCCCTTGGCTCTCCACAGCCCAACATGATGATGCAGCCAAATGCATCGCCAATGAGAAGACCATCGGGCAGCAGTGGGCCAAGTCCATTACCTCCTGAAAGACCTCTCAGCACTGAAAACCCACTTACTCCAAGAACACCCAACACACCATACCAAGATATGCAGCATGACAATCAAGGTGGCGGCGGTGGAGTCGGAAATAACATCATGCCCCTGCCAAGAGGTGGTGGAGGATTTGACCGTTCCGTAATTCCCATTCCTCCTGGTTTGAGACACATTAGGTATCGTAAATTGGGGCTAAGGGGTGGAGCTCCAATGTGGATGGAAAACGGCGGTGGATTGGGAGGAAAAAATCCTCCCTCATCCCAGCAGCAAAGCAACAACCCAGCAGCAAGCTCAAGTAGCCAAAATGAATCTGCAGACAGCGACATTGAGGCGGCTGTTTTGTCCAACATGAAAGACATCACTGTCGTGGTAGTTGGTTCTAGTCCCGCTTCATCTGTTGACGACGTGGAGCAAAGTTTGGCTTCTCTGGAGGAGAATATTGGACCTCACATTGAGGAGGAGGCTTTGATAAGAAAAACTGAAGATGCTGTTGATGAGGACAAATTCGAAGAGGCTCTGGACAAGCTTGAGAATGAGGTGGACATGAAAGAGCAGGAGGACTTGCTTGACGAGCATGTAGAAAAAACAACCAGCATGGAGAGACCTTCTCTTGTTGCTCACAGTGCCACAGACACACCTGCCTCTCCTGATCCGGAAAATCTCGGCTCACCGGACCCCGAGTTGATGGCTGAAGCAGATGCTCAGGTGGAGGAACAAATAAATGATGACAAAGCTGTTCCAATGGAAACCGAACCACCTCCACCGTCACCACCAAAACCGCCTGAACTCAAAGTGGAACCAACTCCACCCTTGCAGTATCCAACTGTGACCAGAATGCCGCAAATTTCTTTTGAAACTCCTATTGAGCCCAGAGAGGAAGAGGTTCTAAAAACGCCAACTGAAACTAAAGTGGCAGAGCTGGAAATAAAAAAGGAGTCTGAAATTGTCAAACCACCTGAGGCACCGTCAATTTTGCAGCAGTTGGTAGAAAAGAAGGAGGAAGACGCAACAGAAAAAGCTGCAGCCGCCCCAGCAATGGAACCGATGCGGAAAATGGGAGAGATGAGGCAGAACGTTCTTTTGAAGCAGTTGCTGCAGAACTCGGCGTGTTCCACACCTCAGTCTTCTGCTTCCGTGACGGTCCCTTCACTCGAGGCCCAGCTGGCTAGGCCTGTTCCTCCAACGCACTCTCGGCTCATTCCACCCTTGCTGAATGAAAATTTACCCACCAGACCGCAAATGCTGCGACTTCCAGGTGTGCAACAGACAAACCTGATCAGACCTTCTCAACAGCAGAGGCTCGATTTCATCATGAAAAAGGACCTGATGCCGCACATACCAGCTCAGCCGCAGACGGCGCCTCAGAGGCCAATGCTGGTGCAGCAAAATCAACAGCTGAACCTGCAACTCCAGCAGAGCACCTCTCCAAGTCCTGGTGGGGCACAACCTGGGCAGCCGACACCTCCTCCGCAGCCTCAGACACCAACTCCTCCACCTCAACCGGCCAAAACTCCTCCTCAACCTCAGCCTGTTGCAACACCTCCTAAGCCACCAACCCCTCAGCCGGTGCTTCAACAACAACCACCCACGCCACAGCAGCAGCACCTGCAACAAACTCAGGCTATTCAACAAATTCTGCAGTCACAAATGATCAAAAAAGAAGTGATTGATCCTCCGAAGCAGCAACCCCCGCCTGCAGCCACCCCACCTGCTCAGACAGAAACCCCCACTCTGCAGCAGCAAGCACCAAATCTCCTTCGGCACATCCAACAGGCCATGCCTTCGAAGGCGTCGCCTCCAACTTCAGCTCCTCCATCGCAACCTCCAACTCCTCAACCCTCTGAACAGTTAACCCAACTAAACCTGCAGCCTGTGCCTCAAATAGAAGTTAAGAAGGAGGTTGAGGAGTCGAGCGTGACGCCTCAGTCGTCAAGAGAAAACACAATGGACATTGACCAAAACTCGTGTGACACTATCATCCAGCCATCAGAAACCTCGGCTGCTGATTTGAAAAAATTGAAACGACGTCAGTACCAACAGAAACGGCGGCAAAGTGCTGGAAAGGAAGGCGGACCAACGCCCAAGAAGCGCTCCAGGAAATTGAGCTCCACCTCTCAGGGAAGCTCCAAGATTGAGGAGGATTATGACAGCTTCATAGAGCACCTGATGCCGCAGTTGCGGCAACTCCCAAACCTGAATGTGCTTGAGCCAGAGCTGGGACGAAATTTTGCTGTGTGCCCTGTATTTGGCTCTGGGGACCTTGCGAAACTGGGACTCGTCCCTCCGACGTCACCCTTGCTGGGCAACATGGCGCCTGCCTCGCCAATCAAGTACGGAGATCTGGTTGGACAGTACGGAAAAGCGACTTTGCCAAATGTGACTGATTTTTACCACACCAAGCCCTTTGGTGACCTAACCCCCATCCCTCCGGTGCCTCCGACATCCTCCCAACGTGGTTTTTACGACCAAGAGTTTGCCCCTTTGAAGTTGGAGAGTGAGGATGCTAATCGGGACAGAGAAGACTCGCCTGACACGGTGGTCAGTTCGTCGTCACCAGAGTGTTTCATGCTCGAGACGCCACACCGATTCCCAGGTCTCAGATTGATTAAGGAGGACGACAGCGACACCGAAGACAAAGAGGCGCTTCGAAGAGCTTCACCTGTCATTCCTCTGGTGGCGCCCACGCCAGTCAGGGTACGCCCTGGCATCACCTTCAAAGACCTGCTCGATTTGGACAAGGAAAATTTGGGTGGTGCTTCTGGCTTGGTGATGCGGAATCGCTGGGGCAGTTCGCCCACCATGCCACTCAGAGAGACTGGAAACATCACGGTCACACTCACTCTGAGCTCAACGGCGGCCAGGGACGTCGAGGGAGCGCTCTCAGGACTGGCTCGTTTGCTTCGCCTGCCAACTCCTCTGCAGTTCAGCGTTGCTGACACCACAACGCAGCCTGACTACAAACTTGGCGTTTATAGAACCAGAGGCAGAGATGGTAAGATTTTGTCTTTATTATTTTATTTAAAATAATAATAATAGAAGAATCAAATTACTAAAAATCAAAATGCTACTTTTGGATACAAATAATTTTCAAATTCATTATTAAGTAATTCAGAAATTTATTTGAAAGAATAAAAATCTAATTTTATAAAATAGCATTTTAGTCGTAAAGAAATTATACTTTTATTCTATTTATTAAAATTTATAAATATGTATATTGGCTACATTGATAGAATTTTAACTTATATTTTTCCTCCAAAGAAAAATAAATATTTAGAATATAATTGAAAAATTTGAATACAATTGAACTTCATGAATTTGTCTAATCTGTTTTAGGCAAAGAAGGAGCGGCCATAGACATACAGAGCATACTGAATGGCGCCCACAAGTTCTGTCGGCACTGCGAGATCTGCGTGCTGAACAACTACATCCGCAAGAGCTTGTCCGATCTGCCACCGTTACCTCCGTCTGACGAATCTGTCATTGATGACGACCTGTACTTCTGCTCTGAAAACTGCTTCGTCCAGTTTGCCTGCACCCACGGCATGCAGAGTGTGGTGGAAAAAGAGGCGGCCGCAACTGTTTCACACCACGGAATGCAGAAAAAGCTGCCTGACAAAAAGGCCGTGGAGGTTAAGAAGAACGGCCATGTCAAAGAGGAACCCATGGAAGTTGACGCCGCTCCCCCTCCACCTCCAAGTCTGAAGGGCGTTCGCTTTAAGACGTGGACTCCTGGTCTTCAGCCACCCAACAAGTTCAAAAAACCAACCGACCGTGAACTGACGGACTTGCTTTTCCGCTCAGGGATCACTTTGATGCCCCAAAAGTTGCCAGACGACTCTCGTCAGTGCATGTTCTGCCACCAGCTCGGAGACGGTCCTGCTGACGGCACTGGCCGGTTACTCAACTACGACGTGGACAAGTGGGTCCATCTGAACTGTGCTTTGTGGTCCTATGACGTGTACGAGACTGAGAACGGCGCCTTAATGAACGTTGAGCAGGCCCTTCAGCAGAGTCTGGGTCAAAACTGCTCCGTCTGCAGCAAACCAGGCGCCACCATCAAGTGCTTCAAAACCCGATGCGGCTCCATCTACCACCTGGGGTGTGCAGTCAAGGACGACTGTTTCTTTTATAAAAACAAAACCGTTTACTGCTCGGCCCACATTCCCAAAAACGAGAAAGAATCGGAACTGACGACCCTGGCTGTTTTCCGCAGGGTCTACGTCAACAGAGATGAGAATCGCCAAGTGGCCGCTGTGATGCACCATTCGGACCAGAGCCACCTACTCAGGGTCGGGTCGTTGATATTCCTCAACGTGGGCCAACTTTTGCCCCACCAGCTTCCAAATTTCCACACCCAGAATTACATTTACCCTATTGGATACAAAATCGCCAGAATTTACTGGAGCATGCGAACCTTCAACAAACGGTGCCGGTACATCTGTTCCATTCATGATAACGCCGGCCGCCCTGAGTTCAGGGTCTTGGTGCAGGAGTTGAACCACCCTGATCTAGAACTGAAAGGGACAACAGCCAGGCAGGTCTGGCTTCAAATTTTTGAATCGATGACAGCCGTGCGAAGGTCATCTGGCGGCGTTCAGGTCTTCCCGAAGTTCATATCAGGAGAGGACCTTTTTGGTCTGACCGAGCCGGCCATCATCAGGGTGTTAGAGTCTCTGCCCGGAATCGAGACGCTAGTCGACTACAAGTTCAAGTACGGCCGGAACCCGCTGCTCGAATTGCCCCTCGCCGTCAACCCGACAGGGTGCGCCAGGTCGGAGCCAAAACTGCGAACCCACTTTAAGCGGCCGCACACTCAGAGGACTGGATCAGGATCCATCAGACCGGCACTCGTTCCTGCGGCGACGCCCGTGGGTGAGGCCACCTGTCCATACTCGAAGCAATTTGTGCACTCCAAGAGCTCGCAGTACAAGAAGATGAAGCTTGAGTGGCGAAACAACGTCTACCTCGCAAGGCAAGTCAATTAATCTTCCTTTTGACACATTATTTTATATCCACTGTCGTTATTCAGATTAAGGAGTAATTTTCTTTTTCAAGTGCATTTTTACCAATGGAAATGCATATTGCTGTCTCTTTATTATTATTATATTAAATTTCTTATCTATTTTTTACAGTTTTTTTTAGTATAAAATTAAACCTCCAATTTTAGTTATTTATATCTTGTATCTTGTTACTTATATTTATGAAAATATTTGTTTCATCCCTTTGGTTTATTTAACATTTAATAGTTTTGTTGTCTCATTTTCTTGCAGATCCAAAATCCAAGGTCTTGGCTTGTACGCCGCAAGAGATCTCGAGCGTCACACTATGGTTATAGAGTACATAGGGGAAATCATCAGAACCGAACTTGCCGAGGCAAGAGAAAAGCAGTATGAAGAAAAGGTAAATAATAATATTGCTCTGTGTTTTTTCATTCAATTTAACTTGTATTTTATAGAACCGAGGAATTTACATGTTCCGACTGGACGAGGAAAGGGTCATTGATGCAACCTTGAGTGGAGGATTAGCACGATACATCAACCACTCGTGCAACCCCAACTGCGTGGCTGAGACAGTCGAGGTGGATAGAGACTTCAGAATCATCATTTTCGCTAAGCGGAAGATTAATAGAGGAGAAGAGGTAAAATTTATTTATTATTTGGTTTTTGCGGTAGAATTTCACGATCATGATGATTTTACTTTGTATAAATTTATAAAAAAAAAAAATTGCAGTTGGCGTACGACTACAAATTTGACATTGAAGATGATCAGCACAAGATACCATGCTTGTGCGGGGCGCCTAACTGCAAGAAGTGGATGAACTGAGGTTTCGAGTGCTGCATACCAACTGCCTTCATTTTGTCTGTCTTGTTTCTCTATCAAGTGCATAAAATTGTTTTCAACTTTTATTCCCAATGGAAGACCAATGTGAAGCCTTTTAGCTTTTAGAGACAATGCGATATAAAATCGATGTGTTGGAAATATTTAATTTTTCGTGCATACACGGAAGACGAGTACACAAAACTCAATTATACACAATATAAATACGACATATATATATTTATTATTACTGATCACCAGAGAGTCTGGCCATATTTTTTGTTGTTTTTTTAATGAATATTGCGATGACCGTGTGTAGTTGCTGAAAGTGATGTGAAATCTTGATGTATAAATGAGATGGAACCTGTTTAAATTTCTGTTTTAATAAATATGAGACTAAACTATTAAATGATTTATGTGTAATTATTAAAATGCGTACAAGTTGAATCTGCTAATAGATGAATCAATTAAAAATTTCTGAACAATAGTAATTCATTTTTGCAAATATGTGTGATGCCTTTAAATAATTCCAGGAAAAACTGCAATTGATCTCAACAACAACCGAATGAGGCAACTGAAGCGACCTTGCAAATTCAAAATTCTTCCTGACCTTCCTGTTGGCAACAGGAGGCTGTTGACCGCCATCTCTGCCTCTGCCATCTTGAAGAATTCTTATCTCGTTTACGTCTCCACAAAAACGTTTCGACAATGTGGCGTTTTTTCGGCCGTAAAAGGGGAGAGGACAAAGACGGCGACGAGAAAAAGGCAAACGCGGCGAAGACAAATAGAATAAACTAAAATTTTGCAAATGTTTGATATATTTATTCAAAATCTTAGAGGTTAATATTATTTTAGATTGTATGTGACAATAATACTGATTTTCAGTTATGAGTTATGACAATTTTCATTTCTAAAACCGGAATTTAAAGAAAGGTCAAGAAATTGTCAAATAATAACAATACATTTATCTTTGTTAATGTAGGAACTTTTCGGAACTTTTATTTTATTTTAATCATGAGCTACTTATCGTTTCTGATATTGCATATCAATTACTCGCATTTTTCAAAAAGCATTTCTCTTAATTTGAAATCTGCAAATTTAGTCTGTAAAACAGAAATGCTATTAATTCTTGGAAATCGGAATCTAGCTGTCCTAGCTTATTCTTAAAATTAGATTCTTCTTCTCATTTTGGTGCTATTTTGAATTAGCAAATAATAATAATGCTTTTATTAAACGCGTTTGCGTACAACTACTAATACATACATGCTATACATACTAAATAGAACTAGGCGCACCACCTATCGGTGGACAGTCATTACAATCAGTTTGAGCGTATTTCAGCGGGAATATTGATGATCAGCCATTTGAGCAAGGGAGGAAAAAGGCGATCGAGTACAAAATAAACAGTGGTGTTGACTACAATATTGTGAACAAAATTTACATTTACATGCTTTGCTTGCAAAGTGATATTCCTTTTTAACACAAAATTTATAATGAAATCCATGAACTATTATTCTAGTATAAACATGCCTGTCCTGTTGAAGAGGACTTCTCCATTTAATCGGGAGTGTAACAATTGCATTGTGAAAATCAGGAGGAATATCAAACGATTTCATTTCTCTCTCGAATAACAAAGTACCAAAAGCAGGTGTGTATGGAAGATTATACATAGATTGCAAACAACCAATAAATGAATCAACCTCCAACATTAAATGCACAATTCTATTCTGAGCTGATTTATGTACACACAAGAGGCGTTTCAAATATGCATTAAAAACAAGATTTAAATTTCTGAGATCTGTTTGAGTGAGATAAGGCCAAGCAATTGTAATGCCATAACTGGCAATAGGCGCCACCTTTATAAAAAAGAGACGGATTGCTGCATCTACACTCAACATACGAAGTTGTTTTATATCAAATGTAGCCAAATTTGCTAATAATGTTCGAGATTCTACATGTTTGTTAAATGATTTCGCCGTGTGATTCAAAGTCACTCCAAGATATTTAACTACATTCTCAAATTTAACATTTTGTTGGAAATTATTTCGCGGGCTACAATTCCGAAGGTTCGGACTCGAGCCACCTGTATGCACTCTAGCGGTGGACTTTTAAACTAAGCTTTGTTGTTGTTTTGTTTGCTCTTGGCTGTGGCTGCATTTTATTGCCTCACGTTTTAAGTATTTCAGTCGATGAAAAGTGTTTATAAACCATTCTTTCTTCCAATCATCCCTCGAGGTTGACATCATCAGGTAGTAAAGTATTTTTTTGTTAAATTTTGTGAATATCATCTGGTAATTCTGCTCTATTTTAATTTTCCGAAATTTCATGCACATGCATGATGGCAGGCGACGCCGACATACGCGCAAAGCCCGACCCATTTCATGATGCATGCGTTCGTCAGTACATATCATAATTTTGCGAAAAAATAATTATTCTTTAGAACGCCGACAATTGATAGCATTGCATTGTTTGAAAATAATTCATTTTTTATTTCTTTCATTATTGAATACACACATAATATATACTGGTAGAAAATCCCAATAAAAACAGTTTTGTTTTACAATATCTTTATCTTTCAATCGACTAATTTAATTTCTTTTTTACTATTATTATTGTTTATTCTTCTCGGTCAATACCAAAAATTTTTCCTTTTTTATTTTCATTTATTCGCATATTAATTTTCGTTTGTTTAACAGAAATTTAACCATGGGGGAGGAAGGCCACTTGTATTCCCTCAAGTGGAACAATTACGTCAGCCACGTGATGGCCTCCCTAAATTCAATGAGGACTGACAGGGACCTAATCGACGTGACCCTGAGCTGCGAGGGAAAGAAAATCTTGGCCCACAAGATGCTTCTCTCTGCCTGCAGCCCCTACTTCAAAGATCTCTTCAAGGTTTGAAGTCGAAAGCAAATATTGTAAAACTCTAGACTTGATATTTCAGGAGAATCCATGCCAACACCCCGTCATAATTTTCCGCCACATCCCTTTTGGCGATCTGACAGCTTTGGTCCAATTCATGTATACGGGAGAAGTGAGCGTGGATGAAGATGAGCTGCCCTCATTTTTGCAAACTGCCGAGATGCTGGAAATCCAGGGTCTGACTAAAGGCAGCCAGCCTGTTGAGAAGACAAAGAATGATAAGACTGTTCCTGTGCAAGTGAGGGTCATTTTACATAATTTTTTGCACAGAGAAGAAAATTTGAAAATTTCCCATTTTTCCTTGGTTTAAAAATAATTAATTCCAAAATTTCAATACCACGAAGCATGAAAATTTAATTTCAACTCTTAATTTTGTTTAAATAAAATAAATAATTTGTTTTTCTTCCAGCCCAAATCTGCCCCCTCTATTGTCCCCACGACCGTTGCAGAAACCGCTGATATTGTTCCTGAACCAGCCCAGGTGGCTGAAAAACCAAAAACCCGATCTGAAAGTGCTGCCTCCCCCTCGAGAAAGAGGCGTCGAACTACCCCGACACGCCCTGAAAAAGAGTCGGTTCAGCCAAAAGGTGCATATTTGATTTAAACACTCGTTAAACTTGTTAGCTAAATTTTATTTTTGCCCCCTTTCATTTCCATTTGTTGCTGCCAAAGAGCCTGTGATAACACCAGAATTTGTTACATCCAAAGTGAAAGTTGAAGCCATTGAAACAGATGATTTGCCAATACTCGAGGAACACGAGTTCATGTCTTACGATGATGGTGATGACGACGATGGAGATAGAGGTGAAAATTTGGAATGTAAGCTCACCAAAAAATAAAGAATAATCACTCTAATTAGTATTTGAAATAAAATGCTGACATGTTATTTGAGCTACATTAATTCATTAATTGTTGTTTTTTTTCCCCAGACGAGAACAATGACTTAGATGGGACGGAAGTATCGGAAGGGGACCCGAGCGATATTCAGGACAAAGGTAGGAATTAAAATTTATTAAGGATGGGCTCACTCTTTGCACTTGCTCTGCACTCGCACTCAGTGTGAGTGTGATGAGAAAAACTGGCGTGAGTGTGAAATAGTCGCACCTCGATTCACTCTCGTAAAGCTTATTTATGAGTCATAACAGCAGTTGTTGTTGTTGTTGTTGTTGTTGTATTTTGATTTAATTGGCTATAGTTAATACCATTTAGCCAGGTCTTATTTATGTTGGTTTAATTTTTACTAGTTGTATTTACATTTAGGAAAGATGACCTGAAACAGGGCATGCAATGCAAAATAGATTTGTCTATTATTTGTTAAGAGGATTGTAGACAGATTGATAGAGGAGTTGAGATGGAGCTGTTTAAGGCAGCTCATCAGATTTTTTCTTGCAGGAGCTAGTCGAGGACATGCAAGCAAAAGGTGCTCTAGCGAACAGGGGTCGTGGGAACAGACACATGCTGATGAATGTGCTATTTTCCATGCAAAGAGCCTATCAGGGGTTGGTGCATGCACAAAGCGAATTCTATGAATACTGGTATAAAAGCTTCTTGAAAGACCAGGAAAGGCAGTAAACCAGGATTTACGAGGAACAATTCCTGACGGATGAAGCAGAGCATATTTTTTACCTTTTGTAATATTTAATACTCTCCAGCTTGTATTCCACTGTTGTGCTGCTTCTTTACGGATTAATTTTTCCAAATCTGGTATTGGTGTGTCGATTCGTCTGATAGAAGGTCCCCGACAAGCTAAGTTAGCAACTTTATCGGCTATCTCGTTTCCTTTTATACCTATATGGGATGGTATCCACAGCAGATGAATTTGGAATCCTGCTGTTTCAAGCTCGTGTATGTGCTCTCGAATATCTGCAATAATAAAATTTTTGCTTTCAATAAATTTATCATTTGAAAGCTCAACCAGGAGACTTTGTGAGTCTGAAAGAAGGTATGATTTCTGAGGAGGCAAATTATGTTTGATGTAGTTTAGTGCCATACACAACGCCATCGCTTCTGCTGAGTAAATTGAGTAAGTTAAGGGTAGGGTCTTTATGAGAGCAAAATTCTTTCCAGCAAAGTAAGCTGCAGCTGCTACTGATCCATCTTTTTGTTTGGAGCCATCTGTGTAAATCTTAAGGCTTTCTGATGCTGTTGTGTGAAGGAACTGTAGAATTAGTTGCTTAGTCTGTGGTGGCAGGCTGTTCTTACTGAACTTAGACCATGGAGTTTCCAGCACTGAAATGTGTTGATTTAGGCTGATTTCCAAGTGTGATGGTGACCATTTTTTAATTGTAGGAGCTGTATCTGAGTTCCATTTTCTAAAAGCTGTAAGAAGTGGGTGTTTAGCAACAACTTGATTTTTAACTTTTATTCTCCGACTCCATTCTTCAAGTATTTGTCTCAGCCATTGACGATCAAACCTCAGTAGTTTTATTACTAGTTGTTCAGCTAGTATTTTAGCTGTAATTTTAAGAGGCTTGAGGTTAAGCTCGGCCTGCATGCTATGAATCGGAGTGCTTTTGAATGCACCCAGTATCTTTCTCATAGCTGTATTTTGCATCACATCTAATGTATTCAACTCAGTTTGTGCAGCATTCTGCCAAAGGAAGGAAGAGTACTGCAACTTGGAAAGAATCAGTGATTTATAAATTTGCAGTAGACAGTGCGGGTCTGCTCCCCACCAAACCGTCGCTACTGACTTTATAAGATTCAGTGAGTTTTGACAGGCTTTTTGTAGACTTGCGATTTGAGGTTTCCATTTTAATTTTGCATCAAAGAGAACTCCTAAGTATTTGACTGTTTCTACCACTTCAACTTGTCCTTGTGTTGTATTCACTGAATCAAGGTTTATCACTTGATGAGAAAAAGGTATTATTTTAGTTTTTTTCAGGTTAATTTGAAGACCCTTTTCTTGGAAGAAGTTCAACAGGGCTTCAATCGTTTCTGACATTATTTTTATTGCTGAGCTAATATTAGCTTGTCCGAAATGAATCAAGACGTCATCTGCAAACTGAATTATTTTTACTGACTTACTCAGGTGATCCTCTAGTGCTCTGACATAAATTATATACAACAGTGGGGAGAGCACTCCACCTTGAGGTACTCCTTTATAAACTGTTCTACGTTGTAGCCCAGCTGAGGTTGTATAAAACTGACACACTCTTCCAGAAAGGAATGTCTCTATCCATTGAACCAGTTGTTTAGGAAGGCCTATGTGAAAAAGATCTTCAAGGAGTTTTTTATGAGGGACGCCATCAAACGCTCCCTTAACATCAACTAGTAGTGCAAAATGTTTTTGTTGTTTCAACCAGGACACTTGAATTGAGGCTGAAAGCTCTGCTTGACACATCTGAACATTAAGACCTTTTCTATAGGCAACTTGGCTTTGTGGCAGGAGTTGATTTTCTTCAAGGAATACTACTAGTCTTCTTTTTAACAAACTTTCAAAAAGTTTTCCTACACATGAAGTGTACATTATTGGACGATATGCACTTTCTATGCCAGGTTTTTGACCTGCCTTTAGGATCGGTTTTAACCATGCTTTTTTCCATTCAATTGGGCAGAAATTATTTTGGACAATCATGTTGAAGAAATGGAGGAGTTCTTCTTTATATTTATCCGGGAGATGGGCTAGCATCATATATGATATGTTATCTGGTCCTGGAGAAGCATGCTTATTAACTAAGTTTAGGGTTCCTTCAAGTTCCTTAAGTGTAAAGGGTTTTGTACAGAAGGGTTTACTGGGTTTACTTTGTTTTGTTAGCCTTCCTTGTAGAGCACTCCAGTCAAGGTTTTCATCTTTCTTAAGGTTAGATGGACAGACTCTTTCAAGGAACTCCATTTCCCAGTTTCCTTTGTTTATTGATTGACTAGATGGATTTGTTATACTGTTTCGCATCATTTTAACCGTTTTCCACAGATACGAAGAGCCTTTTTGTCTTGAGAGTGAGTTACAAACTTGTTGCCAGAATTCAAATTTGGCCGTTTTACTTATTATTTTAAACTTAGCTGACGTTTGCTTTGTCTCAACATACTTCTGGTACGATGCTTGATTTTTTTTAAATTGTTTTTGAGCCTCTATCATTGATAAATAAGCTGATTCGCAGTCTTCATTCCACCATGGCTTTTTAACTTTTTTGGATAATGGATTTTTTTGTTTTTTCCACGGTATAGAACTATCTGCTGCAGCATTAAGATTTTTAGTAAATGAATTATACCAGTTTGTCATCTCGGTATCCAATGATGATGGGAGCTGAAGATTTTCAAGGACTTTTTTAAAATTGGCCCAGTCTGCTTTTTCAAAGTGACGTTGAGGAGGAGGCTTCACAGTAAGATTTGAAGGTAGACTAAATTGGTAGTTAATGGTGATTATGAAATGATCACTTCCTAGCGTTTGCTCTGAAACTTGCCAAGTAAATTCATCTAAGAGGTCTTCACTCACCAATGTGAGGTCAGGCGAGGTTGGATTTGTTCCAGGACGTTGAATCAATGTTGGTTCACCATTGTTTAAAACTGTGAAGTTAACATTTGTCAACAATTTCTCAAGAAACCTTCCTCGAGAGTTAGAGTAGGTAGAACCCCATAGATGACAGTGGGCATTAAAATCACCACATATGATTGCAGGATGAGGGATTTGTTCCAGCAAATCTTCAATTTCTTTATTAATTCCTATATTAGGTGGGGCATATAGACTCACTAGGACTATGAGATTGCCATTAATCTTCAATTTTACTGCTACTGCTTCAAGTTCGGTATGCAAGTGAATTTGATGTGCTTGTATATTGCTTTTTAATAGAATAGCTGTACCTCCTCCTCTGCTGGTTGATCTGTCTGCTCTGTAGGACACGAAGTCTAAAAATTTAAAATTTTCACCATTTTGAAGGTGAGTTTCAGTTAGGGCAATGATTTGAATATTAGAATTTTGTTGCACATAGTGTTCAAGGGCTAGTTGATTTGCTTTAATACTTCTTGCATTCCATTGTAATATTGATTTTTCGGTGCGTTCCATCATGAATTTCTTTCTTCGCTAGCTGCCTCCTCAGTTTCCATTGAATCTTTCTCACTAGGTATTGATATAACTGTTTTGCTATCTAAGATTTGTTTCCATCCATTTAGCAATTGCTCTTGCAGCATCTGTACATCGGTTAGCTCAGCTTGATTTTTCTTCACTGTAGTAAGGTTCATAATCAATTGAAACATGAACACTAACATGGTCAAGGCTGTTTTGTTACTAATAACTTTAGAACACAATTCTAACAATTTTTCTGGTGCCATTTGTTCCAGGTCGATCTGCATTTTTACTTCTATGTTATCTTCACTCTTCTTATCTTCTGACTTCAGGTTTTGCCCAGCACGTTCTTGAGGTTTATTTGCTGAAGTTATACTACCTTTCTGCTTTTTAGGTAGGGAGCTTATAAATTTTTCTTGTCTGTTTTTCAATTTATCTATATCTGTTAGATGAGGAGCAGCTACAATTTCACTAAACTTTTTAATTCTTGCTTTTTGCACTGCAGGTGGTAGGATGTTTGGCTTAAGTTCCAAATGGTCCGCCTCGAAATCTTGAGCCTTACTACCTTCACCCCTAACAGTGCGCAAAGCTGGGAACATTTGTGAGGACTGAAGTTTATTGGGGCTTAGAAATTGAGTATTTTGCAGGGTGGATTTAAACTTGAGTAGGTGCTTATGTTGCATTACTGGACATTTTGTTGAATGGGGAACATGATCTCCTTTGCAGTTAGCACAAACAGGTGGAACAATCTTTTTGTCTACAGGACAGTCTCGTGTATTATGCTGTTGCGCACAATAACCACAGGTAGGTTTTGCCGATTTACACTGCTTAGCAATGTGATGAAATTGCTGGCAGTTATAGCATACAAGAGGCTTTTCTTCAAACAGTTCTACTCTTCTTCGAACACTGTAGATGGATACTGTGCTTGGGAGAGTTTTGCCAGAAAAAATAATAACAATTGATGTAGTAGGAACCAACTTATTTTCAGAGATTCCTTCTATTCTTCTGGTTAGTCGCTTGACTTTAACTACTTCAGGGGTACAATTTCTTTGAATTTCCTCCTTAATTTCATGTTCAGGGATAGTGTCATCTACACCTCTAATTATACCTTTTACAAACTCACTGCGCCTATATTTTTCTGCTTTGCAATCAATTTTTGCTAATAATTCTGAGTTGTGCATTAGCTTAATTGCATCTTCCTCAGTCTCAAACAGAACCAGTATTTGGCTTCTACCTTTAGAGATTACTTGATGAAATTTGAGTTTGTGCTCATGTAATTTTTTCGCTACTGAGACATCCTGGAGACGCTGTAAGGTATTAGACTGGAGATAGATACCTGGAAGAATCTCTTTTTGAACTTTGTCAAAGGCTTCATTCATTTGAGGATTTTTTGCTGTCTGTGAAGTGGAGCTCCTTCTACGCTTATTAGTGTGCAGAGTAAACTGCTCATCATCATCAAATTGATCGCCTCCATTTTCTCCAAGATGTGGACTTAGCAGTAGCTCTGCCGTTTCATGGCGCTTTCGGTTTTTAATGTCACAATCCACTTTTATTTCACCTTCCTTCATTTTACATCCTGGTTTGGATTCTTTAGCTTCTTTTCCGGACATCGTCAGGGCTAAGGAGCAAAAGAATTTGAGAAAAAACGGGAATTAAGACCTTACCAAACAACAACAACAACAGACGTCCGTTGTCAATTTTCCTTTTTTATTTTCATTTATTCGCATATTAATTTTCGTTTGTTTAACAGAAATTTAACCATGGGGGAGGAAGGCCACTTGTATTCCCTCAAGTGGAACAATTACGTCAGCCACGTGATGGCCTCCCTAAATTCAATGAGGACTGACAGGGACCTAATCGACGTGACCCTGAGCTGCGAGGGAAAGAAAATCTTGGCCCACAAGATGCTTCTCTCTGCCTGCAGCCCCTACTTCAAAGATCTCTTCAAGGTTTGAAGTCGAAAGCAAATATTGTAAAACTCTAGACTTGATATTTCAGGAGAATCCATGCCAACACCCCGTCATAATTTTCCGCCACATCCCTTTTGGCGATCTGACAGCTTTGGTCCAATTCATGTATACGGGAGAAGTGAGCGTGGATGAAGATGAGCTGCCCTCATTTTTGCAAACTGCCGAGATGCTGGAAATCCAGGGTCTGACTAAAGGCAGCCAGCCTGTTGAGAAGACAAAGAATGATAAGACTGTTCCTGTGCAAGTGAGGGTCATTTTACATAATTTTTTGCACAGAGAAGAAAATTTGAAAATTTCCCATTTTTCCTTGGTTTAAAAATAATTAATTCCAAAATTTCAATACCACGAAGCATGAAAATTTAATTTCAACTCTTAATTTTGTTTAAATAAAATAAATAATTTGTTTTTCTTCCAGCCCAAATCTGCCCCCTCTATTGTCCCCACGACCGTTGCAGAAACCGCTGATATTGTTCCTGAACCAGCCCAGGTGGCTGAAAAACCAAAAACCCGATCTGAAAGTGCTGCCTCCCCCTCGAGAAAGAGGCGTCGAACTACCCCGACACGCCCTGAAAAAGAGTCGGTTCAGCCAAAAGGTGCATATTTGATTTAAACACTCGTTAAACTTGTTAGCTAAATTTTATTTTTGCCCCCTTTCATTTCCATTTGTTGCTGCCAAAGAGCCTGTGATAACACCAGAATTTGTTACATCCAAAGTGAAAGTTGAAGCCATTGAAACAGATGATTTGCCAATACTCGAGGAACACGAGTTCATGTCTTACGATGATGGTGATGACGACGATGGAGATAGAGGTGAAAATTTGGAATGTAAGCTCACCAAAAAATAAAGAATAATCACTCTAATTAGTATTTGAAATAAAATGCTGACATGTTATTTGAGCTACATTAATTCATTAATTGTTGTTTTTTTTCCCCAGACGAGAACAATGACTTAGATGGGACGGAAGTATCGGAAGGGGACCCGAGCGATATTCAGGACAAAGGTAGGAATTAAAATTTATTAAGGATGGGCTCACTCTTTGCACTTGCTCTGCACTCGCACTCAGTGTGAGTGTGATGAGAAAAACTGGCGTGAGTGTGAAATAGTCGCACCTCGATTCACTCTCGTAAAGCTTATTTATGAGTCATAACAGCAGTGTTGTCGTAGGCATGGCACAGGTGGTGATGGCAGATCTCGAGCCGCAAATAATGCCCACAACTCCGAAATCAGTCCATGGCACAGACTTAATAAATCATTATGATTTTTACGAGGTCGAAGTTGACAACAAAACCACAGTCAACGCCTCCTGTAAACATTGCAATTCGACCCTTAAGTTTCGAACAGCTACATCGTTTAATTTAGTGCGGCACCTTAAGGTAATTTCAAATTGTTCTTTCGCGACTCAATATTTTTTCATAGTGGATTTTTACTTATATAATTTTTCTAATAGAAAGTCCATCCACACATTGTTTTTCGCGGAACTCAAAAACGAAAGCTCAGTTCAACGCCATCAACCAGCTGGCAGAAAGACGAATGGGTGATTTAAATTTTTCCAAGAACCTTTAGTGGATTTGAACTGCGCAACTTGCCATGGCTGTCATTTATCAAGACATTGCTTATCAGATACTTTAAAGTGCACAATCAAAGTTTTTATGTTGCTGGGCAAGCTTTTAGCAATGATCGGTGGAGACTTGATGATAAATGATTTGAAAATTCAATGATGGTTTTTCAAAGAAAGTTATCACCAATGTGTTTATAGAATAAAAGTAAAAAGATCAATTGCATTTATAATTGACTATTATATTCATTCCATATCAAAAAGAGCGAAAGTGCAAAATGACAAAAAGGAGATGAGCAAAATGTTTTGATGGGTCGAGTGTGAAGTGAATAATTTTCCTAGATGCAAAAGTGCGGAGCAAAGTGCGAAAGTTTGAGGTGTGACCCATCCTTGAAATTTATTCTACAGGCAGCTTTTCAATGACAAGATAATTTGCAGAGGAAAAAATTCTACCTTTTTTATCGTGCAATTCAAAATAAAAATGAGATGCCCAAATTTAGAGCGCAATAAGCAATTTCTTGTAACTGAAATAATTTCATAAATTTTAATGGCTATTTTGTCATTGCCAAACTGTATTATTGCATGGGAAGATAATTATATTTATGATTTTGTATTTTGCACAATTCTTTTCAGTTATGCGGCAAAAAAAGCTTACATTATAGTTTAGATTTATTGGTTTCAAAACACAAGTAATTTGGCTGAAGGAATTTTAATGAATTTGAAAGGTTAAGTATTTTTTTTTTAAATTAACGAATTATAATGTTATATGAAAGAAAATTAAGATATTCAATCTTCGATTTAACAAAATTGAGAATAAATAAATTTACATTAATTATAGGCAAGTTCCAAAGACTTAAAAAGTTACGCTGACAAATGCTGTTATGTGTAATGATTGAATCTTAAAAATATTTTACAGCTTATGAACCACTATAGTCACTTATCATTATATTGAAGTTACTTCTAGTCCACAAACAGTAAACGGGATGGGCTTTATTTTATTAAATACATAAATTAAGTACAATGATAAATTCACAGAAAATTAGATGCAAAAAAAATTATTTTCTGCATAAGAGAAATTCATTATAATATTATGCTAAATTCGGCCCTGATGTGGCTACTTGGTTGTAATACGGCTCAGCTTTAAATGTTTAAATTTAAGCCGTTCAGGTAGAAAATTGGAAAAGAAAATGGCTCAGATAAAGAATAGAGAAACCTTATTTAAAAGGGACCTGAATGGGTTGAAATAATTCTCCGAATAGCAAGAGCGATCAAGCAGCTTCAGTCCTTTCTCTACGACATCTTTCTTTTGAATTTATAAATGAATCTTACCTATTTTAAACAGAATCAGAAACTCGTTATAAGTCTATAGTGACAAGGTTTTAAAATTGCGCGGAATTTCACATATAATTTGTATAAAGCACTCAGCTCATTGTAGATTTAAAATAGGTCAGCACTCTGGTAATTATTTTTTACTGAAATCAAATTACTAAAAGAACAAAGATCAATTGTTTGTGCTGACTGAATGTTTTTTGCTGCTTGCAGGACAGGCCGTGTCCTTTTCCGAATTGGGTGGGCCGAGCGAGCCGACTTTGATCAGGTTGCACTGCGGTTTCCAGTGCTCCGAATGCGGCAAGGTGTACCGCCGCCGCTTCTCGGCCACCGCGCACCTGAAGTTCCACCTCGGTGAGACTGTGTGTCACCTGTGCGGCAAATCGTTCGCGAATAAGTTCATTCTGAATACACACATGAACTACCACCTTGGGCTTACCAAGTGCGACTTGTGCAACAAAACTCTGAGTATGCCTAGCGCGCTCATTCGGCACCAGCTCCATTGCTCGATGCGCAGATAAAAGTGAATTTTAATATTTAATTTTCATTTGTTTGTTTGTGATATCTGAAAATGTAAATTTGTTAGATTTATTCTTTAAACTTTAAACTATTAGCTTCTTTAATAAAAGATTTAAGTTCGGCACATTCTTTTGAACTTGCAATGATCAAAAAAAATTCAGCTTTAATTTATAAAGGGATTTTAAATAAAAAAAAAAATAGGAATGGAAGTAGAGAGTTATTAATATATTAATATTATTAGTATGGTTTATTCTGCACAATTCCAGTCATATACAGTATCAAATGATAAAAATACTGTTCAAAAGGATTTAAAAATTTAATTATGGATTCATATTGCATTGCAAATAAGCATGAATTCATTGGAAAAAAAATCAACAATTATTCTATTTTCCATGCAATAAAAATTAATTTAGAAAAAGGCACCACACGTCTGAAAACTGGCAAAGCACATTTCACCGTAAAAGTTAAAAAAAAAAATCGGCGCTAGATTTTTTCCTCACTTTTGTTTGTCCAACCAATATTAAATACGGAGATTTTTATATCAAAGCTCCATGAAGTGTGATGATTCAGATGTCTGGTTCCAACATAATTCAATTTAGATAATACGTGCTTTCTAAAAATGGAAATAACTAACTAAGGTCAACAAAACCCGGTCAAAAGTTACAGCAGTTCAACCAGACACAATTGGGAGAAAAATCGCTTCTAACGCAAATCCTTCTATAAAATTTATACTGTTATAATTTTCAACAAATTTTTGCAGCATGGAAATAAGAATGGTTATACATATTTAATTATGTAAAAAAAAGTACACACAGAAATTAAATTATTATTTTGAATTGAGGTCATTTCCTAAAAAAAAAAAAAAAATAAAAAAAAAAAAAGAAACAACGTAAGAGTTGTGGAATTCCCCTGAGTCGCAGTAAACCCTGTGTTGCGAATGATTTCAGGGTTTCCTGGGTCGAGCGGGTCGTTTACGTGCCCCGCGTCGGTGGGTCAATATTCAGCCCAGGTCGCGTGCAGGGTGGTGCGGTGCCTCAACGGGTTCATGTGCAGCGTGTGTCACAAAACGTTCAAGTACGCGCAGTCGTGCAGTCGACACCTCGAGTACCACTTGGGCACCACCACTTGTCAGGTCTGCGGCAAGGTGTTCACGAGTGCTCTCAGCCTCAAGATGCACATGGACCTGCACCTGGGACGCACCACGTGTTACAAGTGCAACAAAACGCTCAGCACCACCGCCGTGCTCCTCAAGCACCAGAAAATTTGCCAATATGAAATGAACCATGATGACTCATAATGAGTGAAAATTTCAAGCTTTTCATGAGGGATCCAATAATTAGTGTTGAAGACCATTTAAATATTATTATTATGAACCTAAACATGCAAACTCCAAATTTTGTTCCTAAAGGAATCCCGGAAACTTACTACCCTGGAAACTTACTACCCGGAAACTTACTACCCATCTGAGAGTGGGCAGCAGCACAGTGGGCGATATATCGATATCGAAAATCGGTGCACGTACGGAAACTTACTACCCTTAACACAATACAAATTTTATAAAAACTGATAAAAAAATTTTCATTGAGTAAAAAATTACTCTAAACTAAAATTGGGAATTTTTTTAAACCTATAGCTGATCGATGATAAAATATTTTTCAATTAGTAATTTATTTTATTATACTGATCACAATGAATTTTACTTGTAATTAATTTTTAAAACTAATCACTCTCATCACTTCAGTTATTGTTAAGGACTCCTTATTGACATAGTCAAATCAAGTCTTTACAACATTTTTTCAATTATTGGAAAACAGTTAGAATTTTAAAACTATTGTTGTAAAGGCTTTGACTATGTCAATAAGCAGTTCTTAATAGTTTTAAAGAAGGTTAAATCATTCTTGGAAGATTATTGAATTATGCAACAAAGGAAATGCATAAGTTTTTGGGGACAAAATTTTTCATAGTTAAATTAATTTTAATTCTAAATTTCAAGCAAGAATAAAAATGTTAATACAAAAAGCCACTCTCTAAAGGACAATACTCATGATATGAGTATAATTTTAATTTGTACAATATCAATAAATATGTGGTCTCTACGGATAAAAAAATTAATAATTTTGTGAGATATAATAATTTTTTGTAATATAATTTGTTATTTTTATTATATCCCCTGAATAAGTTACGGATTTCCAAACCCATTCTTTGTGTTTCTAAAATCTTCCAAAACTTGTTTTGATTCGTTTAAAGTAATAATTGAAGTATTTATAATATTTAAATGAAATAAATAAATGACTTAATGATCAATAGTATCAATACCAACAAAAACATTAATTTTAATTCAAATACATTTGCTACTCAATTATTTATTTTGTCAGTTTTTATAAAATTCATTTTCTATGTATTTTGTGTAAGGGTAGTAAGTTTCCGTACGGGCGCCGATTTTCGATATCGATATATCGCCCACTGTGCTGCTGCCCACTCTCAGATTGGTAGTAAGTTTCCGGGTAGTAAGTTTCCAGGGTAGTAAGTTTCCGAATACCTTCCTAAAGGTGTTCACTAATATTATTTCAAAAATCTAAAAATAAATAAATAAAATTTGATTCCTAGTCTGATGAAATTTGAATTTTCTTGCTGAAATCAACAAATCGTTGCCGCAACGTTTTGAATATTATTATTTATCATTTTTATCCTTTTTTTAGATTAACATTTTTCAAATAAATTTTTTACAATACATCATGTATTCATGTATTGATTTGAAACAAAAAATTTATTCCTTAATATAGTCTGCTCTTTTATTATTATTTCTGATTTTGTTAATTTGCTGTCAAGACCACTTTTTACCTGTGGATATTCGTGGATATTACCTCAAAAATTTATAAGTGAACCTTTTCGGAAAAGTATACAAATATATATTGTAAATAAATAACATTACAAGCAGATTAAAAAAAAAAAGGAATTAATGAAATGTAAAATCAAAACATAATAATGCGTAAAGTTTATATTACCTAAAAGGGTAAATTTACATTTCTCCCGTATAGCTCCATTTTTTTCCAGCTGACGAAGAAAATTTTTCGAAACACGCGAAATAAAAAATGGTACAAATTTTTAGCCGAAATTGGTTAACAAGTAAATAAAGTTATACATCTTACCAACTTTTATTAATAATTTGTTGAGCATCCATATTTTAAACCGGTCAATTTTGAGCAAAAATATCTTATCAAATTTATAAACTATGTATGAGCCTTGCATTAATCTAGCGATTTATATTTTTGCCTTTTAATTTTGTGCTAAAATAACTGCTGCGCTGGAAGTCAATAAAATTAACCCGGCATTTTCCTGGTTTCAGGCGTACCGGGCCTGCCTGTGATTGAAAGCGTGCGCTCCCTTCCGAGAGAGTCGAAGGTTCCACTTGCTTCGGCCGCGTCGACAGAGGCAGTTCCCATTGCTTTGAGCGACGGTCGTTTCCAGTGTAGCGCGTGCAACCGAGAGTACAGAAACAAATCTGATATCTTGGAGCACCTGTTCTGCCACAAACGCTCTTGTCCTGTGTGCGGAAAAACGTTTCTATCTCAAAGCATTTTCAAAATCAAAATGCACCAGAAAACCCATAGTACACTGCGCTAGATGCAAGTTGATTCATCATGACATTTTCTGCTCTTTTTTTTCAAAAATCGCCTTACCCGTGGTTGCTTAACAATATAACGCAATATAAGTTGAATATTTAAAAAAAAATTGCCAATTGAATCCTTGAATTTCTTACACTTGAATCAAATGGCGTGGCTCTACCTCTGTTTAAAATTTTCTTTCAATTTAGTAAGGAAAAAATTAACGGAAGCCTCATTTTTATTAAGTAACTGCAATTAAAGAGTTGAATGGGTCATTATTGTACTTGTTAGTTTAAAAAAAATTAATAAAAATAACATGAAAAATCTGAAATTTTTTATTTAAATTTCCTATAAAAACCTTGTATTTACTTTTGGCATCAGACTGAAAATTTTTGTTGTTTATTCACTTCAAACTTAACAAGTTTATGGAATAAGTTTATAAAACCAAGCATGCGGAATAGAATTTGAGTTTGATTTCGTCCAAATTGATTTCAGAGTGGCGTGAAGCAAAATTCGAGCCAATGCCGCTGAAGCCGAGGAGTTTGTTGAAAATTATCAAAGTGAAGGGTGGCTACAAATGCGGCTATTGCGAACGCGCTTACTCCGCTCAGTGCTCCGTGTACCGCCATATGAAAGTCCACACTGGCGAGACTGCGTGTAACATTTGTATGAAGGTGTTTTCTTCGGTGGAACTTTTGCAGTCGCACAAGTATTTCCACTACGGGGAAACCATTTGCATTCAATGCCGCAGAGCGTTCACCACGGCGTTGGGCTTGCAAAGACATTTGAGGCAGAAAACATGCGTCGCCCTGAGGAAAAAATAAAACTCTTTGTGCTTAGGAAATGAATAATTTACTGACAATTTTCGCAACAGCTACTTGCTTTTTTTAACATGATGCAATTATGAAATATTTTCTCTGATGAAGCAGATTTCAAGAATGACGAACCTCATTATTATTATTATTAACAAATATTTTAAGTATGGTTTTTAAATTAGTTTTCTGTGAAGGAAAAGGCGCTTAAATTAATCTTTTAAAGTTCCTTTGTGCATTGATGAACCAGTTAAAACTATACTATATTTTACAAAAATAAATCCATTTTTAAGTTTTTTATTTTCAAATTAAATCAAATTGAACATTTCATATACGGAGTATGGAGTTTAGGCTTTGCAAGCACAAATTAATTTATTCTGGTTAAAGAAGAAATTAAAATTTGTAAGTGAAGTGAATTGCAATTTAAGTTGTACACCAGCATCATAAAAATAAACACGATTAATTGCTTATATATATACTGCAAAAAGCTATTTAATTTTACATAATTTTCAACCCAGCGTCCTTAAAATAATTAATTTTTATCACTGTGTCATAACCATTCTTGTAGAAATTTTTGGAGTATAGTTTGCTTTTGGCTTTTGTGTGATTTTTTGCCGTTTCTTTAAAAATCAAACCAAAAAAATCTCTGTTGCAGGACTGTTCCTTGTTGAGACTGTGTATCGATCTTTGCCGACCGGAAGCAGCCTGAAGCCGGTGGATGATCGACGCTCAAAAGTGGTGACCCGCAATGGAAAATACATCTGCAGCATTTGTGAGCATGAGTTTGACCGATACAATGCCTGCTGGGAACACGTAAATCAACATGTCGGCATCACCACCTGTCATGTGTGCAGCAAGATTTTTGCCACATCCTTTGGACTGAAGAGACACTTGGACAACGTCCACGCCAATTTGGTTAAGAAAAAGCGTTGAATGGAAATCTAGCTTGCTTTGTTGATATGATTAGAGAGACTTCCATTTTTCACTCATGAGATCTCTTTATTCACTGTAAAATACAGATAGGTTTTGACAGGCAGGTTAATTTATTTATAAAATAATTTATTTCCAGGGATATGTAAAATGTAACCGATGACGTTACAAATATTTTGATATATTAATAAGATAAGATTTATTTAAAAATTACATTTTATAATTAAGTATTTCTTTGTTCATGCATATTTATATTAAAAATTGTTGCATTCCATGACGTACTTTTTATATTAAAAAATAACTTTATTAAAGAAAGTAATGACTGAACATCTGGTATTTAATCTGTTAAATTCCCAAATTTTTATTTATATTTCAAACTTTAGGATCCAAATTTTATTTAACAAGCTTGTAGACATGAAAAGGTCTAATTTACACTTTAATAGCGATTTTCTAAAAAATTTTTAACTTATTTAATTTCTTAATCTGCCAAAGAGCTTGATGCTTATAAAAACTAATTATACTGAAACATAGATAATTTTTTTAAAATATTTAAATGAATGAAGGAAAATTTTCCATGTATTGTTTTCGGTATAAACGCTAAATTTATTGACAAATAAAAATGAAAATTCAAAAGTATAACAGTAAACATATAAAAAATGCAAACCTATAACATCACATGTACACTGAACACCATGGACCAATTTTTACTCAAACTTGTCTCTCAATTTGGCCTTGAGCAATACTGGCACCAAAGAGAGTATTGCGAAAATTGCCAGAAGCGTGATCGAAGTCCACGAGACAGCATCACCACTGGACGCCAATTGGTGAAGGGTGGTCCCTGCTTGGATCGCCACAAATGACGGAGGTGCAACTCCTGACAATAAAATTGTTTCACTATTTTCAAAAATATATCTAAAATTTTTACCTATAAATGTGCCAAGCCAAAAGGGCAGCATCGGCACATCAATCACAGGAGCCGTGATGTTGATGAACCAATTTGGCAGGAAGGGTGTTATCCGCAGAAAAATCATATAATTTAAGAGATTGCTTCGTTGGTTGTTGACCTAATATTTTTTTTTTTTTTTAGTAATTTTGAGGTTTTATTTTTACGGAAAAAAAATACCGTGTCTGCCCAGGATCTAGCTCTGTCCGGGAAATACTTGTAGACAAGTCTTCGTCCGACTAGGAATGACAGGAGGTAGCAAAAAGTGGCCCCTGTTGCTGAGCAGAAGCAGACTAGGACGAGGGCAAGCGGGAATGGAAACAAAAACCCTGAGAGGATCGATAGAGATATTGATCCCGGTATTGCAAAAGTTTGCAAACTTCACAGGAGTCAAGGAAAATATAATATATTATTACCAATTTATAATTAAATTTATATTTAAAAAGTTAAGAAAAGGATACAAAATATATGAGACAAAAACTCCAGTCAAAACCTCAAAATAATACTTGTCCTTGTATCTGTACAGGACTCTCCCGAGATTTTTTGCATCATCTATGTCCCGAGGAAGTTTGATGTGTTGCTTCTCTTCCCTAAAATTAAAAGAAATTCAATTACTCATTGGATTTTACTTATGAAGAAGACTTACTCTTCCAGATCAGGAAAGCAGTGATAAACGTAAATCAAAGCCAGCACAGAGAGGGCAAAGACTATTCCGACCACAACAAAAGCCTTTCTGGTGCTTCCGGGTTGGGTCGACTGATCCTCCTTCGTTACAGGCAGTTCTGCCTCACCTGAAACACGAGTTTCCTGTCAGAAAATTTCAGACTAAGCATAACATCAAACTGCTGACTCGAGCAGTTCACCAAGAGGCCGGGGAAAATTTTCTCTGGCCCCAAATCATGACCAAATGCACTTTCCATGGCCCCTTGTCAAACGCACAACCGAGGCAAGAATTTCATTCATATTCAAGAGCGTGAAAATAAACAAAGTTGATTGGAAAACCATGCGACCTTTGGCACTTTTACGCCTCTCGGTGACTTCCATGGCTTCGTGCGGGTCGACGGTCAGCAGATAAATTCGTGAGAGGCCACCGAATTGTGTCGTTTCATTATACGTGCTCCAAATACTTTTGATTTTGCCGAATATTTAAATTTGGCGCGCGGCTTCTTGTAAGTTGAAAGAAGCTAAAATATCTTCGCCATGTTATTTCGCGCGTAAATCAAATTTTTTATTACGTAAAGGGGGTTCTCTGGGGCAATGATGGAGGGAAAATCACATCCTCTTTTTGATTCCATACTTAGAATAATCAATGTAAAAAACGTGATAAAAATAATTAATCAAGGTTTTCGAATAATTATCCGTAAGTAGAAGATAAATTTTGCCTTTTATATGAAAATTCAAAAATATTTATAATTTAAATGTTATATTTAAAATACCAAGGCAATAATTTAATTTTTGGGGCATCCGTAATTACCATAATAGTGGTATTCCTAGCCAGGCGCGATCAATTTTTGCTAGGAAGGGGGATGAGCATAGGGAGCAGACAGATCATGGACATGTCGAAAACATAAATTTCTTTGACAAGATAATTAAGGCGCTCCCCATTCATTTAGAATCTTGTTGATGTTCCTCTAATTCACCTGGAATTTTCGTGGTCAACTGAACATAATTATGGCAGGGCACAGGGAGGTTATCTCTCTCCAATTTGGTCACTATTCCAACTTCATTGGCACCCACTGGTGGAATATCCAGGTATAATAATTTTGATTAATATATTTTACATTTTATTGCCCAAATTTACACTCGTCCCTACAAATTGTAAGTGTATTTATTTTAACCACTCTCCGTGTAACATAATACATAGTACATAATAATATCTATTATAAATTTATAGAGTATGGAAATTAAAGACGGAAAAAAATACATAAACAAATCGAAAAAGAATTCTGAAGAATACAATATGACATTTTATGTCATATGTCATACATTCACACATTGTGTACACAGAATAACTGGTTATTTTTTTTTTTTTTTGTACCGCACCCAAGTGTGAATCACCTTTTTATTAGCTAGGCTAGTATACTTTTCTTTTGATAATTTAAACTTAAAATTTGTCATTTTTTCCATTTTTTTTTTACTTCAGTGGGATATCGAGAGGCTGATAAACCTATACATAGCTATTTATTATATTAAAAAAAATATGTATTCATTCATGCAGCTGGCAATATATGCGTTAAAAGAAAAAAATTTTATTACTTATTTCTTGAAAATAAAAATTGAATTGGTTATCAACTGGCTCATCTGATATTAATAGCAATATTAATTAATTACCATGACTCAATATATTTTATCTTTTCAGGAATTGGCATTTGATTACACTGCGACAGCTCCCTCTGAAATTAACCATGACGTTTTATTTCGCGAAGGGGAAACTCGCCAGGGCCATGTGACCTACACTCCCCGCCTCCTACTGGTGGACCTGAAGGGCAGTTTAGGTTCCATGCCTGAGCACGGAGGCCTCTACGAAACCAGCCAGGAGGAGCAGGAGCCGGAACCTATTTGGGTCAACCAGGTGGAGGTGCAGAGGAAAGAAAAGTTCAAGAATAATGAGTTTTTGGCAGATCTCGCAAATGAAGAAAAAACAGGTTAATTGATTAAACTTTTTGCAAACCCTATCTATAAAAAAAATTTAAAAAAATCTTTTTGCTATTAATTATTTCAATGGAAATTTTAGGTGAACCAGTTCCACAAACAAAACAGTACAAGTTGGATGACTGCGTGGACGTCTGGTCTGACTTCCTCAGGACGCGGTACCACCCTCGTTCAATCAACATAGTTCAGGAGTACGAAAGAGGCAGTGAATCGTCAAAATTCGACGCATTCCCGCAAGGAGCGGCTTTGTGGAAGACGGATCTTTTTGAAGACACGTTTGTGGACAGCATCCGCAGGTACGCGGAGGAGAGCGACAACCTCCAGGGTTTCCAGGTGCTGGTCGACTCGGTGAACGCCTTTGGGGGGCTGGCGAGCGCAGCCACCCAGTTCCTTGCCGACGATTACAGTAGCAAGAGCATTTTCACGTTCCCCGTGGGCCACGGCAGCTACCCTGAGCGACTGGCCGCCCTGGAGACCCTGCGGACGGCCAACGTGGCCTTGTGCATTCAAAACCTGGCCTTACACAGCACTATGATGGTGCCCATCAGCACCAGTCGGGGCTTCTGGCAGCAAAACGCCGTCCCGCGGCTGCTTCCCCACGTCAACTACAAGCCACACCTGCCTTACCACACCAGCAGCCTCATCGCAGCCACCCTCGAAGGGTGCACCCTGCCCTTCAGGGTTCACAACGGTCTTGGCATGTCTGACCTGGAGCACAGTTTAGTCTTCAACGGCCGAAAAGCGGTGGCCGCCAGTCTGAATTTCCCCTTCCCGATTGACGATCGGGGCTACCTGCTGAACACCCTGGAGGACTGGGAGGGTCCCTTGCTGCAGGGGATGTCCGCCTGCTGTGACATGGACCACGACCGGGTGTGGGCGCAGTCCATCTCCATCCGAGGAGTGCCCCTGGCCAGACTGAAGCCGCCCAACGCCCCTACCAACAACAGCAACCCCGCCTACACCAGCACCAAAGTTGACGAGATGCTCCTCTACTTCCTCCAGTGCACCTCTCCTGAGACCAAGAGTCACGTGACCTCAGTGAATTTGCCCTGCAGCGTTGGGGCGCCCTTCCCGAACATGTTTGCACCCTCCGTGGGGCAGACCGGCTTCCTGGTGCCCGATGACCAGCCTAACACGTCAGGGGTCCGCACCGTGCCAATGCTGACGGGACTGCACTCGAGTCGCAGTGTCGGCGCCATGCTGGAGAGTCTGCAAAGTCAGGCGTCCCACTCGCACTGGCGCAACTTGCCACAGTTGGCAGAGGCAGGTCTCGAACGCGACGACTACAGTGAATCGCTGGAGCAGTTGTTACAATTCGCCGAATGCTACAACGAAGAGTTTGAAGTATGAGTATTGATTATTTTTGTGCACATTTATATAAAAAAGCATTTTCTTTCCATTGCATTTAAGGCTATGAAAAATATTTGATTTCAGAAATATTGTATTTAAACACATTTTAACAAAATAATGTTTTCATCAGTTTGAGATAAAAAAAAATATTTGTTTATTAGAGCTTACTTGAACTTGGATCTGATAGGTGCACGCCAATGATTACTTTAACAATCTATTATCCAATATCTAATTTTATTGAAATATTAGTATTTAATATAAACACAAAAATGTGCCAAATTAATTCAATTTGATAGTTTTTTTTGTCAAAATTCAACATTTTTACAAATAGCAGTCAAATGCTTTTAAGGGTTGTGAACTAATCCTTCAGAAAGACAATTGATCTCAGGAAAGCTTTCAGTAAAAAGATCAATCCATTCCTGCAGAGCTAAATCATTCACACTCCTCGTCGTATCCTCTGCCAACATCTTTTCCACCGCGTTTTCCTTCCTGGTAATCAAAACATCAATTAATCAAAACGGCAACACTAGCAATTTTAGACAAGTTTATACCAATTTTGTAGTTTTTCATTGAACTCTTTTGGAGCACTCGCGTGATCTAGGTAGAGATTTTGAGCCTCGCAAACATTTTTCTGAACTACTGCAGCTTCACGCTTTAGAGTTTCCCTGTGTATGCCCATGTTGACTGCAAAAGACTTTTGATTAGCAACTGTGTAGAAAAAAATAGCAAACGTTTGTACTTTTTAACGTGGTGAATGCCTCCGATTGTTCTTGAAGACACAGCTTTTCGTGTTTCTGCTGCATTTCCAGTTGTCTTAGCATGGCTTTTGCGCCGGCCAAATCCGCAGTAACAGGCTCTGATTGTGTACTTAAATGGCAGATATTTATAGAAAAAAGTTCTTTTAGTAAATATTTGGAACTTACTTGATCTTAGTGAGACTCATAGGGGTTGAACACAATATCTTGATTAGTGCCAAATTATGCTTCTCTATGTCAAGCATTTTTCCAAATTCAGTGCAGGACTTGTCGATCTCGTGCATATCATCAACAAGCTTTTGTTGGTGGGTGGAAATACTCTCCATACTGCTCAAATCTTTCATCACACTGTACCTTAGTTCCTCCTATAGGAAAATAAGAAATAAATCTTACTGAACTACACAACAGATTTTCATTAAATACCAATTTTTTGTGCAAGCTGATTATTTTTTTGAGCATTTGCTCTTGCTCGGATTCAATGTGGCTAAACTCGTGGTTTTCCAAAGACAACGCATTCAAGTGCTTTTGTAGAATTTCAGTCTGCTCAACATCCAAGACAGCCTTGGCGTCTGACGCCATGTCTGGATTGTTCAACAAAAGCTCTTGGAGTTGTCTCTCGAGCTTGTTGTTTTCGTGAATCAAATCCTGCTCATCTAAAACTGCTCTCGCTTGTTTGATGGCAAAGTCTTTGATGTGATTTTCTAAGGGCACCAAAGCTACCTTGCCAATTTCCAGCTTTTCCAATTCTTCACTGAAAATTCAAAAGAAAAAGTTTAAAATGTATAAAAATTTAATACCATAATAATTTCTCTTGAATAATGAATTTAATTTTACCTAAGTTTTTGAGCATCCCTCTCTAAATCAATTGAATCGACATAGTTTGAGACCTCATTTTTCACTTCGTCCTGGATTTCCTGAATGTACTGCAACCTTTCTTGGCATGAGAAATTTTTAACCATGTCCTTAATTGCTTGTGATGAGACAGAGCTTTCAGTGGAAACCAAACATCTTCTCAGCAAACTCTGTAAAAAATAATTTAGTTTCTTGAATAAAAAAAATAAAGAAAATATAAATAATAATAATTATACTTTGAGAGAACTCTCTAGCTGCTTGGTGTTGTGGTTGAAGACAAGAGACTGCTCAGGGGAAGAAACTTCATCAGATAACTTGCAAGATAGCTTCTGATTTATTTTAGCAGCCTGATTGACTAATTCTTTGCAAATATCTGCCTGGTTTTGGCAAAGCAAACCTTTTGCCTCTAAAAGCAACGTCTTTTGAATTTTCTCTTTAAATGCAATTTCCTCTGCTTCTTGCATTTCAACTGGGAATTTAAATATAATATGATTAGAGTAAGCTGTTAAAATTACATACATATCAACAGTTTCATACTTATACTAGGTATCTTTTGCTCCAACAATTTTATGGATTCTTCAAGGCCTCTGCAGCTGTGTTCAGCCTCAACTTTTCTTGTTAGAAATTCATCTAAATTATTCTGGACACGTATTTCTGTTGGAATTTCGTCTTTTTTTGAGGCTTGAAGACCTCCCCTGCTTGAGTTGGGAGCTTTAGCAGAGGGCCTGGTGCTCAATTTTGGAATTTTTGTCGACATCTCGTTTTTTGCTTAATAATTATATTATACAATTATGTATTATATATGATATCTGCGAACAAAATTATTGTGTTATTTATTGCGATGTGAGTATAAAAAGATAAGAGCTTCTTTACCAATTAAAAGATATAGATTTTTTTATGTTATTTAAGATCATAAAGATTGAAAATCAAATTAATAAAAATATACGCACCTGAAAAAAAATACTCTAAGGAGGGTAAAAACAGGAGGCGACAAGTCCGAGCCTCTGGCCGCTGGTACAGGATTAGCCAATGAGAGAGCAGCAAAGCTCGAGAGGCAATCGCCCTCCCTCCGGCCGCTCTCCAGCCAATCAGCGCGCGTACCAGTGGTCGCGAGAGGCGCGCTTGGTTTGAATACAGAAACTGTAAACAATCGCCCGAAAATCATAACATGCAAAATAATTTATTGATACAGAAACCCTCTTTTTTTCGCTCGTCGGCGGCCGATCGCCGACTTTGCGTAAGTGAATACATGAGGTTATTAATTCAAGAGATTAGTTTCAGATTTTTTACGTCGCATCGTCCGAATTTTCTGTCAGGAAAGATGTGATAAGCCAATTCATTACCAGCACCTTTTAGGTAAGTACGGATATATTTGCGTTGCATATAGATTTTATTCGCTTTTTCTTGTCATTATAGGTCTCTTTTGAGCAAACAAAGAGATGAAGAAGAGCCTCTGATTAAGGCGGGTCTGCTTTGGCGTTGAGAGCCTTTTGGTTTGCATTTTGGCTTTTCCTCGTCAAGCAAAGGGCGTCTTGATATTTAAAAGGTTTGATTAAATATTCCATTTTGTCTTTATTGTTCAAACATTGGATCAATTTTTAAGGTCTGGGCCACCCCTGTCTAAGTAAGGTTCTCTACATTTTTTCCAGCAAAAAGAATGATTTGGCTGACGACACTTCAGACAAAAGTCGAGATTTGTTTAACCCTCCATGCAGAAGTTTGGAAACAGTTCCCTTCTATGGATTAACCTACCTTTTTTCAGATTTTTGGCTTTCCCTGACTTGTAATCGATTTTGAAAGATGATATGTGTTTGCTTTGATTAAAGCTCTTCGGAAAAAAGTAGCCCGATATTTGGCATATGAAGGTTTGGAAAGTTTTGTTTAGTATTGAATATTATAATAGAAGTTCTTTTTAGGTTTGCGCCATATCTACCAGAAGTGCTCCAGTGTATTTAAAATATTTGACAGAAAAGTAATATAATAATTATCACCAGGAACTTGCTACTCATGAATTTTATATTTTTACTGTTGTTCCTTTATTTCATTATAATGTTACTGGGGTTATAAAATTTGAGTTTTTTATAGATATAATAGATTGTTAGAAACAAAGTTTTATTGGAAATTTATGCTTGAGCTTATTAACAACACTTTTCTCTTCTACATTACTTTGAAAAAGGTGTGTAAAATAATTTGATCCATTGTTATCTGCACTGATAAATAAATAAAATATTTGAGTTTCAATATTAAAAAAACCCACAAAATAAAATAACAGAATTGACTATTCCTTCAGAGCTCATGGATTTTATTCAGCACAATTCAAAGAATATCTCAACAAAGAAACCACATTATCAAACTTGTTCAACCTAATTTTATTAAGATATAATTTCATTACAAAACAATTTAGCTCACTCACTTCATAACCTAAAATTTAAGCCATTAATCTTTTCACCTTGGCAATAAAGGTCCTAAAGCCCATATTCATCTGAAACAAAACTTTGGTTTAATCATAGAAATAACTGTTTCCAAACTTCTGCATGGAGGGTTAAACAAATCTCGACTTTTGTCTGAAGTGTCGTCCGCCAAATCAATCTTTTTGCTGGAAAAAATGTAGAGAACCTTACTTAGACAGGGGTGGCCCAGACCTTAAAAATTGATCCAATGTTTGAACAATAAAGACAAAATGGAATATTTAATCAAACCTTTTAAATATCAAGACGCCCTTTGCTTGACGAGGAAAAGCCAAAATGCAAACCAAAAGGCTCTCAACGCCAAAGCAGACCCGCCTTAATCAGAGGCTCTTCTTCATCTCTTTGTTTGCTCAAAAGAGACCTATAATGACAAGAAAAAGCGAATAAAATCTATATGCAACGCAAATATATCCGTACTTACCTAAAAGGTGCTGGTAATGAATTGGCTTATCACATCTTTCCTGACAGAAAATTCGGACGATGCGACGTAAAAAATCTGAAACTAATCTCTTGAATTAATAACCTCATGTATTCACTTACGCAAAGTCGGCGATCGGCCGCCGACGAGCGAAAAAAAGAGGGTTTCTGTATCAATAAATTATTTTGCATGTTATGATTTTCGGGCGATTGTTTACAGTTTCTGTATTCAAACCAAGCGCGCCTCTCGCGACCACTGGTACGCGCGCTGATTGGCTGGAGAGCGGCCGGAGGGAGGGCGATTGCCTCTCGAGCTTTGCTGCTCTCTCATTGGCTAATCCTGTACCAGCGGCCAGAGGCTCGGACTTGTCGCCTCCTGTTTTTACCCTCCTTAAAATACTCCTGCCGCCAGCTGTGGCCTTCGCGCGTAATAAAAGGCATAAAGATTCACGCTTATTGGTCGATTGGAAGAAACAGGTGGGCGTGTAGAGCCCAGCCCAGTAGCAAGCCCAGTAGAGCCTGACGATAACAAAAAAACACAAAACAATAATAAAACCACGAAATCTCGAAGTATTACGTGGAAATTTAGTTTCTCGCAATTTTTTGCTTAATTAAAAAAAATCACTTTATAAATTATATTACTGGAAACTCTCTTGGGATACAAAAAATAAGAAACCAGACGAGAATGGGTAGTTTAACAAGAGCAGGCCGTGCAGAGATTCTACGTTCAGCCCAGAAAGATGACGAATTTTGTCAAGAACTTCATGATGAAATTTCCCAAGTCACCGGCGAGATCACTGGTTGGTAGAAAATTTTGAGCACGATTGCTCGTCCAAAATTATTTTTAAAATTTGATTAATATTTTTTTTTTTAAATTTAAAAGGTCATCGATTATGGGTTGCTCGGAACAAGACCATTTTTGACGGACTGTCAAAGTTTATCTACAAGTATTTTACAACATTGAAAAATCTTCAAACCCTTGGAGAGGAGTACACGGGAATTGTGCAGCTTGACAGTTCGGGAAGAAATTTGCCATCTAAATTTGTAAAGAGATAAGGTTTTGGTTTTTCAAAATTTTTAATTTTAATAAATTTCAGCAATTCTTTTTGTCTGTAATGATTGAAAGTTGTGGCCCTCTGGCCACTTTTGTTGCTCTCCAGCAGATGGAAAAGAGGATAAAAGAGTCGAAGCAAATTAATCCCTTGGAAAAGGAAAAATTCCTCAATTATTTGGCCGCTGCCAGAGCACTAGCTCCATTTTTGCAGCAATTCCACAAAACGTTTTTCTACCTGTTTGGAATTTATTACAACTTTAGTAAAAGATGCACAGGAATATCATATGCAAGAATTTCACACTATTTGAATTCAGAGTCCGAGCTAATTATAAATTTCTAGGCACTCGTGCGACCGTGGATGAGGGATAATGGAACTCGGAAGACATTTCACTGGATCGGAATTGCATCCTCACTCTACCTGGTCATCAGTTTTGTTCACAGTCTGCGAAGTGGTCACTTTCTTAAATATCAAAACGATGGTGGTAGAGATAGAAAAATCAGCAGACACTGTGATCCTTTGAAAAAGTGTTCGTTGTGCTTGGAGGAGATGAGAGAAGTGAGCTGCACTCCTTGCGGTCATCTTTTTTGTTGGGAATGTATTTTAGAATGGCTTAACAGCAAGACTGAGTGTCCCCTTTGTAGGGAACCCTTCCAGCCCTCTAGGGTTGTCAGACTTCAGAATTATGACACTTCCTGTTTGGTCTAAAAACTTGTTTTGTTATTTTGACCAGCTGTGATTGTGGAGAGAGGTTTTGGTTTACAATATAAATATCAGATTTGATCAATGTTTTGCCTTTATTTTAAATCAATCTCTCAGCAATCATATTTGTTGTGCTCACAAACCCACAGAGCGCACAAGAATATAAAAATTACATCATGAAAAAATTCATTCATTCCTCAATGCTCCATTCTGGCTTTAACGGAAATTCATATATTGCTGCATTCTTCCAAAATTTTGTGGTGTAAGATGTTTTTAAACATTAGTGACCCATGAAACTTAACAAAAAATAGCAGATCATTAATTTTTAGGCAATATTAAAATAAAATGCAATGCACACAAGAACATTATCGCCCACTGAATAACTCTTGACTTTTATAGTAGAAATTGAGAGCGGCTGAGAATCAGACTCGCATGGAATAAGCGTTGTTACGGACTGAAATGCTTATCTAAAGCCCTCGGTTAGGCAGATCTTTTACTTTGTAAATCCTGACAAGCCAGTGCTCTGAAGTGTATGCTTCCTCAAGCACGTCCAGTTCAAAGTCCTTGTTTCCAATTTCAGCACCTCTCACTCGATCGTAACCAGGAGGACGTCCTATAAAATTGATTTGTTTTTTATCTGTTTGAAAATAAAAAAAATGTCTGAACACTTAACCTCCTTCAGTGTAGACCTGTCCGAATCGATAGTAGCACATCTTGTACATTAGACAGTTAAGCAAAATCGGAGATCCCTCTTTGTCGACACGGAACTCTCCCTGCGGAGTGTAGTAATCCCACTCCTTGATGTGCGCACCCCGGTCAGTGCTTCCTCCAATTCGAACCATCCACAGGAACTTGTTGATGTCTAAATTAAGATTATTTAGCGCTTGAAAAAAAACAATTAATTTGTCATCACCATCAGATGAATATCCAGTTAAGCCACCAAAGATGACCAAAACATAGTTGACATCCAGCTCCCTCATGATTGCATAAGCTTTATCCTCTGAAGAAGCCATTGCTTGACCAACTCTTGAGATATGTGTGTTGTTCCAGGTGTTGTTGTCAACCAAAATTGTCCGATTTGCCATTGCTGTTATCTGATAGCCGTAATCCCACCATGACATCACACGAGCATCCTAGAGTTCAATCATTTTAATTAACAAGTGTAACAAACTGATTTATAATATTGGTTAAATTTATAAATGCAAAAATCAACTTAAACTAAATAGTTTTAAATGCTAATCATCGTATTATTAAAGTTTTGATAAAAATTGTAGTCAAGATTATGAGTTTTTACCTCAGGAGTGTTCATTCTCAGCCAGTAGTAAGCCTCTCGGAAATCGTCGAAAATTATTCTAGAGTTGTCATGTGAACGAGCGGACAGGACAATGGAAGGAGAGCTGTATGCCTCCGACGTGACCCAGGTGCAGTGCATTGTGTAGGATATCAGGAAGAAGCACATGATGGCCACAAAAAGAGTGGCGATCTAAAGTAATCAATGTGTCATGTCCATTTCATATAAATTAATTTCAAATCAAACCTCGCTCTTCATGACATAGTTTGATTCCTGCTTGTGCTTAGACCTCTTTTCACCGTGCTTGGGGTGGTTTAAGTTTCCAGACGGCATGCCCAAGATGACAGGGCTGGTGTCGACATCCTTCATGTAACGGTTCAACATTCCAGACATTGCAATTCCTCCGAGAATGCACATGACAGGAGCCAAGACCAACATCAAACGAACCATCACACCCTAAAAATAAAACTGTCAGTTTCTAGTTTTCAAATGAAAATTTAAAAATCACAGCAAAGTAAATTGATGTAACGCCGTAAAGGATGAGAAAAATGTTTGCGTCTGTCAGGTTGCGGAAACAAAAGTAGAGACCGGCTGGAAAAAGGAACACCAGTAGTTGCAGATCAAAGTAGAAGGAGCTCCACGAGGTAGGTTGGTGCTCAGACACAGAGGCAATGATCGGAATGTGATTTTTGGCATATGATGGATCCAGCAGAGAGTAAAAGCGACCGGTCCAAGGAGAGACTTTGCCTAATAATGATTAATTTTGATTATTACTTGCATGTTATATTTTTTATTTAAATAATTTACCAGTAATAGCCAAAATTCCAAGAACAGTAGCCAAAATTGTTCCAGTGGCAACAATAGTGGCCTTGAACAGGGTCTGGAAGTCGGATGTGGTGAGACGTCCGCGCAAATAGTCGACAAAGCAGTGCAACTGACATAAGCCGAAGACTCCCAACGCCTGTATTACAATATTTTTAGAACCTTAAAAGGAGCAAGAAGTTTATGTCTCCCTTACCAGCATGTGTTCAGAGCTCTGGACTGGCTGGAATCCGACGAAAGAAATCTGCATGGCTAGAATTGTTCCGAGGCAGTAGAGAGTGCAGTAAGCAACATAGACGCGAGCCCCAAAGCGTCCAGTGACCATCAAAGTGAAGACGTGCATAGGGATCAGGTTGATGAGGAACACGTATCCACCCCACGAGGAAACCTGGCGATGAAGAACACAATCATTATAAATTATTTTTACTGAAAATAGATGAATTTATGATCACCAATAAAAAAAAAAAAATAAAAAAATATACCCGTTCATATAAAAGAATAAAGACTATATAAAAATTAGGATTTTGATCGCAATGGGCTGAAACAGGCTGAAGGTTAATAAATAATTACCATGTAGAAATAAGCCAGTGCAGCCAGGGCTGACCAGAAGATTTTTCCAGTCTTGACGGCTTTGATCCACATGTAGTAGGTGAGAAGCATGCAGAATATGGCAATCCCTTAAAAAGACAATTTTAGCTCATCAAAATAATTGTGGAGCTTTTGCTGGGAAATTGCATACCTTCATTGTCATAGGAACCAGCCACAGATCGAGAAATATACCCTGGAACTATGGCAATCATAGCAGCAGCCACCAAGCCAGCAGATGAATCCTATGATAATTTTTAAAATTGGCATTTTTTTTAAGATAATATTATATTTAAAACAGATAAATTTTTATAAATTTTATTTTAGCTTACTTTAAGCTCTTTGGTGAGCAGGTAGGTGACAATAGTGGTGAGCGATGAGAAAAATGGAGCCAAAAAGACGCAGACATTTCTAATGTCGATCGTAATGTTGACCAACCACATTAGATGGTAAAGGGCAGCAGAGGTTACCATTAATCCTGGATAGATGGTACCTGAATAAAAATAATTTTAACTCACAGTATTACAGAGAGTTGCAGTTTAACTAACCTCCAATGATGCGTCCCAAAGGGTACCATGCTCGGTCGTCAAACCAGTTGTGGAACTTGTAGAAGCCTTCCTCGGCCAAGAACTTGGTGGTGCGGTAGTTGAAGTACGGATCAAACTCATGAATTACACTTTCAAACCGCAAAACAGAGAAGAGACGAGTTGCAAAAGCTGGAAGAAATTTTAGGTATTAATAATTCTAATAAACAATTCTGTATGCCAATAGAAAAACATAAACTAAACTTTATCCAAATTTACTAGAGAATTTCTTAAAGGAACAATGCAACACTACATAATCAAGCTCCTTGACTTAAAGATTTATTTAAGAATTTACTTACACAAAATTGCGGCAAGAGAAAGGATGGAGAGCTTGAGCAGGGTCTCTTGCTTCTCTGTGGACATCCGAAGGCCTCCGGTCTGTGTCTGGGGTGCTGCCTTCGTTGACATTTTCACTGAGTATTCAATAGGAAATTTATGTATCATAAACCTTTTAATTTAATATTTTGAGGACTCCTCATTCAGCCTCATTTGAGCCTCAGACAGAAGGAAACAATTAGCTCACCTTATTGGTTGACTTCATGCGGCAAAGGGTCGAATAATTGGAAGGTCAACACAGCAAAGATGTGGGCGTCCTGCGTGGCACCGGCTGACGAGACTAACACCAAACGAAAATAATGCAGCTTGGACTGTAGTAGTAGGCTTTGGCTATAGGCGTATAGGCTCGGCCAAGGGGCTCGGCTGCTACAAAGTCAGAATAGCCACCCTAAGAAACTGATTCCCTTTTAAAATTAAACGAATATAAGCCATTTTTAAGAGTGGATCTTTGAATTTTAATTATATATTAATAATTGAAAGTACCATTTTATATGCCAAAAAATATAAGAACCAAAATATTTTTGGTAAACCAATTCTAAAATTTACATTTTAATCAAGTTAATTTTCATTGCTATTTTAATTTGGTTGGTTGATGTGTGAGGATAAACGCTCTCCGATTGGCCCGTAGAACGAAAACATTGCCATGCGAGGCTGCGAGCGGCCGCGACCAAATTTCATACTTCTTTTTTGTTCTTGGCCGCGAGTCGCGACCAAAAACATTAAAATTTCCATATTTCAAAATAATTTACTGAGTGAGAAGCAGTTAGCAGATGATAATTTTAATTATTTGTCTAGCATATGTCGGCATATTGTATAGTAAAAATCATGCAAATAAGCTAGCATAGTGACAATTAATCAAAGATCCTTGCAATTAATCAATATAACTGCTCAAAAACGGCAATCCTAAATTTAACGTGTATTTGGACTATCTGAGGCTCAGAAAATTCGGAGAAAGTAACAAAAGCTCTCACAGCTGAGTAAAGTGAAGAGCAGATATTAAAGGAAATCATGGCTCAAATAATCAAGTTATTCACAAACGGACAGAAGCATTACTTGAAAGTGAAACCGATCTCGGTCTCATTTTAAGTATGGTAAAAGTGCACTTCTGGCCCCTGCAACTTTTAGTCCCCCCCTCCCCCTATCTTATGGCAAAGGGGCCAAAATTGTGACGGGGCCAGAATTTGCCGAGTTTGAAAATTATTTTATCTTCTGTGCTCTGCTACGCCCTGAACGCCGGCTGCAAGCTGCAGCTAGGTCACCTATTTGGACAAGAAACTCAATGGAATGAATACTTTCTTAAGTACTTGATGAAGCTGGACACACCCAAAAACCTGTCATCCTGGCCAGGGACCTGAACGCCAGCCACCAGGAGAATGATTTGGCCCAGCCCACGAGCTACGCCAACGTCAAGAGCGCAGGCTTCACCAGGAGTTGCGAGACAATTTCGCTCAAACCACATAATGTTTTATATTTTATTGAGCAAATTTCTTGTTAAAATATACAGCAGCTCACATAAAAAGTTAAATGGCCTTTACTTTAGTATTATGCGCACTGAAATAAAATTGATATCAAGATAGAAATAATTATGAAGTGTTTATATTGAACAATTAAAAATAGTTATTTAAATGGATTTAAGCAACAAATTTTTCTTCCAGGAGGCTGGGAAATAAGCAAAAACTTGTAAATTAAAGAACTCAAAGTAACTTTACTGCTCAATGCAAACTCTTAAGCCTCTAATGCTCTGCGCGGGTGCCTCCGCGGACCCACTGAAAGATCCTCGCCAAAAGGCCTTTGGCTCTCTTGGCCTCTCGAGCTTGTTGCTCTTCAGCCTCTTGACGCTCACGATTGTTCTCTTTGAGCTGAGCGCGGCGCACAACAAGTGCCAGGTCAGCCGTACCTGATTAAAGAGAGGAAAATGAATCTCCGAATGTTTCTTAGGGGTTAATAATGAAATAACAATACTTACTAATGCAGAAGAACGTGTTGATGTTGTTGTGAAGGCAGAAGGCTGCGAGAGATGCTGGTTTTGCCGATTTCGGCTCGGCTCTCATGACGGCACCTTCAGATGGAGACAGACTTGAATAGTCAAGCTGTCTGGTGGTGCGCGTTGAGGCTTCCGAGGCGGCCACTCTTTTGACTTTTCCATGGCGAGCAGCCAGTAGGTTATAGAGTTGGGTGCAGAGAGCGAGGTGAGCTAAGGAAATTTCATGTAATATATTCATGTCAAGAAATATTAATAAATGTGATACCTGCGCGGACATCAACCTCTATTTGGTTTTTAAAGGCCAACGCAACCTGGCAACCGAAAGGCAGGTTGTCGTTCAAAAACCTTGGACCAACCTTGGGGCCAAGGCTGATGGCCTCTTGAAGAACGCTCTCTGCATCCTTCGGAAAGGCATGTGGAAGAAGGACGTAGTCGGACATTATCTATAAGAATTTTTCCTGAATTCGTCGTTTTAACTTCACGTTGCGAACGGTCGTTGTAGAATTTTAAATGTTTGCAACAATTGAAAAGTAATAACGAAGCTTTGCCTCTGCAACACTGGAAAACATAAACAGAATTTAAAAGAACACCGCGCGCGAATCTTTTAAGGGAAAAATCATTCTAAAGACTGTGAAATATGCTTTTCTGAAATAATATTTACCAAAATATGATGAACGCTGGTATATTTATTCATATTTATCAAGCCAATAAAAAACATTGTGCGCAGGCAATCGCTCGGTTTCAGCCAAATCAGAAGACAAAAAACGGGTCTGAACTCGACGACAATTGGAGAGATCAATAAGAAAAAACTAAAAACATTGCTTATTTGCACATAATTGTAGAACGCTTGTATATAGACTGTTTGAAGTGCTATGGAAGACAATTTCCATCTAATATCTAATTTCACTACACGATTTCTTTTTGCTTTTTTTAGTTGAATGTAGGGGCCAAAAAGAGTTGCGGCCTTATTATATTGGTGATTGGTGTGTTTTGATTTTGGATATTTCTGCCCTGCCCCCATCTGCACTTTTTCTGAAATTCAAATTTTGGCAAATAACCTGCGTGACAAGAAACGCGCCAAAAGATTGAAATATGTATGAATATATCTCACTTCATGATAATTATCATGTACTATTTGTCGCTATTTGTATTACTTCTGAATATTATATTTCATAAAAATACAAATATATCGGAAAATATACAATTTTGATGTTCATAGATAATACTAGCGGATTTCTACAAGATAAGATTGATACAAACTTGATTAAATAATTTAAGTAATCGATTTAAATTTTTAAAAATTCTGCTAAATTTGAGAGATGATGGTAGTAAGAACATATTGCTCTATTAAAGAGACGATGATTTTACAACTACTCACACAGGCCGCCAGATTGGCGGTTAGTCCTAAAATAAAGCGATGACTTTATATTATTTCAAAATATTCGATTGTTATTAATTAATCCATACGGTGTAGTAAGAAAATTGCTCTATTAAAAAGACGACGATTTTACAGATACTGACACAGGCCACCAGATTGGCGGTTAGTCCTAAAATAAAGCGATGACTTTAAAATATTTCAAAATATTCGTTTTTTATTAATTAATATATTCGGTAGAAAGACCATTGCCCTATACAAGAGACGATTATTTTACTAATAATCACAAAGGCCGCCAGATTGGCGGTTAGTCCTAATATAAAGCGATGACTTTAAATTATTTCAAAATCATTGATTGTTATTAATTAATTCATATGGTAGTAAGAACATTGCTCTATTAAAGAGACGACGATTTTACAGATACTTAAACAGGCCGCAAGATTGGCGGTTAGTCCTAAAATAAAGTGATGACTTTAAATTATTTCAAAATATTCGATTGTTATATTTTAATCCATCCGCAGAAAGAACATTGCTCTATTAAAGAGACGATGATTTTACAACTACTGACACAGGCCGCCAGATTGGCGGTTAGTCCTAAAATAAAGCGATGACTTTATATTATTTCAAAATATTCGTTTGTTATATATAAATCCATTCGGTAGAAATAACATTGCTCTATTAAAGAGACGACGATTTTACAGATACTGACACAGGCCGCCAGATTGGCGGTTAGTCCTAAAATAAAGCTAAGACTTTATATTATTTCAAATTATTCGATTGTTATTAATTAATCCATACGGTGTAGTAAGAAAATTGCTCTATTAAAAAGACGACTATTTTACAGATACTGACACAGGCCGCCAGATTGGCGGTTAGTCCTAAAATAAAGCGATGACTTTAAAATATTTCAAAATATTCGTTTTTTATTAATTAATACATTCGGTAGAAAGAACATTGCCCTATACAAGAGACGATTATTTCACTAATAATCACAAAGGCCGCCAGATTGGCGGTTAGTCCTAATATAAAGCGATGACTTTAAATTATTTCAAAATCATCGATCTTTATTAATTAATCCATATGGTAGTAAGAACATTGCTCTATTAAAGAGACGACGATTATACAGATACTTTCACAGGCCGCCAGATTGGCGGTTAGTCCTAAAATAAAGCGATGACTATAAAATATTTCAAAATATTCGTCTTTTATTAATTAATTCATTCGGTAGAAAGAACAATGCCCTATACAAGAGACGATTTTTTTACTAATAATCACAAAGGCCGCCAGATTGGCGGTTAGTCCTAATATAAAGCGATGACTTTAAATTATTTCAAAATCATCGATTGTTATTAATTAATTCATATGGTAGTTAGAAAATTGCTCTATTAAAGAGACGACGATTATACAGATACTTACACAGGCCGCCAGATTGGCGGTTAGTCCTAAAATAAAGTGATGACTTTAAATTATTTCAAAATATTCGATTGTTATTTTTTAATCCATCCGCAGAAAGAACATTGCCCTATACAAGAGACGATTATTTTACTAATAATCACAAAGGCCGCCAGATTGGCGGTTAGTCCTAAAATAAAGCGATGACTTTATATTATTTCAAAATATTCGTTTGTTATATATAAATCCATTCGGTAGAAATAACATTGCTCTATTAAAGAGACGACGATTTTACAGATACTGACACAGGCCGCCAGATTGGCGGTTAGTCCTAAAATAAAGCGATGACTTTAAAATATTTCAAAATATTCGTTTTTTATTAATTAATATATTCGGTAGAAAGACCATTGCCCTATACAAGAGACGATTATTTTACTAATAATCACAAAGGCCGCCAGATTGGCGGTTAGTCCTAATATAAAGCGATGACTTTAAATTATTTCAAAATCATTGATTGTTATTAATTAATTCATATGGTAGTAAGAACATTGCTCTATTAAAGAGACGACGATTTTACAGATACTTAAACAGGCCGCCAGATTGGCGGTTAGTCCTAAAATAAAGCGATGACTTTATATTAGTTCAAAATATTCGTTTGTTATATATAAATCCATTCGGTAGAAATAACATTGCTCTATTAAAGAGACGACGATTTTACAGATACTGACACAGGCCGCCAGATTGGCGGTTAGTCCTAAAATAAAGCTATGACTTTATATTATTTCAAAATATTCGATTGTTATTAATTAATCCATACGGTGTAGTAAGAAAATTGCTCTATTAAAAAGACGACTATTTTACAGATACTGACACAGGCCGCCAGATTGGCGGTTAGTCCTAAAATAAAGCGATGACTTTAAAATATTTCAAAATATTAGTTTTTTATTAATTAATACATTCGGTAGAAAGAACATTGCCCTATACAAGAGACGATTATTTCACTAATAATCACAAAGGCCGCCAGATTGGCGGTTAGTCCTAATATAAAGCGATGACTTTAAATTATTTCAAAATCATCGATCTTTATTAATTAATCCATATGGTAGTAAGAACATTGCTCTATTAAAGAGACGACGATTATACAGATACTTTCACAGGCCGCCAGATTGGCGGTTAGTCCTAAAATAAAGCGATGACTATAAAATATTTCAAAATATTCGTCTTTTATTAATTAATTCATTCGGTAGAAAGAACATTGCCCTATACAAGAGACGATTTTTTTACTAATAATCACAAAGGCCGCCAGATTGGCGGTTAGTCCTAATATATAGCGATGACTTTAAATTATTTCAAAATCATCGATTGTTATTAATTAATTCATATGGTAGTTAGAAAATTGCTCTATTAAAGAGACGACGATTATACAGATACTTACACAGGCCGCCAGATTGGCGGTTAGTCCTAAAATAAAGTGATGACTTTAAATTATTTCAAAATATTCGATTGTTATTTTTTAATCCATCCGCAGAAAGAACATTGCCCTATACAAGAGACGATTATTTTACTAATAATCACAAAGGCCGCCAGATTGGCGGTTAGTCCTAAAATAAAGCGATGACTTTATATTATTTCAAAATATTCGTTTGTTATATATAAATCCATTCGGTAGAAATAACATTGCTCTATTAAAGAGACGACGATTTTACAGATACTGACACAGGCCGCCAGATTGGCGGTTAATCCTAAAATAAAGCGATGACTTTAAAATATTTCCAAATATTCGTTTTTTATTAATTAATATATTCGGTAGAAAGACCATTGCCCTATACAAGAGACGATTATTTTACTAATAATCACAAAGGCCGCCAGATTGGCGGTTAATCCTAATATAAAGCGATGACTTTAAATTATTTCAAAATCATTGATTGTTATTAATTAATTCATATGGTAGTAAGAACATTGCTCTATTAAAGAGACGACGATTTTACAGATACTTAAACAGGCCGCCAGATTGGCGGTTAGTCCTAAAATAAAGCGATGACTTTAAATTATTTCAAAATATTCGTTTGTTATATATAAATCCATTCGGTAGAAATAACATTGCTCTATTAAAGAGACGACGATTTTACAGATACTGACACAGGCCGCCAGATTGGCGGTTAGTCCTAAAATAAAGCTATGACTTTATATTATTTCAAAATATTCGATTGTTATTAATTAATCCATACGGTGTAGTAAGAAAATTGCTCTATTAAAAAGACGACTATTTTACAGATACTGACACAGGCCGCCAGATTGGCGGTTAGTCCTAAAATAAAGCGATGACTTTAAAATATTTCAAAATATTAGTTTTTTATTAATTAATACATTCGGTAGAAAGAACATTGCCCTATACAAGAGACGATTATTTCACTAATAATCACAAAGGCCGCCAGATTGGCGGTTAGTCCTAATATAAAGCGATGACTTTAAATTATTTCAAAATCATCGATCTTTATTAATTAATCCATATGGTAGTAAGAACATTGCTCTATTAAAGAGACGACGATTATACAGATACTTTCACAGGCCGCCAGATTGGCGGTTAGTCCTAAAATAAAGCGATGACTATAAAATATTTCAAAATATTCGTCTTTTATTAATTAATTCATTCGGTAGAAAGAACATTGCCCTATACAAGAGACGATTTTTTTACTAATAATCACAAAGGCCGCCAGATTGGCGGTTAGTCCTAATATATAGCGATGACTTTAAATTATTTCAAAATCATCGATTGTTATTAATTAATTCATATGGTAGTTAGAAAATTGCTCTATTAAAGAGACGACGATTATACAGATACTTACACAGGCCGCCAGATTGGCGGTTAGTCCTAAAATAAAGTGATGACTTTAAATTATTTCAAAATATTCGATTGTTATTTTTTAATCCATCCGCAGAAAGAACATTGCCCTATACAAGAGACGATTATTTTACTAATAATCACAAAGGCCGCCAGATTGGCGGTTAGTCCTAAAATAAAGCGATGACTTTATATTATTTCAAAATATTCGTTTGTTATATATAAATCCATTCGGTAGAAATAACATTGCTCTATTAAAGAGACGACGATTTTACAGATACTGACACAGGCCGCCAGATTGGCGGTTAATCCTAAAATAAAGCGATGACTTTAAAATATTTCCAAATATTCGTTTTTTATTAATTAATATATTCGGTAGAAAGAC